AAAGGGGGTAAACAGAAGCAAACACTTCTGAGAAGGGACAGGGTCAAAAGAAAGAATAGAATAAATGGGGGGGCAGGATAGGATTAAGGGAAATAGAGTCAGTTTTTCACAACATGACTACTATGAAAGTGTTTTGTATAACTGCACATGTACAATCTATATGAGTTGATTGCCTTTTCAATGAGGGTGGGTGAGGAGGGAGGAAAGGAGAAAATTTGGAACCCAAAGTTTTAAAAACATATGTTTAAAAAAAAGTTTTCACATGCAACTGGGAAATAAGAAATGTAGGAAATGGGGTACAGAAATCTATCTTACCCTACAGGAAAATAGAAGGGGAAGGGAATAAGAGAAGGGGGAGAGAGATAGAAGGGAGGGCAGACTAGGGGAAGGGATATTCAGAATGCATGCCATCTTGGGGTGGGGAAAGGGTGAGATGGGGTGAAAATTTGGAACTCAAAATCTGGAAGTAAATGTTGAAAACTAAAAATAAATTTAAAAAAAACACATTTATTATTCACTATGGGCAAAGAACTGGAGATACAAGGACGAAAAAGAAACTGTCCCTGTTTAAATTCTATAGAGTTCATAGACTCGAGAGAAAAGAGTTCTGATCACATTCTGAAAAGTCCAACAGAACAGAATATTAATATAATCAGAGAGCCAAGAGGTGAAGAGTCTTGTGAGGATAGTTTTTTAGACATAGTGCATATTAGAGCCGATGGCAAGAATAACAATTTCTCCTTGCTTGGAGCACATGACAGCTCACCAGAGTCCCTAATGTTGTTACTAAAACCTTAGTTTTTATCTAGGGATATCTGTTAAGCACATGAATGCCCTTACTTGAAGGCTACCTGTTAGTTCTTAGCTATGCTTAGACCTGACTTGATCTGACAGTGACTGCCAGGTCATCCTCAGAATCTCAGGTAAAAAAAGTGGGGTCTGTGGTAATTTCTGAGAAAATAAAGTTCTTTCAATCACATTTTAGTGCTACTTTGCCCATCTAAAATAAGACTGAAAAAAAAAATGGAAACCGAAGGAGAAATAGTAAAATAATGTCACTATAGAACAGAGAACTGTAACTGAACATGGAAGGGTCTAATAATCAGCAAAGAATACAATTGCTAACTTAATTTGTCCATTTATTAAAATTGATTTGTACTCAGCAACCAATTCATAATTACTTAGAATCATGGTATTTTTAATTCAAGACAGTATTAGATATGAGTATTTAAAAAATATTTAATTATCTACCAAGAATTGTGAATTAGAATAACCTTGGACAAGTTTTGTGTGTGTGTGTGTGTGTGTGTGTGTGTGTGTGTGTGTGTTACATTGCCTTATATCTGTATTTTTAGACACCGTTCCAAGGCTGGATCAAGTGTGGGATCCATCTAATAGTGTATAAAGTACAAATTATGGAATGGTAAGAATATTGTGAGAGCACCTGGATGATGCAATAGATACAGTGCCAAGCCTGGAGTCAAGTTGCTAGCTGTGTGATCCTGGGCAAGTCACTGAACTTGCCTTAATTTCCTCATCTCCAAAATGAACTGGAGAAGAAAATGGAAACCACTCCAGCAAATGGGCCAAGAAAACCCCAAATGGGGCCATGAGGAGTTGAGTATGACTGAAACAACTGAGCAACAGCAACAGAAGAGTCTTAGGATGTAGATTTACACATCCTATAGCTCTTTAGAACACTGCATTTGGAATCAGAGGACCAGGGTTCGAATCCCACTTCTGTTGGTAAATATGACCTTGGGCAAGTAGCTTAACATTACTGGGCCTCAGCTTCCTTATCTGTTTCAGATGAAATTGTTGAAGAGATGTCTTCCAAGACCCATTATAACTGTAGAGCTATGTTCCTATGATCATATGATAAACAAACAATAAAATTGTGATCTGACACTGTCCATAAGGTAAAAAAAAATTTTTTTTAATTAAAAAAAATAAAAAGAGATAAAAAAATGAAAAGAAATGAGACCTTTATCAGAGACACTGGCTGTAAAGTAAGGTCTTTCTTTAACAATACCAGGCTAGTAGATTCATTTGCTTTTATGTGTTGTATACCTAATATATTCTTTTTAAACCATTACCATATTGTTTTGAGAATTACTGTTTTGTAGTACAGTTTGAAGTCTGACACTGATAGGCCTTCTTCATTCCAACTTTTTACCCATTCTTTCACTCAAAATTCTTGACCATTTTTTTTGCCTCCACATCAATTTCATTATTACATGATATATCCAAATTAACAGAACAAAAAAAGAGAAATTAAACAACCCAATTTCAGAGGAAGAAATTGAATGAGCCATAAATGAACAGCATGAATTGGATGGATGCATAAGTGAATTCTATCAAATGTTCAAAGAACAATTAATTCTAATATTACATAAACTGATTGTAAAAATAGCAAAAGGTATCCTTCCTAATTTGCTCTATGACACAGCACACCATTGACTCATACTGTGCTGAGCTTTGAAGGAAACTAGGAATTCTTCAAAATCAAACTAAGAAGTTTGAGTTACTGGGGATATCCTGAGAAAAGGAACAGGGACAGAAGACTCCATCTCCACACAGGATACTCCATATCCTGTGTGGAGAATAAGAAGGCCTATTTGCCTGGACTATTTAGCGCATGAATAGGAGTTATAAATAATAAGGCTAGAAAATTGTGTTGGGAGTTAGGTTATGAAGAGCTTTAAATATTGATCAGAGCAGTGTGTATTTGATGTTTGAGGAAACAAGGAATCAGTGGAGTTTGTTGAGCAGAGGAGTGGCATAATCGGATTTGTGGGGGAATTTTTTTTAGGGAATTACTTTTGACTGCTCTGTGGAGTGTGGGTTAGAGAGGACATGGACCTGAGACACAGAGACCAATGAGGAAACCATTGCCCTAGTCCAGGGGACAGCTGGGGGCTTAACCTGGGATGATGGCTTCATCCGTAGCGAGGAGACAGATTTGAGTTAGGTTGTGGTGGCAAAATTGATGAGACTTGGTGACTAAGTGGATGTATTGACATTCATCAATCCTTTCAGCACCAGGGGACGAAGTTCAGTTAGGCCTGATCACTTGAATTCATGAAGATCAGCTAGGGGTTTGCTGCCTATCTCCCTACTTATCTAGAGTGTTCACTCCCCATCAGACATTTTTGCTGTGTCCTTTCTAATTTCCAAATCATTCTTTTGGTAGAGCAAACAAACACGACCTCTTCTGAGACCCTTTCAGTTCTGGATCTGTGATCCTATGATCCTAAGGAGAGACCACTTCTACCTTCTCCACAGTCCATTATCATTATCCCATCTACCCTGAGAAGTGGCCTTATCTCTTCCTTGAATCTCCTCTTTTTCCCAATACAAATTTCCTTTTTATTGCGCTTTGCACCTTTTCTGTCACAGCTTATCCTGATGCCTTATGTTGCTTCTCAGTAATTGCCTCTTCAATTCCTCCATTTGAGACTGTTTTCTTTGGGCTATCTACTTTCTGTCTGGCTTAACATATTTATACTTTTTCCCAAATCTTCATCCATTTATTTTCTTATCAATTTTGTTGGATGATTCTTCCTCCTTCTTCTTCTCTTTCTTCTTTGTCTTCCTCCTCCTCCTGATCTCCCAGGCTAGAAGTACAGTAGCCACATAGCCACCACTCAGAGGCCCCAGAACCCAATCCCACTGCCAATCAACACAGAAGTTCTGTTTCCAACCTGGGTTTCTTTGTCCTTCCTTAGGCAGCCTGGTGGCTTCTCCATGTCCTGCCACTATATAAGAGAACCCTCCTTACCATAATAAAAATAGCAATGAAGAAAAAAAATATGATTGAAGATGCAAGCCTATACAGAGACTAAGAAAAAAAAACAGATATTGTTGGCTAATGGTTGAGTTAAAGAACAAATTATAGAAACAATACAAAATTATACTAAAAGACGACAGCAGAAATAAAACACCCAGAGTTAAGAAATGTGGCCAAAAATGATGCAAACTTTTATTTCTGAGTACATATTTACAAGAGAAAAAAAACCATAATTATTTAAGTTGGCAAAAAAATTAGAAAATGAGAAAGAATACAACAAAAGCTAATTGAAAAAGAAGAATCAATGGAAGTAAAGGAGAAATGACCCACAGGTTTAGACTGAGTGTGTAATATACTTTATAAAGCAATAATACAGAGGAAGAGATATATAATTTAAATACCTCTAAATACATTGCTGCAAAAATAAATCCTATATGGCATTTTTTTTTCTTTAGGCAACTGGGGTTAAGTGACTTGCCCAGGGTCACATAACTAGTAAGTGTCAAGAGTTTGATCTGAGGTTGGATTTGAACTCAAGTCCTCCTGACTTCAGGGCCAGTGCTCTATCCACTGCGTCACCTAGCTGCCCCCCATATGGCATTTATACTGACTTCCACTACCTGTCACTACATTCTATAAACCTGCTCCAATCCCTCTCTTGTAGGTAGCTTGGGACATTGCCACCAATTACATTTGTCTCTCTCCTCCTTTCAGTGACATTGTCTCCACTCTTCTCATCTTTCCATCAGGCCTCAATTACTCATCAATTCTAACTTCTCATCTTTCCCTTCCCAAACCCTCCACTATTCCTGACCTTCCTCATTAATCTTTTTTTCCCCTTTTCCCCACCCTACCATGGTCTCTATATATATATTCTCCTCCCCTTAACAAACACCAGAACTCCTTGGATCTCTCCTGGTGTCCACAGTGACCTCCTGGACCTGAAATTTTCCTGGGCCAAGATTTACATCATCATCATAATAATAACTAGCACTTATAAAATATTTTTACAAAACCAAAATGTTGTACATGTTTTGTCACTTAATCCTTACAACAACTCTGTGAGGTAGGTGCTATTATTATCACCATTTTACATATGAGGAAACTGAGGCTGGAAGAGGTTATATGACTTGCCCAAGGTCACATAGCTAATAGGTATCTGAGGCAGGATCTGAACAGTTTTTCTTAACTCCATGCCCAACATTCTATCCATTGCATCACCTAGCTGCCCATAAAGGGTGTCCCAAAAGCCTTGGTGGAGTTTTAAGCAATTAAATATTAAAACTTCACTAAGGCTCTTAGGACAAAAAGGTACATCTTTGGCCAATAAGCAGGTGTCATTTTTGGCCCTAAATAAGTCAACCCAGTGAGGCCCTTAGCCGTAGTTTGTCTTTAGAAAATGCTGAACAGCAGTAATGAGACTTCTGCTCCCACTCAATCACAAAGAAGGAAAAAGCAATCTGCCCATGCCCTCTCACTGAGGATTCAAAGCATACAGGGTTACTAACAAATACCAAATTAAATTCCATAACACTTTTTAAAAATTAGGTCGGGCTAATTAAGTGAAGCATTAGAATATATAACAGTGATCGGCAAATATATTGATTACAAGGGTCCATAAAGGTCTTCCAGTAACTGGTTCAAAGTCCAGCTCCAAATGGTTATGAGGAACTCCGCCATGTCACCACAAAGTGATACTCCAAGCTTATGCTGTATGTAATCAAGTCCACTGAAAGCACCTGCAAGGAACCAAAAGAAGAACATGGGTTCTCTTTCCACAGATCTAAGCATAGGCCAGCAGATTTCCCTCTAGAGTATTCTATGATAACCACAACATACCCAATGGAGGCAGCACAAGTATTATGATCCTTGTTAAAAGATCAGGAAACTGAAGATCAGGAAAATTAAGTCACTAGCTCAAGGTGACCCAGCCAGTAAATGGCACAGCTCAGCCATGAGGCCTGGTCTTCTGACTCAGTACCACATGACTTCCCATGTAAGTTTGTCTCTGCTGGACCACAGCCTAATTGCTTTTTTCCTCCTCCTACCTAGATGTTCTTCTTTCTCCTCTCCATCTTTTCTTCATATCTCCACCTCCCAACTCAAGAATACCAAGCATATTCTGTTTTTCCTTTTATCTATCATTTTTTTAAGCAAATAATCCTAAGGTGGTTGAAAGCTATCGGTTGTTGTTGTTCAGTCATTTTCAGTCATGTCCAACTCTTCATGGCTCCATTTGAGGTTTTCATGGCAAAGATACTGGAGTAACTGGTTTGTCATTTCCTTTCCCAGCTCCTTTTACAGAGAGGAAACTGAGGCAAACAGAGTTAAGTGACTTGTCCAAGGTCACACAGCTAGTAAGTGTCTGAGGCCAGATTTGAAATCAGAAAGGTGAGTCTTTCTGACTCCAGGCCCAACATCCTATCAATTGCGCCACCTAGCAGCCAACTGATTGTTAGCTTGTTATAATCTTGTGTCATTCTATGAGTATGAGTGTGCATACTGTGTGTGTAGTCTTCTAGCATATTTGGAGGAAGACAGGGGAAATTGCTTGTTATGAAAATTGAAATAAATGTATAAATAATAATAAACATTAGAACAAAATACAGAAGAACACCTGTGTGGAGATCAGTGTGTTCAGGAAGTACCAAGAGAGGAAGACGGGGGTACGTTTTAAAATGGACAAATAGGTGGAGGTTTTCAATTTGTAGTATGTGATTTGGATGGGAATAGTTACTAACACTAAGAGTAGGAAAGAGCGGAATAAGATATGGTTCTCTTAAACTTCAGTCCTCTGGCACTTGAAGTCCTTAACAATCTGTCCACAATTTACCTTTCCAGCCTCCTTATGCCCAACTGACTCTCACACTCTGTGGTCCAAACTAATTAGCGTTCTTACCATTCCCTATACATAACCCTTCCACTACCATCTTCATACCTTTGCAATGACTATTCCCCAGATCTAGAATACATTCCTTCCTCACTCTTAATTCTTAGAATCATTCAATTCCTTCAAGACTCAGGTCAAATACCACCTTCTACATGAAGCCTTTTCTCATGCCCAGCCATCCATCTCTAAACCACCTCATATTTATTGATTTAATATGCTAAATATGGATTAAATAAGGTAATTGTAAAAGTATTTATCATTGTGCCTGGCTCATAGTAGGTACTAAATAAATGTTTCTTCCTTTCTATTATATATGCCATATATATATATATATACACACACACACACACATATATATGCATGTATATATGTAAATATGCATATATCTACATATGCATATATCTACATCTAGTTATACCTATAACTATATCTATCTGTATCTATGTATATCCCTATATATATATACATATATATACTATATATCTTTTTATATCTATCTACATATAGATAGATATATACCTTTATATCTCTATCTCTCTATCTAGTTTCTCACAACAGAATGCAAGCTCATTGAGAGAAGGGGCATTTTATTTTTCTCTTTGTTTCCCCAGCACTTAGCACATAGCAGACTTTTAATAAATGCTTATTGAGGGTTTTGTTTTTCTTCCCTTCTCAATGTATCAGAGAGGGAAAGGTGGGAAGGAGAGAACTGAAAATAAAATTGAATTTAAAAAATAAATGTTTGTGGAATGACTGATTGATTATTTCTACTGGAAGTCAATCTTCCAGGTAGTTTTCCCTTTTTCAAAAATGGCCATCTAATGGAGACTTTGTCCAAATTTCTAGACTTAGGAATGAAATATTAGGATTAAGAGCCTCAGTCTCTCCCATATATCCCATTTTCCCTTTCCCAGTGAGCCTGAGCTAAAGTGGTAGGAGTTATGAGTAGGGCACCAGGAAGGCAAACACATGAACAGAGCTACAAGGACTCAACCCTTAGACATTTCACTAAGACCATTCATTAGTCACAAACCTGTGTTGTTTGGTTATACTTAAAGTTGGCTAAGGGGAAATTCTGGTTGTTGTAAGTAATATCGACGTGGGTAATAGAGGCAGTGCCTGCTCCCCATATGTAAATATAGCCCAGATGCAGTGGTCTTGTGGCTATGATGTATCGATTGTGAACAACGTGGTTCTCCAGTGTGTTCTGTGAAAAGAGAGAAACATTGGGGAGGGGGAGGACAGGAAATTATGAAGCCACTTTATTTCACTTCATTCCCCTTCATTCCATATCAAGTGAATGGTCTACAGTTACTCTGAATACAATCAGTCCATTTCTCCCTTTCTCAAGAATTTCTTTTTCCTTCCTACTGACACAGAAAAGTGGTATTGAATTATCTCTTTTTGCTGATGGGGAAACGAAGGCATTACTAGTTAGGTCAAATAATGAAGAAAATTTCAAGGTCACTGATTTTTCCTTACCAGGATACTATCACAGGATAACCAGGACTGTCTAGATGTCCAGCAATGAATACATCTGTATCCCCTGACAGGGGTTGAGTCTATTGACTCAAAGAACATTTAGTGAGCACCTGTTTCTCTACCTCAAACTTAACTAGGTCCTGTGAGAGACAAAGTCACTGATTTCAAATTGTGGAGACTAAAATAATAGACCTACTGGGTGGGAAAAGAATTTAGAAATAATTTAGCCCAGCCTTCTCAATTTACAGATGAGGAACCTAGGCCTCAAAGGAGCAAATTGACTACTCAAGACCATATAGATAGAACTCTGGTCTTCCAAGTTGATGAGGAGAGAAAACACACTTACAAATGGGGAAGAATCATAAGGCAGTATAGAAAAACATAGAAGGCACACTTTAAGGAAGCAGCTTAGTGCAGGGGAGAGACCATGGACACTATGAGTGAGGAAGACCTGAGTCCAAGTCAGACTATATGATCCTAGCTATATGATCACAGGCAAGTTACTTAATGACTCTCAGACTCAGCTTCCTCATTTGTAAAATGGAAATAATAATAGCACCTACCTCACATATTGTGAAGATCAAATGAAATTATATAAAGGGCTATATAAATAATAGCTGTTGTTATTAAGGAGTTGCCTGAGGCACACATTAGTTACATGACTTGTCCAGAGTTACACAGCTAGTATTAAAGGTGGGACTTGAAGTCAGGTTTTACATATTCCCAGCTTGTGCTCTATCTACTGGACCATCTCTGCAAATGGTATAATATAGGCCTTTAACATCATTAATAACACTTACCTGTCTAACAGAAAAGTTTGCCAAGTAATACCATCCCTTTTCATATGTATCTGCAAAAAACCAGTACATTCAAGAGAGTCATCACATATTCCCTGACTACTTCCCGTCTCCAAGCTTTACCTATCACCACCTCCCCCTCAAATCCACCACTAGGGTCAGGGGGTCTTTAAAGGTATATGAATAAAAACATTCTCATTCAAAGCCAACATGCTGAGTGACTGGAGGAGCATTTTCCCTCAAATACCTACATCTGCATTACTCTATTCTCTTAATTGCTCCTTACAGTGTTCCAATCTCCTCTTCTCCATTTTACACCTACACTTTGGGTATTGGTGATCATGTCTACTGGGCATGGCCATTGCCATTGCTAAATCATTATATGGTCCCGGTGTGACACAGAAGTAAGCAAAATTGCCTCTTGAAAAATTAATTCAAGTTTATTTTCCAACCAACTCACCAATGTTGTGATGCACCATGGTTGTCAATAACAGAGGGAAAGAGTGAGGAGCCTAGTCATGGGAGGAGCTACAGATTAGAAGAGGATAATGAATATGGGAGAAGAGGAGTGAAATGAATATGGGAGAGATAAGGGAACTCTGGTGGATTTCAAGGTCAAGCTGACCTGAAGATGCCATGAGAGAAAGGAGGAAAAGATAACAAGATTTATTGACTCATTAGATGAATGGGAGGAAAGCTCAAAAGAGCTCTAGAGATCATGGGCAAAAGCCCATGGGCTCTATTTAAATGCTTCAAGGATCCATGATGATTAAAAAAAATTCCAGTTATGTGTAAAAATGTTAAGGATTCATGCTAATTTTATCACTACTGATACTTCCTCCCCTGAGGCAGATCACAACACCTCCATGGTTTACTAAACTGTCTTCAGGGGTTGCTGTGGTTGAAATTATAGTAAACACCCTCCACCACCCTCAGGTTCTGGGTTTGGCTAAAGTAGTCCTGAGACAACTGACATGGGGTCACATACCCAAAGTGAGAAGGGACCTCTGAGGCTGTCTTGACCAACTCTCTCATTTTACAACTGAAGAAGCTCTTAAGAGATTACATCACATAGGTAGTAAGCATCAGAAGCAGGTTTTGAAGGCAGGTGGTTTGACTCCAGAGCCAAAACTCTTTGCCCTACTTCTCAAGTAGATAGATACATAAAATCCCTGACCTAAACTCATCATCCTTGAAGACTCTCCAGTTTGGTGGCACTCCTAGAGCATTTGTTTTGTTGCTAGCCTTTGAAAACCCAGGTGATTCTCATTACTAGCAACAAGGCAACAGGATAACTTCTTGGTGGAGCAATACACATGCAATCGGCAGAATTTTTAGTATATAATTAATAGTTCAGGGTGCTTGGGCTTACCCTCAGATCATGGTGATTTCCTATTATCAATGAGAAGGTTTCCGATGGTCAAGATATAGCCTCTTTAGAAGCTAAAAATAAAACATGACCACAGACGCTACCTGTCTGTATCCAATCAATCACTGCTTAAACTAACAATCAAGGTGTTAGTCAGGTAATGGTGGTGCTACTTTGGATTTATTCTCACTACACAAGACCACTACCACGAGCGCTCAGGAAATGTAAAGTGTGTTCTATGTACTCCAGGGAACCCCTGAGTTGCTCCTAATAGCAACAACTACTTAGGAAAGGGAACAAGTGTTTATCTCAGCTACAGTTGGGGATAAAACTACCTCCAGTACCACCAGGAACAATCATCATGCTTCCGCCAGAAAGGTTAGGTTTTTCCTGATCTGGATGGGACCATGTGTACCTCTTTCAGCGAGCCTTCCTAGAGTACGCTAGTCCATCACAGCCATGACTTATGTAAGGGGCTTATGAGCCACATGAAAACTATGTCCTAGTAACAAAGAGGGTACTTGGACTTGTTTTGCCATCTGCTTTCCTTTCTTTTTTTATTCTTTGTCACAAGCAATGGATTGATGGGAAGGGAAAGGAGATATAATCAGAAATAAATAAAAGATATTAATTTTTTTAAAAACTGTTTTTATAAAACTTCATTCTTGTTTCTTGGTGTGGTAGTAGTTTGAGTATCTGGGCCCTGGGGAGGAACTTAGGACTTACCCACCTTTAACTGGATCAAATCTCTAGACATACAAATTTTCTGTCGCTAATAGGATAAAATAGAAGGGACCTTAGAATTCATCAAGTCCAATCTTTCATTTGATAGATTAAGACACTGGGGCACAAAGAGATTAAATTACTTGCTCAGGGTCACACAGCTAAGCAGGATTTGCACCCAGAACTTCCAGACTGCACATCTAATGCCCTATCCAGTAAACCATGCTATGGCTACGCCTGGCTTTTAAAATAAAACTTTATAAGTGGTTTGAGCTTGAAGAAGAAAGGACAAAATAGTTCTGTAGCATGTACAAGTCTTCTGATGGGGGTAATTAGACTTTGCCTAGGCAGCCCCTACTCACCGATGGTCTGTCCATCATCCCAGAAGAGCCAGCCTTCAGCTTTTCCTTCATCATCCAAGGCAGCTATGAGACCCATAGAGTTTTGCCGGCTGTTAGCATAAGAAAAAATGGTTAGACTCACACCCACCGAGTACATTTTATTTATAACAATAATAGTACTAGTTAGGATTCATATAATGTATTAATGTTCACAAAGCACATCATATATATGTTACCTCATTTGATCTTTACAACTGCTCTCCCCCAGGTGCTACTATTATTCCCAATTTTCAAATAAGGAAATTGTGGCAGATAGCAGTCAAATGATTTGCCTAGGGTCATACAGGTGTTTGCCACTAGAGAAAGAAATGGCAAACCACTCCAGTATCTTTGCCAAAAAGGCCCATGGACAAAAGTCCATGAGATCACAAAGAGCTGGACACAACTGAAGCAACTGAAAAACACCATAGCCACTAAATGTTGTAGGCAAGATTTGAACTCAGGTCTTCCTGACTTCAGGCCCAAAATTCAATCCACGCTACCACCTAGCTGTCTTTAGAGCATCTGGTATTATTATACATGTTTTGCAAGGAAAGGAATTAAAATTCAAATTTGTTGTTGTTCAGTCATTTCCAACTCTTTGTGACCCCATGGACCACAGTGTGCCAATACCGTCCGTGGAGTTTTCTTGGCAAAGATACCAGAGTGGTTTGCCATTTCCTTCTCCAGTAGATTAAGGCAAATCAAGGTTAAGTGACTTGTCCAGGTTCACACAACCAGTGTCTGAGGCTGGATTTTAATTCAAGTCTTTATGACTCCAAACCCATCTCTCCATCCACTGAACCACCGAGCTGCTCAAATATTCAAGTTAAAGTGCCAATAACATCAATCTACTCCTATATGTGTTCCAATGTATCCATCTACTCGTGTGTGACCTACTATTTCAGGCTGGCTACTCCAGCCATTCTTCATCTTACTACCTAGCCAACTTCTCACAAGCAAAGCTGACAATATACATGTATCCCTCTATCCCATTCTTAATTTCAGTTCTAGAGCCATAATTAAAACAATCCAACTATATTACAACTACTACTGGAAAGGATGTATAAACCTATTCCCCTAGGCTCCACTCACCATCCTTCCATTGCTATAACTTACAAATAAAAGTACCCATCATTGTCCAGTTTTTCCCTACATGTGCTGTCTCTTTCTGTTAACAATGTAAGTGCCTTGAGGGGAAAGACTATTTTCAATTTTGTATTTGTATTCTCAAGGCTTAGCACAGTGGTTAGCCTATGTCATATCTGACGCTTCATGACCCTATTTGGGATTTTCTTGGCAAAGATTCTACAGTGGTTTGTCATTTCCTTCTCCAGCTCATTTTACAGATGAGGAAACTGAGGCAAACAGGGTTAAGTCACTTGCCCACGGTCTCACAGCTAGTAAGTGTCTGAGGCCAGATTTGAACTTGCATAAACTCATGAAGATGAGTCTTCCCAACTCCAGGCCCAGCACTACCTAGCTGCCCAGCTTGGCCAATGGTAAATGGCTTTTAATTCATCTACTCCAGCACCCTCATTTTATAGATCACAAACCAAAACCTAAGTGAAGTCTAAGGTGTAGCCCAAAGCAAGTAACTTAACCTCTGTCTAGCAGAGCTGGGATTCAAACTCAGGTACTGACTGGAAAACCAGTACTCTTTACATTGTTCCTTAAGAAGTGATAGGATCACAGGGGACTTTGAGGCCAGCTAATCTAATGCTTTCATTTTTTAGATAAGGAAGTTGAGGACCAGACAGATTAAGTGAATTTGTGCTATGGTAAAGGTAGGATTTGAACTTAGGTCCTGTGACTCTATATTCAGTTCTTTTTCTACTGTACCATGCTGTTTCTTATTATCTTTGGCCCTAGAATCCCTAAATCCTTTATTGGATATGCCTTAATGGCTTTAAAAGCATTAGCCTTCCTGGCATTCCAGAAACATAAGAAAGGACAGCAGAAGGAGAATTAACATTTTATCCAAGATTGCCATGAATCAGGTGACAGCCCTTTTCCCTGCCTTCCTGCCCCAATCTCCAAAGTCCAGCAGCCACTCCCAAATTTTACCTCTTTCCCACCAAAACTGAGGATGATTTATAATAATCAGTCAAAGAACTTGGCATAAATTGAGTCAAGGAGTTGCTACACTTCATTAGAAATTAATGTTGAAACTAATGTCTCCTAGGAAAGGTGGTATACATAGGGAAAATCTCAAGTCTCTTACTCACCTGTAGTAGGTGTTATTGGCGGGTTCTTGCCATGGAAGGATGTAGCCCCCACGGACATGAAGATTAATGTGGTTAAGGGGAGCTAATAATACTGTAAACTGTCCCCTCAGTCCTACATCTGATCCCTGTGGCAAGAAACAGGAGGGGATAATAAGAGACAGTATTTGCTTAAGGTATATTTACCTTTCTTCAGTCCTAACTTCAACTCCCCCACTGTCCCATCTCCACTGAATCTGCCTATCACCCTAAGTGAAACTACAACCATTTACTTAACTGAAATCTAAAGATATTTGAGTCAGAGAAGAGTGACTATCTAACCTGGACTTCCAGGTCAACTGTTTCATAGTTTCCCTCATCATCAAGTTAGATCTCCTACACATCTTTAAGCTTAAAGAGATCCTACATATCCTCTACCAACCCTTATTTCTTAGCTCTTGTGCCTGGATCTTTGTTCTTGTATCTTCTGGAAAAGAACAAAGAAAACACACAAATCTAGGCCATTGAAAATTCATTCCGTCCAACTCAATTGGGCCACAGCTCAGCAGTGTTTGGGACCATGAGAACATCACAGTCCAATTTGACCAGACCATAGAGTAAATCATGGAGAATATGCAGAAAGTAAGTTGGGACCAAAGTATAAATAGACGATCTTCAATGCCAGGCTATGCCAGATAAAACTAGGAAAGTTTCTGAGCCTGAGGGATAACATAATCATAAATATACATTATGAAAATTCTGGAAGAAAGATTCATAAGAAGAGAGACTAGGTGCAGGAAGAGAAGTTAGAAGGCTCTTGCAATGTACCAGTTTTAATGCAACAAGAGTCTAAACTAGTGCGGTCACAGTGGGAATGGAGAAAAGAGGATAGATAATCAAAGACAAAACAGAGATAAACTATTCAGGACTTGGAAGTTCTTGGTGGAGTGGTAAGGGAGATATAACTATCAAAGATGACTTCAAGGTTTCAAGTCCAGGTTACAGGGAGAATATGGCAGTATTGTTAATAGAAATAGAAAAATTTGGAGAAGGGAGAGTTTAGAATGAAAGATGTGGGATCTGTTATGGTCACATTTGCTGGTGCTGAAGTCAAATAGAAATTCCGTAGTGAGTGTGGGTCAGCACTACACATATAAATGCAGAAATTATTCTCTTAGAAATGATGGTTCAAGCCACATAAATGAGTAAGATCACTGAACACATATGGAAAGAAGTAGCCATGGAAAGAGCCTTGGAAACCTCCTCTGTTTTGGTATTCAGAAGAGAAGAAAGGTCATTGATAAAGACAAATAAATCTGAGTGGTAGTCAGTGTGTGAGTAAATAATGGAACAGAAGAAACCCAGGCAAAACAGACAACCAAGAAGGATCTGATGCAACGAAGGGCAGTAACCACAAGGACTGAGAAAGGGCCCTGGATTTGGCAATTATAAGATCAATAACTTTCAGTCTTCCTTTAGAGAGAAGAGATTGTCATTTCAACTTCAACTCAACATTACTTACTTGACAACTTCCCTTAACAAGCTTCACTTCACTTCCTGAGAAAGACGGATACCTCATCTTTTCAAGGACTAAGATATGTATTTGAGATTCTATCCGTACTCTAGAATCCAGAGGGACTCTACCTCAACACTTAGCCATTTTCCAACATCTTCAGTAACTCTCTGTTGTCTCTTTTCTATCTCTGAGCTTAAAGAAAAATTATCTTGACTGTGCTTAATTCCTGTAGTTATTGTCTTATTTACTTTTCTTCATGTTTTCATGGTAATACTTTTAATTTTAACACGGATTGTCTCCATTTCCTTAATGTAGCTTCCATTTCTATCATTCCACAGAAATTTCACAATTGTTGGGAACTCCACATTCTGAAAAGAAAAGGTTATTGATCCATTAACCCTGATCCTTAGGTCAGGAGGTTGGGCTCCCTTAAAAGAAGCTGGCTGCTGCAGAATAGCCCCAGTTGCATAGCAAAATAGCAGAGTCATACACAAATATTCTGACTAAAGGCAGGTGCATCCCAGCAGGAAGAGAGTGATTGTTCTGTCATTCAATCATACCCAACTCTTCCTGGTTTTCTTGGCAAAGATACTGGTTACCCTTTCCTTTTCCAGTGTGTCTGCAATATACAGAGGGGGAACAGAAGCAAAAAGGGGTTAAGTGACTTGCCCAGGGTCACACAGCAAGTAAGTGTCTGAGCCCAGGTTTAAACTCAGGTCTTCCAGACTCCATGGCTAGTACTCTATCCACTATGCCACCTAGCTGCCTGAGAGAGTGATAGTGAGTCATTAAAATGACCATAGTTCAGGACTCAGTGCTTAAGGTGAGGAGAGAAAAGAGGGGAAGCCTATGGGAAAGAACTGGGTAGAAGACACAGGAAGTCTGTTCAATGCAAGGCAGAATTCCCTAGAGTAATTAGAAGTGTATATATTAACTCATTTGGGTGAACTTAGAAACCATTTCACTAAAGCTATTTCTGGAGACTCCTGTAGCACCCTGAATATGAATCTCACCAAAACTAATTTAGAAGTTGAAGACCCTATAAGCAAAAATTGCTTTATTTGATAAAATTCCTCTTTTCTACTGGGATACAAGTGATTCACTCAGCTCACAAGGGCTAGTCACCATAGCTCCTGCCATTTTTGAAAAGTGCTTAGTAAATACTTGACTTTGGAAGACTCCTAGCTACTCACGCTTATGATCAGAAAAACTGGAAAGAGTATTGATGATAACGGTATGCCAGGAATAACTACTCAAGGACTGTGTAGGACAAACATGACATAGATCCTGACAATATTCTAGAATGAGATATCTTCATCAACCACCACCCCATTTCACACCTAGACTATACGTATCATTCTGAACATAGGGAGCATGAGGTCATGTGTACCATCACAGAGGCTTACCGTATAGAAATCATACCAGCGGGCATTGGGGAGATAGGCAGTCACACTCGAGGCATTCTACAGTAAATTACATAACATAAAAATAAGTAAATAAATACATGGACAAATTGGTCAAAATTTTCTAGAGGCATTAACATGATTAATAATCACTACATTTAAGAGTATTCAAAAGCAACATATTATGGACTTCTCATGTCTTCACTGACTCCCAATGACACCATGATTTAAGGGTAAGAGGGAGTATTATTCATTTTACAGATAAGGAAATTGAAGCCTCAAGAAAGATTTAAAGCTGCAGAACAATTCAATGCCAACACAAGGACTAGACCCTACCACTGGGAGGCCACACTCAGACCCAATTCTACTACTCAATATTATATCTCAGTTTGGATTATGAAGAGGCTCAGGAGAACCCATACTCACAGGTTCCAGGACAGGGCTGATTAAAAAGGCTGGACCCCACAAGAATTGACGGTATATGTCCCAGGTTTCTCTGTCTTCCACAAACCTGAGCAGAGAAATATGGTGTCACAATTCAATGGTAAAGACAATGTCCTCTCAGGCCATTGGATCACTGAAGTTACTGCTCAAAGGGACCTTAGAAAGGAGTGTAACTTTATGATTCTGATGAGTCTCCAGGGGGTTTGGGCTCCACCCAAGAAATGCCCAACCTCTGTTCCCTTTGTGTCCTTCCTTCTTTCCCTAGGTCTGGTTCAATCAGGCACAGGTAAGGATATTAAGCATGGAGCATTTGAAATATCAAGGTGACTGCCTTATTTCCTAGCCCCAGGGCTTTCTCCTACTATTATGTAGATGTTCAGGAAATGTTTCAAAATACTTGTAGCCTATCACACTCATAAAATAGAAAGTCAAATTGCTGACTTATAAAGAAAAATATAATTTTCTATATCACTAAATGAAAAAGAAAAGACTTTTGGATTATCAAGTGTCACTATATAATTCTCATGTTTTAAAAAAAGGAAAAATTATAACAAAAACATGTATTCATATAGTGCTTGGAGTTGTGCAAAATGCTTTCCTCACAGCAAACCTATAAGGTAGAAAGCATCATTATTATTGTCCCCACTGGACATTAAGAAAACTGAGCCTCAGAGCAACAGAACATGTGGTTCGCTCATGGTCACAACCTACTGCCATGGCTGAGATAAAAACAAGAACAACAAACACATCTTCTGACTCCAAGGTTCATGCTTGCTTCCATGTGCTTCCCCTCTACTAAGGATATACTCTATTTTAGAATGAATCAATGAATGAAAAAACACTGATCAAGTGCTCACTAGATGTAAGACAGTGGAGAAACAAATACAAAAGCAAGGCAGGCCCTGTTCTCAAGGATCTTCCATCCTAATAGGAGGAGGTAACACATTAAGGAGCTTCCTACCGCAATTCAAAATGGAATCCAACATAGCACCCTGAGACACAGAGTGGACACTTACTCATGAAGCAGGGGCCTGACAACAGTGCTGCCTTCTACATGGGCCTTGTGCATCAGGGTGTAGAGATAAGGCAACAGGGCATATCTTATCTGCAGGACATTTCTTGAAAGATCCTCAAAGGTGGAATTCCAGGCCACAGGGTCTTGTCTCTAGAGATAGAAGGAGTCAATACTCATACCAAACCCTTCACCTCACTTCACTTGGCAATACGCTAGATAACTTGAGAGCTGCCCTCTACTACACAGGGAACCTGCAGAGCCAGCCATGCTCTGCTTCCTAATTCCCCAGGCTACCATCCCCCTTGACCTTGGCTAGGGAAGACATTCTGATGCAGTGTTCCCTGCTTTGCTACACTTTACTGTACTCTAAAAATACTTAGATTCCAATAGGAAACTATATCTTGGGCAGCACAGACCAAACATATATTTGTTCTGCAGCAATCTTTCACTGCAGTGGATTAAAGCCAAAGAATGCATGTGTGAAAGATTAGAGGGACCCTGGGCATTGTAACCTCCTGCAAGAACTGTAGAAACTGCCCAGAGTCAGAACAGAAAACATCTCTGCTCTCTGCAATCTTTTTTCTTGAGTTTCTGGTAAAGGTGAGATATTCTAGAAAACTCCACCAGCTATGGGAATGTAGGTTACACAGTCTGTTGGGAAGGGAAGGACTGGTGACTACTGAGGTGGCTTCCAGGAAAGAGGGGCTCCATCAAGTCATGGGGGAGGAATTGAAGCAGGAGGTCTGGCACAAGGGCAGGCCTGAGGCACAAGCTGGTATCTCACCCTTTGCCCAATTGTATTGTGGTTCCTAGAGAAAGGGTAAAAGGCTCCCAGCTGCATCCAGCGAGCACACATCTCATATTCAGCATCTTCAAAGAACCCACAGATATCAGCTCCTGTCTGAGAACAAAAAGGGAAAACAGGAATGAGAATTTTATGAGTTTCTGAAACAATCTAAAAACGATGAAGTCAATTTGAGTGAGACTTACATAGGATATTCCAAAGAGACTGAATTCCATCATGCCTGCAATGAGAACCAAAGCTCTGTTAGATGAGGCAGGTTGGTAAACTGGACCAGGCTCTACCCTTCCCTGCTCATTGACTTAGATAGCTCAGTATGAATATAAGTCTAATGAAATACATGGAGTGATACACTTAATTAGTCAGGGACCTGAGCCCTCTGTGATCCTCTTCAAGAATCCAGAAAAATTACCGACTTACTGAGCACACAGGCTAGATTCCTCCCCACTCCAAGACAAACCTTCAGGAAAAGCCCGGCACTTACCAATGATGGATTTATAGAGCTGGTCCCATGCTGCGGTGTTGTCTCCCAGCCAATGTCCTGCCCAGCGTCCTGAGGATGGAAAGGTTGAGCGAGTGATCACGATTCCTCTCTCTCCTGTGGCCTCCTGCACAGCTCTGATCAGGGAAGAAAAATAAGAAATGACAGCTAATCTGGGAAGGGCCAGAGATCTTTCCCTCTCAGGGAGCTCTTGTTCTCAGGGAGAACAAGAGGGGAAAATGGTCCAATGAAATCAATCTGTACTTGGTGCAGGAAGGAACTAGAAGGAACTACATGCTTGTGTGGGGGACAAGAGCAACATACTTTACTTAAGCTGTTGAATACACCCACTGCCCTAATGTGTCACTTAAAATAATTCTTACCAAAATATATTTCCTAAACATAAAAAAGAGATTCAAGATAGGAACTGGACCAGCAATTTCATTCATTGGAAACTCCAATTCAGTTCACTTGCTCTGTGGGCCTCAGAGAGAGGGAAGCAGGGACTCACTCATATGTAGGCTTTGTCTGGGACCAGCCATAGAGATTGTGCACATCATAGTGCCTCACTGGGCTTCCATCAGGCAGGAACTGCTGACTTTCCATGCACAGGGTCTTACTGCTCAGACCTCTGTCTCTTGACTCCAGATCTGAGAAAAAGAGATGTAGTGATGTGAGAGCCCCCTACAATGGCAAGTACTTCACATCTGGTGACAGTGAAGGAGGCGGCTGGAGCTGAAGGGATGAGAGAGGATGCAGTATGAATTTGGGAGAGAAAAGCAGATCAGTGCCAAAGGATGTGAAGCTTTGAATGCTAGGCTACAGTGTTCAGTAGGAAATGGAAAACTGAAAATGAATTGTGAGCATATTGCACAAACCACTGGATTTAGAAATGGAAGAGACCTTAGAGATTGGGAAAGTGGAAATGCTTACCCAAGCAGGTATTGAAGCATTTGGCCTGTACTCTATGCACACCTATGATATGAACCAAGACAGCTTAGAATGCTGCTGGGATTGTCCCTCAGATGCTATCATGCCAATGCCAGGCTGCTAGTAATGAATGAAGGCAAATCCTCAGTCCAGGTATCTCTGACAATGTCATCCTGAGTGTGGATAATATTCTGCCAACTGAAAATATACTTACAGGGCATGTAAGGGGGACGGTTGAATGTGCTATTCCTGCAGCCTGGAGGGACTGCCCCATCCACAAAGCTTGAGGGTTCATTCATATCCTAAAAATGTAAAACAAATCTTTATGTTTATGTGTATTACATACATACATGAACATGTTATCATTACCTTCTGCCAGACGACAATGTACAAATGGTTACACCTGGTGCACTCATCACACATGAGGGAGAGGGACTAATCAGAAGGAGGAAGGTTAAATACTGATGGGGATCACCTGGAAAGATTATGCCTTGCTTTCTCTCAGGGTATGCTTCAGAGTCAAACATACTCAAGGGAAATAATGAATTCACCTCAGTGAAAAATGACAAATTTCCTGATGTGTAAGGTACACTAAGCATCTTCCCTGTAGGATACAGTAATGGTGGATGTATGACAGAAATGCAGATTGTTTAGTGCCTTATTAGAAAATGTCAGCCTCAGGGTAAAATTGTGCCCAGAGTGCCTTGTTTACCAACTGATTTATTCCACTGCAGAATAATTATACAGTTGTGCAGAAATCTACAAGCATACAAAATATTTTAGTACATATGTGGATGTTTATGTACCACACATTCACACACACACAAACCTACACACACTTACAATCCACATTCCATCATATTTCAAGCTCTTCTGTGGCTCGTTGGGATTGCTGTAGAGTTCTAGCAATTCCCGCTTCCACCATGTGACTGTTGAATTGCGGAAAAAGTCTGGGAAGGCAACATGAGCTCTGTACATCTGTAAAGATGAAATACAACCAACAGACAGATTGATCACGTCACTGGCAAATAACTCTAGGATACTTATTATTTCTAACTCTGCTACTGCATGCAGATAACTTCTGAAAAAGTTCAAAGCATTTCCAAAAGAATTCTCAGTATAATAGAAGAAACATCACAAGGCAATTGAATACTTATCAAAGTGGCATACTCATCAAATTCAAACTACTCCCAAGGTTGTGGATGGACTGCCCAACTGTAACAAAAGGACTCCTACCTCTATTGATTGACATCATCTGCCTCGACTGCTATGTAGAGGTTCTTTGTTCCTGTGTCTGTATAGAAATGGGCAGGTTGCTGTCGTTCAGTCATTTCAGTAACGTCTGACTCTCTGGGACTCCATTAGGGGTTTTCTTAGCAAAGATACTGGAGTGCTTTGCCATTTCCCTTTCCAGCTCATTTTACAGAAGAGGAAACTGAGGCAAGCAGGCTTAAATAACTTGCCCAGGGTTACAAAGATAGTAAAGGTCTGAGGCCAAATTTAAACTCAGGTCTTCCTGACTCCAAGCCCAGTGTGCTTATCTACTGCACCATCTAGTTTCCCTTGTGCCACCTAACTGCTTTGCACCAATGACTTTTGAAATGATACTGAGAACCAGTGGAAGTGGCCTGGCTGGTAAGGACTGAAAAATAAAGTTTGGTCCTTTGGGGAAGGATGCTTCCAAAAAAATGTCGAAGGAAAACTAGAATTTAGGGGAGGCTTACTCAGTGAAAAATTCATAGCCATATTTAGGGAAAAGATAGGACTTGGGGAAATGAAATGAGAAATAAAGGAGACTCTAAGTAACAATGAACCCATAAGCTAGCCTCTTCCAACAACTCTTGTAATTATCATTGTTTAAAGGTATACAATTTGTACTATTATGAATACTTTCACTAGCATTTCTTATTTGTATGGGCCTGAGATTCTATCACTCTAGGTAGTCTACAGTGATGCAGCTTAGCCATTTACCTACAACTAAGACTATTTGGAGTCTTAGAGAAGCACCAGGAGGGCACTGGGAAGTAAAATGAGTGGCCTGTGGTCACAAACTCACTCTATTGACCCACAGTTCTCAAGACTAGTAGCAGTCATTCAGACTCCAAGGCTGAGCAAGCATTCCCAGTGTCTCTTCACAGGTGCAGTAAAACATCAATATTGCAATTAAAGACTGCTGCCAGTACCTTACTAACAGTCAGGACAGCAGCATAAGTGAAGTCAGGGCTGCCCACAAATGTTAAAGCCTCAATACAGAGTAACTGTCCTCAAAGTTTCTTAGAGAAGAGAACAGATAAGCCAGATATGCATGTGCATGTGCATGTGTGTGTATGTGTGTGTGTGTGTGTGTGTGTGTGTGTTGTGTGTGTGTGTGTGTGTGTGTGTGTGTGTGCGCGCGCGTGTATTTGAGAGCAACAGAGATAGAGACAGAAAGGGATATTCAGGCAGAAAGAGAGAGAAAAACAGACAGAAATAGAGAAAGATTCAGAGACAGAGAGAGCTATGAAGAAGGGATACAGCATTAGAGTCTTAGAGACCCCACAAAAAGAGGATGGCCAGACGCAACAAGAAAAGTATTAGTCAGTTAACCGACAGTCAAAGAGCATTTCCAAAGCACGTATTATATGCCAGGCATTGGGCTAACTGCTGAATTAGTAAGGAAGACAGGAAGGACTATTGCTTCTCCATGAGGACAGTCCTTTAACAATCTGGACACTGTGAAAAGTTTCTCTACTACAAAAGTTTCCACAAGCTATACTTCAGAAGAATCGTTTACCTCCACTTGTGTGTCCCAGTCAAGAGATCCATCTACAGTGACGTTGGGCAAATCTGGCCAAACCTGTGGGGAAAGAAGGAAGGGGGCATTTACTTAAAATAAATCTAGGCTGTGTCTTATGTCACAACTTACAGATTTCATGAGGAGAATCATAAGGAGAATTTAAATCATCCCTGGAATCAATCTACTTCAAGGAAACACCCAATGCCCCAAATGCCATAATTCACACACACACAGAAACACTGAGAAAAAAAGTGAGCCATTAATGCATACACACCCTGATATCCCTTCACACTCATGCCTAATTAGCTCCTCCAATACTAAACTGTACCTTTCCCCAAACAATGTCGCTGTCATCTGGCCATTTGATGAACACATCATCCTGGAGTCCACGAGTGAATGCAGGATATGGCTGAGTCTCATTGCCAGAAATTGCTGGGTCCTGCAACCAATGAGTGATAATTACTAGAGTGTCAGTGACAGAATTATTCAAAGACAGGGAGAAGGTCAATACCCAACAAGAAGAAGACATTAACATCTGCAGACTTCATTTTGGACTTCAGAGCTCTTTTTGAATAGCAGGAAATAAATTTTTATTTTGCTAAGGTGCCTTATCTGGAACATTGTAATAAACCCCATTTGCCATGAACACGTGATGTTACTACACTGTCTGGGACAGAATTACTCAAAAACAAGGAGAAGCTCAATGCTCAACAAGCAAGAAGACAAAATCTTAATGCAGCCACACACCAGAATAAGGATGACTCGCATCCCAGCCTCCTTCATGCTGCTGATCAGATTGGGAAAGCCAGCAAACTTGGGGCTGAGGGTAAAGTCCAGCTGCCTCTCCATGTAATCAATGTCTGCATACTGTACATCCTGGAAGAAAAAGGAAATGGAAGTGGGGAAATATCATGTTGATGACAACAGATCCAGAGCAAGTGGATCTCTTCAGTAGGGCAGAGGGGCAGATCCACAATACACATTCTTTTGAAGAATCAAGTTAAAATTCCAGACTTCAATCAATCACAATAACTGCTAGACTACTTCTTCCTACCATTATTTGGAATACGATTGGGGTATTTGAGATAATATTATCAACCTGAAAAAGATCAACTGAACCAGTCTATAAATATAATCTTCCAGAAAAATGATATGACTCATTCGAAAATAAAAATATTCTGAATGACCTATACCAGGGGTGAATAACCTGTGGCCTTGAGACACGTGGCCTTCTAAGTCCTTGGGTGCAAGCTTTTGAGCTAGTCCAAGTTTTACAGAACAAATTCTTTTATTAAGGGAATTTATTCTGTGAAGTTGGGATTCAGTCAAAGGGCTGACTTGAGGACCTAGAGGGCCACATGCGGCCTCAATGCCACAGGTTCCCCACCCCTAATGTATATTCTTGCCCCTCTAAGTAGCAGAATGGGATAGTAGAAATCATAATATTTCTTTGAGTGAAGAGAACCTGAGTTCAAATGCTACCTCACATAATTACTAGCTGTGTGATCCTGAGCAAGTCAGTTAAACTCTCTGTGTCTCAGTTCCCTCATCTTTAAATCAGCGGGTTGGACTCCAACTACTCCAAGCTGCCTTTCAACTCTAAATCTATGATCCCCTGGGTCCTGTGCTTCTGCTCTCAATACTTCAATGAAGAGAGATGACATTTAGAATGAAATTCAATGTTTTGCCAGAAACAGGATGGCATGCTCCATTTATTTTCTATTAATATTTTCTCTCTCTCCCTCTCTCTCTTTCTCTACATATATATAGAGACTCTATATAATATATGTATATATACATATGTTTATATATAATACTCTGTATATAACACCTTCTGTAGCTAGTTTCAATATAGGTGGTTACCTCCAAATATTTCTGTTGGAAACCATTTCCATAACCATAATGTATAAGTGAAAATTAGCTAGAATCTAAGATCTCTTCAATTGGAATGGTTGTTTCCTGTTTGAACTAAAGTTGCACTAATCTTTATAATGTTTTGACCAATTCAGTTTTTCAAAAAATTAAATTCAGAAACATCACTTTTTGAGGGCTTCTGCCTAAAATGTCAAACATTTAACTTGAAATGATGTTGGAGAACTTTCAAGTTAATTAAACAAAAATAATTAAACAAGAGGAAGAGGAAATCAAAGTCATGAGAACAACAGATCAGTTACACAGGTTGGGATTGGGGAATGGAGAGAGAGGTGGGGGTGTGCTGGGTAGGGAAGGTCCATACATAGGGGATCTGAGCAGCCACCATGGCATCATAGAGTTCAGCAATTTCAGAATCGTTCTCATATCCATAGCGACACAGCTGGAAGCCTAACGCCCAGTAAGGAGTCATCACTGGCCGGCCAATCAACTGAAAACAAGGACAGTAAATGGATTATATAGATTCCATTCCTTCAGGGTAGGGAACATCGCTGGTATCAAACACAGACTCACTAAAACAATTTTCTCTCCTCCTGTGGTGGCCTCATAACTCAGGTTAACTGTAAGGCCAAACAACATGAAACTAGGGAGGTAGTATTCCTGGGATTTGCTGACATTTCCAAAGGATAATATGTATAAAGCATTTTAACAGTCTTTAGGAGCTATATAAACTTAAAGTATTACTTTTATTTGTGTACCTTTAAGAAATCTGGGATTCTTTAAGAAATAGGGATTGTCCCACAAGAGCACTATGACAATCTAATGGCAAAGAGTGCTTTGTTAAAATCTCTTTATTCCTTTCTAACATTATGATCTGGTCTGCTGAAAACAGAGTGACTATGTAAGGTCACCACCAGTAAGTCAATCAACAGGGATTTGTTAAATATTTACTATGTGCCAGGCACTGTGCTATGCACAGAGGACACAAAGAAGGCAAAAGTCTCTTCCCTCAAAGACCTCACATTCTAAAGGGAGAAACAAGCATGAAGATAACTAAGTATATACACAATTATACAGAGTAGATGAGTGAATGGGCCTTGCACAGTGCTAGGCACATTAGAGTTTCTCAGAAAACCCTTGGTTATCAACTGAAAGATTGCATGACTTCCTACCTCTGTGTACTGTTGAGTGACAAGCTCTGGGGTTGGCCCCAAAACCATGTAAAAGTCTAGAATTCCTCCCACAGTACGATATGTCAGTGCGGGGTGGGCTGGAAAGTCACATCTGCAAACAGAGAATAAGTCATCAGTGATACAGAATCATAGAATAGAAGAGTTGAAGACGATGCTAAAGATCATCTACCCTAAGCCAGATAGAAGCAGAAATCCTCTATCACCCTCACAGGAAGGAGGTCCTTTTATTTCCTTCTGAAGACTTCCAGTGATGAGAAATGACCACCTCCTGAGAAGTCCATCCCATCTTCGAACAGCTCTAATAGTTATTACAGTTTTCCTTATCCAGAACTGAAAGTTGTCTATCTCAACATCTGATGAGCTCGCAAACTTTCTATATGCATGGACTTCTCCATGAAGTTCCAGAAGCTAAATGTAAGTCCCTTCAAAAATCCACATGTGCAACCTTCCTGGATTCCAGACCTACAATTTTCCTACCTACTGGAAATTCCACACAAGGAAAACCTTCTGACACTTGAAATTCAGAACTTCCAAAGAAATCCCATCACCTTCCCCTTCCCATGTTTCTTCTTCTCCTCAGTAGTATTATTGATACCATTATTATCTCAATTACCTAGCCACAAAATCTGGACTCATCTAGTTACTAATTCACTTTATACTGTAATCAAAATGCAAAAAGGCCGACTTTTGGGTCAGAGGACCAGTTCTCAAATACTGACTATCTCTCTTCCTGCTCATGTCATTAAACATAACAACCTCAGTGAATGATACTTTTCTGTAAAAGGAGAGGATTGCATTAATGACTTCTAAAGTCTCTTTCAGGTCTAAACTGATGATTCTATGATATAACATGCAATACTTTCCCACTTCCCTGATTTTGTTCAAACTATTCTGTTTGTGTAAAAATGCCTTTTTTTCTCATGCTTCCAATACTTAGTCATCTTCAATCCTACCCCACCGTTCAAAATACCTAATTCAATTCTCTTACTCCCTTAGCTGCTCATTCCTTGGGGGCCAAGTGTTTTCTCTCTTCTCTAAATTTTTATAGCCTGTTGTTCATACCTCCTTTCTGCCCTTAGTATGAACATTTTTACACGTTATTTCTATGCATATGTTGTCTCCACTTTTAGATTAAAGACAGCTTAAGGGTACAGACAACGTATTCTATTATCTCTTTATCTTTCTTGATGATTAGTCCAATGATTTGTCCATATCAAGAGCTTAATAAATGTGCACTGAATTTTACTTAATTAGAGTTCTGCTGGGACCATCCTCTTCAGAAACTTCCCACAACTTTTAGGTTAAGTGAGATCAGAAAAGAAGCCACCATCTTACCCATGGCATTGCTGTTGAGCAGGAGCACTCCATGGGCACTGCCATCTTCTTCCAGACCCATATAATAGGGGTGCACACCATAGGAATTCTTCTTATACTAGGTCAGCAGTTGAAAAGAGATCAGTCATAATTTACATACAAAACAAATGAAAATGGATAATAAAGCTGGATCCATAATCTTCCTTGGGGGAGGTTCAAGGTGTCAAGGAAAATAAAGAATGAGAGGATGATTCAACTCAATAATATAATTGGGTTACTCAGATTCATAACCATCCTCACTAAGAAGAGCACAAAACCAGATAAATTAATCCTGGAACAAGGCCAAAGAAAACAATGTGTATGAATAGCTACAGGCCATGTGATACTCTAGTTGTGAACACTTACCCCTGGGGGCTGGTCTCGAGAAAACATTCCCCATGTGTGCCAGTTCAGGTTCCTCCGGAATGTCGTGTGCTCAGTTTCCCCAAAGCCATAGATGTACTGAGATGGCAGGCGGGTGGAGATACGTAGGAACATGTCATTGAAGGTAAAGCCAGGGACCTGGGAATCCCAACTGAAACATAAGAGCACATCGTGACTCTAAGGAGGGTTGAAGAATTCCTGTGGTGTGCATCTCTACTACAAGAATCTGTAGAATAGCCACAATTACTCCAACTTTATTTACTAGACTTCAAGATAAAGAAAGTCTCTGTTGCATCTGTTTCTTTGGCTGACAGGGCTTTGACTTTGGAGGTGGTTACAGCAAATAGCATTTAGATATGAGGGCATCGGGGCTTAGTACAAAAGAAAACCCTAGGATGATATGATTTTTTAAAAAATGAAATGAAATCGTTTCTACCCTCAGGAAGCTTACAAGCTAGATAAAGAAACAAAACTATTAGAGAACAATATAATGAATGGTACTAAGTCAATACAATCAAATGTGCTTAAGACAGCTATGTGGTGCAGTGGATTAAAAGCTAGATGGCACAGTGTATAGAGTGCTTGGCCTGGAGTCAGGAAGACTTGAGTTCAAATCTGGCCACTGACACTAACTAGCTGTGTGACCATAGGTAAGTCACTCACATGCTATTTAGCTCAGTTTCCTCATCTGTAAAATGGGGATAATAATAGCACCTACCTCCCAGGGTTGTTATAAGTATCAAATGAGATAATAGTTGTAAAGTGCTTAGCTTAGTGCCTGGCACAGTGTAAGCACTATATTATTGTTAGTTGTTATCATCATTATTAGTATAAATGGATTTATTAAATATCCTAATCTCTCAAACTAAAATCTAATTACATCTACTCATTTATCCAGCTCCTCTCTTTGGTACTTCCTTCTTTTCCCTACCCTACATCACCCCTCTCCTGCTTATTAGGGTAGACCAGCTGTTTCTCAGGGAAACTCATGTTGGTCTTTTGATAACAGATCTAATTTAACAACATGCAGTAAACCCTGGGACCTCTGGGGAAGTAATTTATCTTCTGGTAAAGTTGAGGCCCGAGAAAATGGTACCTGGGAAGAACCTGTTTATTATTATTCTTACTTTGTTGGGATAAATTGTTCCTAGTTTGGCTTTCTCTCCGGGTTATGAAAAAATTGGTCTTTTCATCCAGTTCTACTACTTCCATCTGGAAGAAAGCCCAGGAGTCTTTGGTCTAAGTCTTCCCTATATCTAGGCATGTACAATGCTTAATCTCACTCCATTCTATTCTACAGAGGACATATTAGAGTTATCTTCTCAACATCTAGTGAATGATTTTCACATTTTTATCATGAGAAATAATAATGCAAGTTGATTTTCAAGATCTTATACTTAGTAAAATGAAAACAATCTTTTTTTTTAACTTTCTCCCAATCTGAATGCATATCATACCTAGTTTAAATTTTTTTTAGTACTGAAGAAAATGACAAAAACAGAACTTGTCCATAAAAACTTAAAGTGAGTGTCCTAATATATATCCAAGTTTCTCCCTGACAGGTTCACTGGTCCTTGTAGGTCATGTATCTAAAGGGTGTTACATATTTTAACAAATTTATACACATTTTGGATATGGAAATAGAAAAAACAATGCAAGTTTCCTCCCACAGGAATATTCCATCATCATAGAATCCTTGACTGGAGTGATGTAAAAGATAAGAGATGAAAGAAAACTTACATTCTCTGATCCAATTACCTCATTGTATAGATCAGGAAAACTGAAACCAAGGTATGTCAAGTCACTTGTATAATTTCCCAGAAGTACTATATATTTGCATTTGTTCAAGATAGAAAACTTGAATCCAGCTCACTACTTTTTGACTGGTGACCAAACACAGTAGCTCATTCCACGATTCCAGAAATTAGGGTCAAGTCAAAATGTGGATTGCACACTTATCCCCATACATACAGAGCAGAAAATACTTACATCACAGTGCCTGTGTTTCTTCGACGGATCTCAATTCCAAATGGATTTTCCTTGATGGTCACCTCATAGAGAAGACTTTCAGGTTGGCTGATAGGGAAGACTGGAATATTTAAGGGCACTGGGACTTCATACCTTCTGTTGTTGGGATCATCAATCTAGGAAACAAAAACAATTGTCTCCATAAATAACATGGGACTCATACATTCGTGGTCTTAGAATCTGATTCTCCCAATTGAAAGCTGAACTGATTTCATGGTTTCTGAGGCTCAAACAGCTCTTATTCCTGAAATAAGCCATACATGATAAGAGGAGTACTATCATTCAATTTCTACTTTTCAAGTATACATTGATCCCTTCTTTTTAATGGGAAGACTGGTATGGCCACTGTGGTACCTCTACAATGAACTACAATGTATTTGTCATCCTCAAAATATTACTAGATTACATACAGTATTTAGAGCATCAAGTATTACTACACAGAGACTGTAAGGTCTCTGAGGGTAAAAACCATCTCACTTTTGTGTCTGTAGCTCCAGTGCTTGGCATATAGTAAATACTTAATAAGTATTCTTTCATTTATTCATTCATTCTTTTAAAGTTAGAAATCCTGTAATTCACACCTCACTGTACAGATGAAACTAAGGCAAAAAGATCTGTGACCTCCACAGGTAATCTCTAATGTCCTTTCTACTTCTAAATCTGTGATCCTATAACGTGTCTACACAGTAAACAAGGATATGAACTTCTCCTTACACAGATAATTTTAGTAGAATATCCCTCCAAATCAGATATTTTGCTCTGCTGCCTGCATCACTAAGATTGGCCTTTCAAAAGACTAATTTAGATGTTAAACTTTATTTTGGGGGAATGGGGGTAGGGTCACAGGGGATGTTAATTGGTCTATACAATACTAACAGATTATGAGCCCCTTGATGGACATTAAGTCACTTATGTCTCTCTTAACCAGTACCTAGCATGCCACAATGCATACAGCAGGCATTTAACATACCTCAGATAAATATTGTTTGAAAAATTAAAGGTTAAATGGTAACAAAAAATAGTAAATAATAATTATAGAGCATTTTTGAGTTTCCACAGATCTTTACATATGTTATCTCACTTGAGGCCAATCACTATCCAAACAGGGAAATATTATAAAGATTATCAACCCTGTTTTACAGATAAAGAAACTGAAATTAAGGGGCTTCACAATGGTAACACTTCTACTAAATATCAGGAAAGAGATTTAAATGGACATCTTCTTGACTCCAAGTCCAGTGTTGGATCTGTTATGGTACACTGCCTGTCAGAAGACCTATGAAGCAGAGGTGAGATTTCAGTTGTCTCTTCAATGATGTACCCATTGAGATTTAGGTAAGGAGAGAGTAAGAAGATGGCCTGATTTAAGAAAAATGGGTGATTTCTTTCTTGTTGCAGCATAAAATCATGGAATTCCGTGTCAGATTACTATATTACAAGTGTTCCATTATCTCTTCCCTACCTATCATAATATCACTTAATATTCAGTGCTGGGGAAAAAAAAAACATGTCCACCATGATAAACCATGAAACAAGTATTTTCTTTTTCCTTCAAACCTCTTATAGCCTTAACACTTTAAACCACTCCCATCATACTTAAAATTCCCTGCCTCATATCTAGTTTTCTTTTCTGATATTTCCATGCCCAGCACACACTGAAGATAGTACCTTGCACAAAGCAATTACTAAATGAGTTTATTAACAAGTTGTCTCACTCATTATATTGCAAGGTCCCAGAGCTCTGGAATTGCACTTGCCTTTCCTTCTATCCCCATAGTTTACCACACTGACTAGCACATAGTAACCACCCAGTAAATGCTAACTGATAGAGTTGCTGATTGAATACATATTGCTGATTCCTGCAGACCTCTCTGTTAACAAGCATCCTAAGGTGAACATACCTTGAACTGTAGCATGGTGTTTGTATGGAAAGTCATCTCCAAGTGAAGTTGATCTATAGCAGTTGAAGGATAGTGGCTGGCTCCTGGGATTCGGGAGATAGTTGCTGTTAGGCCTGCTGGTCCACTCTGAACATTAGAGGCAGTATAATCATATTTTGTGATGTAGCACCAAGGGACTCCAGTGGAACTGATTGGCTGAAAAATAAAAACATTTGAAACTCATCAGAATGACAAAACTGGAGGAAAAGCAGGTGATATGTAGCCCGACCTTGAAATCATTCTCCTAGATTTTGTTCCAAGTTCAATTCTCAGGAAATTCTTCCTAATACTTTTACCTATGCCGTTTGATGAGGTTTAAGCCATTGCTTTGTTCATGCTTCTGTGCCTACAGAGAACTCAAAACCTCTATCCATCGGTCATATTCTTCAGTCATTTCTTTGTTGTTCAGTGTTCAATATTGTATTGTGCATCCAGAGAGAGAAGTTGCCAAGTCTACTGATGTCTTCCTTCACCATTTTACATTTCTCTCCTAGATTCTCCCTGCTCACACAGTCACCTCTATGACAGACTCTCATCAAATCGTACTCATACTATTATAATATTCTTTTTTAAAAGTTTATTTACGTCTTTTTATACAATACCATTATTTCCCCTCTTTTCCCCACAGAACCATCTCATGTAACAAATACTATTTTTTTAAAGTAGAAAAAGAGACAGAGGAAGAGAGAAATGGGAAGTATAAAGAAAGAGAGAGAAAAAGAAATAGAGAAAGAAAAAGAGACGAGAGAACGAAAGAAAGAAAGAAAACAGGAAACTTGATGGAGGACAGAAGGGAGGAAGGGAAGAAAAGAAAAGAATAGGTAAAATCAGCAAAATTGATCAACGTATCAAAATAAGTCAGAAAAATATTCTCAAGGTACAATACTTATGAACTTTCTGCCTCTGATAAATGGATAGGGCTGAGTATCTTCTCATATTTCTTCTTTCTGAAATTTACTGTTTGTGTTCAATCATTTGAGTTATGTCTGTCTCTTCAAGTCCCCATTTAGAGGTTTCTTGGCAAAGATATTGGAATGGTTCGCTATTTCCTTCTCCAACTCATTTTACGGACAAGAAAACTGAGGCAAACACGGTTAAGTAACCTGCCAAGGGGTCACACTGCTAGTCAGGGTCTGAGGCTGCATTTGAACTCAGATCTTCCTGGCTCCAGGTCCTGTGCTGTATCTACTGTGCCATCTAGCTGTCCTGAAATATCCTTCTATTTTGTTTCCCCGCCCCAACTCTCTTTATACTCAAACACATTCTCCACTTAGGGGACAAAGTGATTTTCCTACAGCATAACTCTGTCCATGTTACCCAACTTCACTAAAATCCAGTGGTTTCCCATTACCTGTAGTATCAAATATAACATCTTCTGTTTGCTATCTAAAGGACTTCTACATCCTAGTTTTTTCCTATATTTCTAGTCTACTTATACTTCATTCCTCAAATACTCTCAGATCCAGCTATAGTGACATGACTGTGGTTCCTTTAATATCACAGTCATCTCCATCCCATCTCCATTCCTCTAATCTGGCTGTCTTCCATACTTGTAATTCTCTGTCCCTCCACCTGACTCTTGGTCTACCTTCTATGGTAGGCTTTTTCCAGGCTTTTCCTCACCTCTGCCAAGTAGTTAGAGCATTTCCCTTTTAAACTCCTTTCTACATACTCTACATTTATCTTACAGGTAACAAATTATTAATACAGTGTCCTTCAATTGGAATGTGACCATCATGAGGAAAAAGACTGTTTTCCCACAGAAACAAATTAACTACAAAAATGTGTATATTTCACTAAAGTTTTCAAATTCTTTCATTGATTAACTCCTTTAATCCACCTAACTACCCTGTGGGATAAATATAACAGGATTTCTTAGCCGCATTTTACAGATGAGGAAAATGAGGCTAAGAGGCAGCATGGGACTTTCCCATCCTAGAGCTGATAAACAACAAAGCTGGGATGCGAAGCAGGTCTTTTCTGATTCCAGGCCCAACACTTATTCAATTACGCCACAGTGACTTTCTTTCCGTGGTCTTCTTTTGGCTTCTTTCCTCCACATTTCTCACCCACTTCTCAGAGAAATCTATCCCCCCCACTTTTCTAATTCTGAACCCAAAAGGAGACTGATAGGAGTGTAAACCAAGAGCCAAAATTCTTCCTCCATTCCTGTACCACAGGGAAATTTGTGAGTAACAAGTCAATATTTTACATTTCCCTCAATGCTCTACTCAATAGTAAGATTGTCTACTCAACAGTAAGATTTAGGCTTACAATAAGTCACAGAAGCTATACAATTCACTCCCTAGCATGATTCCACAGGGAAGATAATTCAGCCAAGTCTGCAGCTATTTTATTGTGAATCTCACCATACTACTATAGTGCCATGTGTTTGATAGGCATGGAAAATAGATCCTCCAATTTCACATATGCCCAGAGATAGTGAAGCTTTCTTGACTTCATAAGTTCTTGTAAAACTAAGAAATCCAACCCTCATTTACACCCTTACATAATTGGCTAAACTTGAAGTATGTACAAACCCAAAAAAAAAAACATTAGAGAGATGCTCACTTTGTAATATCTAGTTGCCTCTTTAGTATTTCCACAGAGATAAACTTCTTTACAATTGAGACATCAGGGGTACTTAGGTAGCTTCCAGGAAGAGACTGAACTATTTTTGCCAAGGTTATTCCCTTTCCTGGTTCTCCCAGCAGAGATTTGATTCTCATCTCTGCTTAACCTTCTTTATCTTACCTAATCTCATTAAAATGGGGGAGGAGGAATTAGTATGATGAATTTGAAGTAAAGGAGAGAGGGAGAAGCTGATAGTCTTTGTAAGTGTGTATGTGTAATTATGTGTATAAAAGCTTACCTCCCAGACACAGTCACGCAAAAGACACTTTTCTTCAGTGATATCACCTTCATCTGGGTAGCAGTCAAATTTTTCTGTATCTATGAGGGGAGTATACCATTCCACTATGTATTCCCTGCCCAGTTCAAGGCGAAGGCCTGTAATGTTTGCAACCTGTCAAGTCAGAAAGGATGGTACAAGTCAGTAAGAGTCACCATTTTAATCATCACTCTTTCTTTTAACCACAAACAAAACTGGTCCTCTTCATCACCATTCTGATGGAATCTCCTGGTGCTTTTCCTTTCCTTCCTTCTCCCATCATAACTAAAAGTTGCTAAAATCATGAAACTGATATCTTATTTCATGAAAAAAAAAATAACAAGCAAACTTTCTTTGGAAAAGAGCTGGCTTTATGTTAAACAAAATTGAATCATTCACTCAATCACTACTGCATAAACAGGGGACTGGACAAAAGATCTCTAAATTCTTCTACTTTTCAAACTCTGATTCTATTACTCTAATTTTAGATATTACTTTAAAGCTAGATCATTTTAGAACACTTGATAGAAGAGTGGGAAATAACGAGCAAAATAATTGTGGCCCTTTTGTAGAATCCATTGAATAACATTTTATCTTTTCAACCAGACAGTAAGGACAGGTTTCCATTATTACCCTGCTGCTATTAGGTGGAGTCCTAATCATTCTTAGTGGAAGCCCAGCTATTCTTTTGTCTCAAATTCTTTTTTATCTGGAGAGGACCCCATTAAAAAGTTGAGAAGATCATTAAAGAAATCTCAAAGGGTCAGAAGATTTTCAAAACATTACCATTTGGGTCATCTCTGAAGAAATCTTTTCACAGTGATAAAGGATTTGCAAAGCATTGTCAGGAACAATGCTCCAAAGAACATTCCACAAATTTGTATAATGATGAGGGGTATTCTTGGTTCACATAGCTTTAACGTACAACGCAAGTTAGACAAAAGAGTGAATGGAAAAGTGAAAATGTAGGGGCAGCAAAGTGGTGAAGTGGATAGAGCACCAGCCCTGAAGTCAGGAGTACCTAAGTTCAAATCTGGCCTCAGGCTAAACACTTGATACTAGCTGTATGACCCTGGACAAGTCACTTAATCACAATTGCCTAATTAAAAAAAAAAAAAAAAAAAAAAAAAAAAGAAAAGGAAATGAACATGTAACCTCAGCTGGGGTATTGAAAACCAATAGTAACTTTAATACTGCTAATGGCAACAGGGATCATTATTAGTGAATAGTGAAGAAAAAGGATTTCTGGTAGGTCTCATGTTTCACTTCAGAAAGGCTATTTTGGCCTTTCATTCAATAATTAATGTAAAATAAAAGCAGCCATAAAAAAGGGCAAATGGAGAAAAAGTAAGCTGACATTTCCTTGTGGACATTTTTGGAGAAAAAAGCAATACTTTGATACTTGACAGAGACTTTTTTGTTTTACAAGAAGGCAGCCCAGAAGTTAATGTCCACTCAGCTCTACATCCTCCAACATCTACAGTTTTATTCCAAATCTATACTTATACCTACAGGATAAAGGGACCTTGAGGTATCAGGAAGATCATAAATTATTTATGATGAACTTCAGTAAGGTTCCCGTATAAACATCAGTTAAAACGTAAAATAAAAGGGTGATGATGCTTAAAGGTGTGAAACAGGAAAATCTAGTTATGCAGAATACTTGACTGCCTTTAATGTCCAATCAAGGAGAATGATTCAGGAAACATTTACCTCTGTTACAGGATCATACTTGATCTCAGCATTAGATGGGACTGGAACGTTATTTTCTGTCACAAAAATTATAAGTGGTTTGAGGTTCAATCCAAAGATTTTGATCTCTTCAAATGCTAGGCCATCTGGATCACTGTAGTTCATGTGCATAACCTTCACATCTAGGCGATTCTAAAAGACACCCAAAAAACAGTGCCCATGTTGTCTTGCCCTACTTCCAACTCCATAACAATCACCTTCTCCAAGATACCCAAAGGACAAAGATGCTATTAACCCATTTTACCTGCTCTGGCAGTTGGAGGAAGAGATAGTATTAGGATTGAGGCAGAATAATGGTCCTAACTCATGGGTAGTGTCTCTTGCTTCAAATCTAACTAGTAGCAGCTCCATCAGGGAGATGGCTGGAAAGACTGGAATTCCTTGCTGTGTTAGAATGGAGCTTATCATGATCCGTCTCTTCTCCAACCAATAATGAGTAAGCTCATTAGCCTGGTTGATATGAAATCAAGGACTAAGTTTCCTTCTGGTGGCTTGACACAGCCATATTTGATTTTGGTTCCTGGCATACTTTCTAGAATCTTTAGACATTGACTCTGTAGAAGTATGAGCTTTCTGAGTGATGACTTGGTTCTATTCAACTTCTCTGTCCAACCAAACCAAGAAACCAATACAATTTTATGTCATTGCAGAAAGACAAGAGCTGTGAATCTCTCTACAACATATGTATACTTTGTTTTACTCTAGGTCAGGAGCAAGGAAGGAAAGAAGACTGTGCAGTAGTGGAAATGAATGAGCCATGTGATTTCATGGGTTTAGGAAATATCAATTGTGAAAACTATACCAGGTCAGCAACTCATCTGTAACTTTCAGGCTTAAAGAGTTCCCTGGGGCACTGAACAGTGAAATAACTTTTCAATGGTCACACAATTGAAATCTGTCAGAAGCAGAGCCAAAAGTCAGATCGTTCTTATTTCACAGATGGCTCTTATCTATTACAATATGCAAGCTCTGTGCGTAAATGATACATGTTTTTATGTGTCCACACATCTTTCTATTTAGAAATGTTAGTATAAAAGTAGAAAGATAGAGCCCACAAACCATTCTCTAAATAGTCTCATTTAATAGCTCTTGTATTTAGAAATGTCATACGTGCAAATATACACATTTTAGTCACTAAATGCATAACTGGCTTTAACGATGTCACTGTCTAAAAGAAAGTCTCCATCACAATTCCATCACTTTGAACTAAAGCAAATTTTTTGACAGGGTTAGATGTTCTCTGAATTTCCTTTGGGAGTCTGAGAAGATTCTCAAATTAAAAGAAATTTTTATTTAAAGAGGAACTGACTTTTGCAAAAAAAGGAGAATGTGTTACTTTCCAAACCTCAGAGTGCTGTTACATAGGACTGCTTGAATTACAGATGTCTGTCTAAAAGAATCAGAATGCTTAGGACTTCTGACTTTAGGAAACTTTACAGGGTAGGAGCTAGAGATATAATGTCAACTGCATCTCTGAGTCACAAGTGAACACGAAAATGACACTTCCAGAAAGAACCTAAAAAGTATTGTCAATGATCATGAAGTCTTGGGAAATAAACTGAAGTTCATGAGGGCACAAGTTGTATTCTCCTCATTGTTGCCCAGTGAAGGCAGGGATTATGGAAGGGAAAAATTAATTTAGGAACTGAACAGCCAATTAAGAAGATGGTGTCTCAGAATGATATTTATATTGCACCAATGGAACTAGTTAATTAGCTGTGTGATTTTGAGCAAGAAATGTAATCTCTTCTTCCCTCAGTTTCCTCAATTCTAAAATGGGGATAATGATAGCACCTACTTCTCAAGGATATTGTCAGGAGCAAATGAGATGACACTGGTTTAAAAAGAGCTTAGCACAGTGGCTGGCATATAGATGCTATGTAAATGCCTTTTCCTGTTGACTTTCCTAAATTGTTTTCAAGAAAATCAGCCAAGGAGGGATGGAAGATGGTCAAGAAGGGAATTCTGAAGACTTAAAAGGAAATAATTCTGGTGAAAAGGAAAAACGGGATTTGTCTGAAAAGACTAATGTGGATACACAGGAAAGTAACCAATTGACTTATATTTTGAAAAGAAATGTATAGAAGATCAAAGTAAGAGAAGATGAATAAAAGAGCATAGGATGGTTCTATAAAAATAGCATCAAGAATTACAAAGCTGAGGCTGGAAAAAGAATCTGAAGACAACAAAAATGATCTTATTTGGCTTTTAAAATATGTTGAGAGAAAAGGGAGGCTCAAAAAAAGGAGAAAGCATTTGACTTACCTGGAAGTGTCAGAACACAAATGACTAACTCTGGGTTAATACCAAAGACAAGTAAAGTGACAGGTGGAAAACACGTAGCTGCCTTTAATGAATTCAAGTTACCTGGCCTAGATAAACTGTATCACTGGGGCCTCAAAGAACCAGAAGAAGTGATTACTGAGCTATTATCACTGATACATGAAAGATCATGGAAAATAGGAGAAGTACTACAAGATTGGGGCAAGGAAAATGTCTAAATTTTCTAACAAAATAAAGTATTGGAGGAAGAAAAAAGAGTCTAGAGAATGAAGAGGTAAGTGATATAATATATGACTTCACAGGGTTAGGGAAAGAGGACAGAGAGTGGAGGAATTGGGGAAGGTAATCGGTTCTTTCTCCTTCCAGGTGTACTGGATCATGTCTTCTCCTTTAGGATGAAGTGAGAAGTCCTTCCACAAAAGACTGGGTCGTGGCCCTATGTCATGGCTCACAGAAGTGTTATCATAAGGTAGACCTTACTTCATAGCATTTTTATCAGCTGTCAGTGCCACTAACTGTGCTGAGGAAATGAACAAGTAGTCAAAGGCACCACTAATACTCACCTGACTGGCAGAGAAGGTTGAGAAATAGTAATTCCCCCTTTCATAAGTATCTGCAACAAGAAAACAGAGTGAATTCTACTAGGAACTACCAAGGCCAGTCTGAAGTGCAAGACACCCACCATAGCCTTTTTTCTACCTTTGAGGCACTTGGTCTTTCTCATTTTTCAAACCGTCTGTGTTTTTAAGACACTCACATTTACAGAATACAATAGAACTACACAGCATCTCACACATTGTGCCATGAATGGTTCTCAGAATTCTAAAGCTCTTGAAATTGCATGAGATAAACCTGTGAAGATACTAGAGAACAGGCATTGATTTGAAATGAATTATTCATATTTCTAAAATGTTAAGACCATGAAGACAGGAAAAACTGATATTTCCAGTCTTTGCTCCATTCAAGTGTATCATTGCTCAGAGACAATTGGAGACACTGCAGTCAGTGACTGAAAAGAAAATTTTAATTGTTCATTTTCATATTTCTCCTTAATTTTACCATACACAGGCTCCAATTCTTATCATTAGAAATCTGAATAAGAGAGAGCAGGGTGGGACTGAGCTTCCATTAGTTTCTGGAGTTCCTTGGTAGGACCTTCCTCTATCAGTGAAGACTGCACATTCTTTTCAACTTACAGCGTTGGAGAGTTTCCTGGAATACTTAAAGGTTAAGTGATTTGCTTAGGGTCCTGCATTCAGTGGTTGTTCAAGAAAGGAACTGCACTCCAGTGCTCCTGATTCCCAAGGAAAGGTATCTAGTCAAATGCTGTATGGATAAACTGTTATTTTATAAAGCAGGCTTATTTTCTGGGGCTGTTTATTTCCAGCAACTTTTTCTATCCTCCAAATACCTTTCAGAGCTACATCATAGTCAAGAGACAATATGAAAGAGGGAGATGAAGGAGGAAGGAGCAAGGGAGGGAGAGGACAAGGGTAGTGGAGAGAGAGATATGGTATGAGGGAACAAGGGAAGGGGAGAGGGAGGAAATGAAAGAGGGAGACAGAGAAGAAGTGAAGAAGGAAGAAAGAGAAGAATAGAGGAAAAGGAGGAAATAAAAAAAGAGAAACGGGATAGAAGAGAAGGCTAGTGAAAGAGAGAGAGAAAAAGGTTTGGGGAGATGAGGAATAATGAGAGGAAAGAGGGATAAAATGAAGTAGAGGAAAAGAGGAGGGAAAGAGAGAGAATGAGTGAGAGAGAGAGAGAGAGAGAGAGGAGAGAGAGAGAGAGAGAGAGAGAGAGAGAGAGAGAGAGAGAGAGAGATTGTCTACTGAACCTAAGAAAATCGAACTTACCAATACTCTGTCCATCATCCCAGAAAAACTCTCCTTCAGCTGTCCCATTGTCAGATAAAGCCACAATAAGTCCCAGGGAATTTTTCCGGCTATAAACATCAGAAATTATGATCAGTCCTCCCCCTTCTCTTGGCAAGTTATTTGCCAAGCCTTTATTAAACAACTATTATGAATAGTCACTGTGTTAGTGCCTAGATGTTCAAAGAAAGAAAAAAAGGAAATGATTCCTTTATTCAAGGAACTTGGATCCTGATGAGTAGAGGGAATGAAAACATATATTATATTGTACTATATTTACAGATAAGTAAATATAAAATAAATATAACATTTTTGGCCTGCTGTGGGGAAGAGGTTGAAACACCAAGTATTGCAGAATTCAGGAAAGACTTTATATAAGAGGTGGATCTTCAGATGAGCCATGAGGGAAACTAAGGGTTCCAAGAAGTAAAAATAAAAAAAGAAAGCATTCCAGGCAAGTGGGACAGACTATATACTAAGTCACCACTGAGGTGTGTGATGGACTATCTGGATGTGGAGAAAAAGCTGGTCAGTTGAGTTGGTACACAGAGTGTGTGAGGTAGAATAATGTGGAAGCAGCTTGGAAAGATAAGCTAGAGCCATATTGTGAATACATGTTATACAGAGGAGTTTATACTTGATTTAAGAGGAAGCCAGTGAAGCTTTCTGAGCCCAAGATCAGGGGCTTTAGAATTATGCTTTAGTTCTCTCAATTGGACCACAAAGTAGAGAATGGTTTGGAGAGGGTGGATGCAAGAAGGACAATGAGGAAGGCGCTGTAATAGTCTGGGAGACTGGTAATAAAGATCTGAATTAGAGTAGAGGCCATGAAAGTGGAAAGATTATCCCAGATGCCTCTTAAAAAGATACTCATTTTTAAAGATTTTCCCCATGATTCTTGATACACATTCAGCAAAAATGAATATGAATCATTACCTTTCAAAATGTTCAAACTCTATTTTCAACATAGGCTCATTTTATTTCATCTGTCATGGAGTAGACAGTGAAGTATTCCCATAAAAATATATCACAATGTGCTTGCATTCACATTATATATTATCCAATGGTCAGTCAGTCAACAAATATTAAGTGCTCACTATATGTAGGCATTTGCTCAGGGCTGACGGTGCAAAGAATTTCAAAAGAAAGTCCCTGCTCCCAGGGAGCTCATAGTCCCATGGAGGCAAAAAATGCCAAGAGGCAGAGATGGGGAGGGAGAGCATTACAGGCATGGAGGACACAGCCAATGAAAATGCACAGAAAGCTCCTGTATAAATAACAAAATTAGCCTGATCCTTGTGATACTCTTGGTAAGGAGCAAGGGAAAAGACAAAAAAAACAACAACAGAAGAAATGATAATGACTCACATTTACACAACCTCTCAGGTTTTAGAGTGTTTTTGTTATTCTCAAAATAATTCCAGTGAAGTGGAAAGTTTAAGTATAAGGGGAGGACTAAAGACCTCTGAGTTTGTGGGATTTCAAAGACCCACAGCTACAAGTCAACTCAAATCCAAGTCTTTTTGACTCCAACTCCAGGACTCTATCCACTACTTCACAAGAAAAGGATGAAGAAGACAGTTATTAGGATCTGAGTAAGGCATTGGAAAAGGAAGAAGGATGTTGCTCCCCTCACTCACCTATACTGGGTGTTATTTCCAGGTTTTTGCCAAGGAAGGATGTAGCCCCCACGGACATGCAGACTGATATGGTCAAGAGGTGCTGGCAGGTACTTCCATTGTCCCCGTACTCCAATGTCTGAGCCCTATTATTGAGAAGAAGATCAGAAGAAAAATGAGTCCTTGTACTTCACCCTAGCTGAGTAACTTAGAGGAGAAGAGTTGTTTCTGCCTTTGGTCCCCCACCATGGCCTCTCACTTCATAACTGACTTTTTTTTGTTTTTGCTTTTATTGGTGAGGCAATCAGGGTTAAGTGACTTGCTCAAGGTCACACAGCTAGTAAGTATCAAGTATCTAAGGTCTGATTTGAACTCAGGTACTCCTGACTCCAAGGCTAGAGCTCTATCCACTGAGCCACCTAGCTGCCCCATCTTGACTCTCTTTATCCACTTATCCATCTTTCTGAGGCTGCTGTGCATCATTCCTTCCAACCTTTTGTTCCATTTTGAATCAAATATTGACTTTCTTCAAAGAAACCTTTTTAATTTACACCCAAGGTTCAGCAGAGCCCACTTCAGCCTTCAAAAGGACCACAGTACTTCACAGATCTTTCTTGTCTTCCTTAGTACAGGTTCATGATGGGACTAGCCCTAGCCTATCTCTCTAACTCAAACTATAGTTCCCTCTGAGCCAGGACAGTCCCTCAGACTTCTACATGGACAACCTCAGAAATCGGTATAGAGCTTTGATTGCACTGGGTACTCAAGCAATGCACTAAACTAACTGCCCAGGTAGGATAGAAGATAAAGATGGGACAAAGATATTGGATTTCTTCTTTTGAAAAGGTCACCTTGAGAAAAGCTTATAAAGACTGCATACCTAGAACAAGCCAAAGGAGACCTTAGCATCTAATCAAGATTTAACCACTTCCTCAAGGAAAACTCAGGGTTATCAAGTACATTGGGGGAGCAGAAGGTAGGAACAATTGTTCCCCCTTGCCTATGGAGATTTAAGTCTTCACAGAAATTTTAAAAAGCAGAATTAGAGAATCTTTAAATTAATTAAATTAAAATAAATTTTAATTTCAAATTGATTGAAGCATTAAAAATACCTTTGGAGTCTCTGAGAATATTCTCAGTCTGGGATGACTGAAAGGGACCTTAAAAGTCATCTCTTCTCAATTCCTCATTAATAGATGAGGCGACAAAGGTCAAATCACTCAACGAACATTTATTTGGCACCTACTATGCAATAGGTCAGAAGTGGTTACATTCAGGAAAAAAGCCCTAACCTGACCAACACTCTCTTAATACTTCTAGACCCTGCTAGGTAAAAGGGCTCTGACCATTTCCAGAGTTTCCCTTCTCAATGGGATATAATCACTGCACTCAGATCACAATATCTCCTTTGGTATTTTGCCAACTGCTTAGAAGACAGCTGCCTTTGGGTCAGTCCCAGCCACCTAAACTTAAGAACAGGAATATTTGAAAGAATATTAATGAGAGAGTGTAATAGGGTCAAAGATCCGAGAGCTGCATGAGACAAACCTTACAAAGATCCTCAAAATATTCCAGGGCAGGATACCTTAGCCACCAACATCCCATTAAACACCAACAACTTTCACAACATTTTGAACATAGGGAGCATGAGGTCATGTGTACCATCACAGAGGCTTACCGTATAGAAATCATACCAGCGGGCATTGGGGAGATAGGCAGTCACACTCGAGGCATTCTACAGTAAATTACATAACATAAAAATAAGTAAATAAATACATGGACAAATTGGTCAAAATTTTCTAGAGGCATTAACATGATTAATAATCACTACATTTAAGAGTATTCAAAAGCAGACATATTATGGACTTCTCATGTCTTCACTGACTCCCAATGACACCACGATTTAAGGGTAAGAGGGAGTATTATTCATTTTACAGATAAGGAAATTGAAGCCTCAAGAAAGATTTAAAGCTGCAGAACAATTCAATGCCAACACAAGGACTAGACCCTACCACTGGGAGGCCACACTCAGACCCAATTCTACTACTCAATATTATATCTCAGTTTGGATTATGAAGAGGCTCAGGAGAACCCATACTCACAGGTTCCAGGACAGGGCTGATTAAAAAGGCTGGACCCCACAAGAATTGACGGTATATGTCCCAGGTTTCTCTGTCTTCCACAAACCTGAGCAGAGAAATATGGTGTCACAATTCAATGGTAAAGACAATGTCCTCTCAGGCCATTGGATCACTGAAGTTACTGCTCAAAGGGACCTTAGAAAGGAGTGTAACTTTATGATTCTGATGAGTCTCCAGGGGGTTTGGGCTCCACCCAAGAAATGCCCAACCTCTGTTCCCTTTGTGTCCTTCCTTCTTTCCCTAGGTCTGGTTCAATCAGGCACAGGTAAGGATATTAAGCATGGAGCATTTGAAATATCAAGGTGACTGCCTTATTTCCTAGCCCCAGGGCTTTCTCCTACTATTATGTAGATGTTCAGGAAATGTTTCAAAATACTTGTAGCCTATCACACTCATAAAATAGAAAGTCAAATTGCTGACTTATAAAGAAAAATATAATTTTCTATATCACTAAATGAAAAAGAAAAGACTTTTGGATTATCAAGTGTCACTATATAATTCTCATGTTTTAAAAAAAGGAAAAATTATAACAAAAACATGTATTCATATAGTGCTTGGAGTTGTGCAAAATGCTTTCCTCACAGCAAACCTATAAGGTAGAAAGCATCATTATTATTGTCCCCACTGGACATTAAGAAAACTGAGCCTCAGAGCAACAGAACATGTGGTTCGCTCATGGTCACAACCTACTGCCATGGCTGAGATAAAAACAAGAACAACAAACACATCTTCTGACTCCAAGGTTCATGCTTGCTTCCATGTGCTTCCCCTCTACTAAGGATATACTCTATTTTAGAATGAATCAATGAATGAAAAAACACTGATCAAGTGCTCACTAGATGTAAGACAGTGGAGAAACAAATACAAAAGCAAGGCAGGCCCTGTTCTCAAGGATCTTCCATCCTAATAGGAGGAGGTAACACATTAAGGAGCTTCCTACCGCAATTCAAAATGGAATCCAACATAGCACCCTGAGACACAGAGTGGACACTTACTCATGAAGCAGGGGCCTGACAACAGTGCTGCCTTCTACATGGGCCTTGTGCATCAGGGTGTAGAGATAAGGCAACAGGGCATATCTTATCTGCAGGACATTTCTTGAAAGATCCTCAAAGGTGGAATTCCAGGCCACAGGGTCTTGTCTCTAGAGATAGAAGGAGTCAATACTCATACCAAACCCTTCACCTCACTTCACTTGGCAATACGCTAGATAACTTGAGAGCTGCCCTCTACTACACAGGGAACCTGCAGAGCCAGCCATGCTCTGCTTCCTAATTCCCCAGGCTACCATCCCCCTTGACCTTGGCTAGGGAAGACATTCTGATGCAGTGTTCCCTGCTTTGCTACACTTTACTGTACTCTAAAAATACTTAGATTCCAATAGGAAACTATATCTTGGGCAGCACAGACCAAACATATATTTGTTCTGCAGCAATCTTTCACTGCAGTGGATTAAAGCCAAAGAATGCATGTGTGAAAGATTAGAGGGACCCTGGGCATTGTAACTCCTGCAAGAACTGTAGAAACTGCCCAGAGTCAGAACAGAAAACATCTCTGCTCTCTGCAATCTTTTTTCTTGAGTTTCTGGTAAAGGTGAGATATTCTAGAAAACTCCACCAGCTATGGGAATGTAGGTTACACAGTCTGTTGGGAAGGGAAGGACTGGTGACTACTGAGGTGGCTTCCAGGAAAGAGGGGCTCCATCAAGTCATGGGGGAGGAATTGAAGCAGGAGGTCTGGCACAAGGGCAGGCCTGAGGCACAAGCTGGTATCTCACCCTTTGCCCAATTGTATTGTGGTTCCTAGAGAAAGGGTAAAAGGCTCCCAGCTGCATCCAGCGAGCACACATCTCATATTCAGCATCTTCAAAGAACCCACAGATATCAGCTCCTGTCTGAGAACAAAAAGGGAAAACAGGAATGAGAATTTTATGAGTTTCTGAAACAATCTAAAAACGATGAAGTCAATTTGAGTGAGACTTACATAGGATATTCCAAAGAGACTGAATTCCATCATGCCTGCAATGAGAACCAAAGCTCTGTTAGATGAGGCAGGTTGGTAAACTGGACCAGGCTCTACCCTTCCCTGCTCATTGACTTAGATAGCTCAGTATGAATATAAGTCTAATGAAATACATGGAGTGATACACTTAATTAGTCAGGGACCTGAGCCCTCTGTGATCCTCTTCAAGAATCCAGAAAAATTACCGACTTACTGAGCACACAGGCTAGATTCCTCCCCACTCCAAGACAAACCTTCAGGAAAAGCCCGGCACTTACCAATGATGGATTTATAGAGCTGGTCCCATGCTGCGGTGTTGTCTCCCAGCCAATGTCCTGCCCAGCGTCCTGAGGATGGAAAGGTTGAGCGAGTGATCACGATTCCTCTCTCTCCTGTGGCCTCCTGCACAGCTCTGATCAGGGAAGAAAAATAAGAAATGACAGCTTATCTGGGAAGGGCCAGAGATCTTTCCCTCTCAGGGAGCTCTTGTTCTCAGGGAGAACAAGAGGGGAAAATGGTCCAATGAAATCAATCTGTACTTGGTGCAGGAAGGAACTAGAAGGAACTACATGCTTGTGTGGGGGACAAGAGCAACATACTTTACTTAAGCTGTTGAATACACCCACTGCCCTAATGTGTCACTTAAAATAATTCTTACCAAAATATATTTCCTAAACATAAAAAAGAGATTCAAGATAGGAATTGGACCAGCAATTTCATTCATTGGAAACTCCAATTCAGTTCACTTGCTCTGTGGGCCTCAGAGAGAGGGAAGCAGGGACTCACTCATATGTAGGCTTTGTCTGGGACCAGCCATAGAGATTGTGCACATCATAGTGCCTCACTGGGCTTCCATCAGGCAGGAACTGCTGACTTTCCATGCACAGGGTCTTACTGCTCAGGCCTCTGTCTCTTGACTCCAGATCTGAGAAAAAGAGATGTAGTGATGTGAGAGCCCCCTACAATGGGAAGTACTTCACATCTGGTGACAGTGAAGGAGGCGGCTGGAGCTGAAGGGATGAGAGAGGATGCAGTATGAATTTGGGAGAGAAAAGCAGATCAGTGCCAAAGGATGTGAAGCTTTGAATGCTAGGCTACAGTGTTCAGTAGGAAATGGAAAACTGAAAATGAATTGTGAGCACATTGCACAAACCACTGGATTTAGAAATGGAAGAGACCTTAGAGATTGGGAAAGTGGAAATGCTTACCCAAGCAGGTATTGAGGCATTTGGCCTGTACTCTATGCACACCTATGATATGAACCAAGACAGCTTAGAATGCTGCTGGGATTGTCCCTCAGATGCTATCATGCCAATGCCAGGCTGCTAGTAATGAATGAAGGCAAATCCTCAGTCCAGGTATCTCTGACAATGTCATCCTGAGAGTGGATAATATTCTGCCAACTGAAAATATACTTACAGGGCATGTAAGGGGGACGGTTGAATGTGCTATTCCTGCAGCCTGGAGGGACTGCCCCATCCACAAAGCTTGAGGGTTCATTCATATCCTAAAAATGTAAAACAAATCTTTATGTTTATGTGTATTACATACATACATGAACATGTTATCATTACCTTCTGCCAGACGACAATGTACAAATGGTTACACCTGGTGCACTCATCACACATGAGGGAGAGGGACTAATCAGAAGGAGGAAGGTTAAATACTGATGGGGATCACCTGGAAAGATTATGCCTTGCTTTCTCTCAGGGTATGCTTCAGAGTCAAACATACTCAAGGGAAATAATGAATTCACCTCAGTGAAAAATGACAAATTTCCTGATGTGTAAGGTACACTAAGCATCTTCCCTGTAGGATACAGTAATGGTGGATGTATGACAGAAATGCAGATTGTTTAGTGCCTTATTAGAAAATGTCAGCCTCAGGGTAAAATTGTGCCCAGAGTGCCTTGTTTACCAACTGATTTATTCCACTGCAGAATAATTATACAGTTGTGCAGAAATCTACAAGCATACAAAATATTTTAGTACATATGTGGATGTTTATGTACACACATTCACACACACACAAACCTACACACACTTACAATCCACATTCCATCATATTTCAAGCTCTTCTGTGGCTCATTGGGATTGCTGTAGAGTTCTAGCAATTCCCGCTTCCACCATGTGACTGTTGAATTGCGGAAAAAGTCTGGGAAGGCAACATGAGCTCTGTACATCTGTAAAGATGAAATACAACCAACAGACAGATTGATCACGTCACTGGCAAATAACTCTAGGATACTTATTATTTCTAACTCTGCTACTGCATGCAGATAACTTCTGAAAAAGTTCAAAGCATTTCCAAAAGAATTCTCAGTATAATAGAAGAAACATCACAAGGCAATTGAATACTTATCAAAGTGGCATACTCATCAAATTCAAACTACTCCCAAGGTTGTGGATGGACTGCCCAACTGTAACAAAAGGACTCCTACCTCTATTGATTGACATCATCTGCCTCGACTGCTATGTAGAGGTTCTTTGTTCCTGTGTCTGTATAGAAATGGGCAGGTTGCTGTCGTTCAGTCATTTCAGTAACGTCTGACTCTCTGGGACTCCATTAGGGGTTTTCTTAGCAAAGATACTGGAGTGCTTTGCCATTTCCCTTTCCAGCTCATTTTGCAGAAGAGGAAACTGAGGCAAGCAGGCTTAAATAACTTGCCCAGGGTTACAAAGATAGTAAAGGTCTGAGGCCAAATTTAAACTCAGGTCTTCCTGACTCCAAGCCCAGTGTGCTTATCTACTGCACCATCTAGTTTCCCTTGTGCCACCTAACTGCTTTGCACCAATGACTTTTGAAATGATACTGAGAACCAGTGGAAGTGGCCTGGCTGGTAAGGACTGAAAAATAAAGTTTGGTCCTTTGGGGAAGGATGCTTCCAAAAAAATGTCGAAGGAAAACTAGAATTTAGGGGAGGCTTACTCAGTGAAAAATTCATAGCCATATTTAGGGAAAAGATAGGACTTGGGGAAATGAAATGAGGAATGAAGAACACTCTAAGTAACAATAAACCCATAAGCTAGCCTCTTCCAACAACTCTTGTAATTGTAATTGTTTAAAGGTATACAATTTGTACTATTATGAATACTTTCACTAGCATTTCTTATTTGTATGGGCCTGAGATTCTATCACTGTGGGTAGTCTACACTGATGCAGCTTAGCCATTTACCTATAACTAACACTACTTGAAGTCTTAGAGAAGCACCAGGAGGGCACTGTGAAGGTAAATGAGTGGCCTGTGGTCACAAACTCACTCTATTGGCCCACAGTTCTCAAGACTAGTAGCAGTCATTCAGACTCCAAGGCTGAGCAAGCATTCCCAGTGTCTCTTCACAGGTGCAGTAAAGCGTCAGTATTGCAATTAAAGACTGCTGCCAGTACCTTACTAATAGGCAGGACAGCAGCATAAGTGAAGTCAGCACTGCCCCCAAATGTTAAAGCCTCAATACAGAGTAACTGTCCTCAAAGTTTTTTAGAGAAGAGAATAGATAAGCCAGATGTATGTGTGTGCATGTGTGTGTATTTGAGAGAGAGACAGAGACAGAGACAGACGGGGATATTCAGGCAGAAAGAAAGAGAAAAAGTGACAGAAAGAGAGAAAGGTTCAGAGACAGGGAGAGCTGTGGAGAAGGGATACAGCATTAGGGTCTTAGAGACCCCACAAAAAGAGGATGGCCAGACTCAACAAGAAAAGTATTTATTAGTCAATTAGCCAACAGTTAGAGAGCATGTCCAAAGCACTTCTTATATGCCAGGCATTGGGCTAACTGCTGAATTAGTAAGGATGACAGGAAGGACTACTGCTTCTCCATGAGGACAGTCTTTTAACAATCTGGACACTGTGAAACGTTTCTCTACTACAAAAGCTTCCACAAGCTATACTTCAGAAGAATCGTTTACCTCCACTTGTGTGTCCCAGTCAAGAGATCCATCTACAGTGACGTTGGGCAAATCTGGCCAAACCTGTGGGGAAAGAAGGAAGGGGGCATTTACTTAAAATAAATCTAGGCTGTGTCTTATGTCACAACTTACAGATTTCATGAGGAGAATCATAAGGAGAATTTAAATCATCCCTGGGAGCAATCTACATCAAGGATACATACAAGGCCCTAACTGCCATAGTTTACACACACAGAAACACTGAGGAAAAAATGAGCCATTAATGCATAAACACCCCAATATCCCTTCACACTTATGCCTAATGAGCATGTCTAATTGGCATCTCTAATCCTAAATTCTACCTTTCCCCAAACAATGTCGCTGTCATCTGGCCATTTGATGAATACATTATCCTGGAGTCCACGGGTGAATGCAGGATATGGCTGGGTCTCATTGCCAGAAATTGCTGGGTCCTGCAACCAATGAGTGATAATTACTAGACTGTCTGGGACAGAATTACTCAAAAAGAAGGAGAAGCTCCATGCCCAACAAGCAAGAAGACAAAATCTTAATGCAGCCACACACCAGAATAAGGATGACTCGCATCCCAGCCTCCTTCATGCGGGTGATCAGCTTGGGAAAGCCAGAAAACTTGGGGCTGAGGGTAAAGTCCAGCTGCCTCTCCATGTAATCAATGTCTGCATACTGCACATCCTGGAAGAAAAAGGGGAAAAAATGGGGAAATATCACGTTGATTACAGTAGATGCTAAGCAAGTGAATCTCAATGTGGCAGATCCACTGGGCAGATGCTCCTTCAGAATCAAGTTAAAACTCCATAGTGAAATCTATCAGAAACCCTCTTGAGACTGCTTTTCCCTGCCATTATTTGGAATGTGACTAGAGTATTTGAGATAATATCACTAACCTGCAAAAGATAGAGCTGAACCAAATAATCTATACACATAATCTTCCAGAAAAATAATATGACACATTCCAAAATAAAGTCAAAATCCTTTGAAATATCTATTCTCTTATTCCTCTAAGTAGCAGCACGATATAGTGGGCATGACAGTGTTTTGGAGGGAAAAGGACCTAAGTTCAAATGCTAGTTCAGACAATTACTACCTGTGGGATTCTGAGCAAGTCAGTTAACCTAGATGTACCTCAGTTTCCTCATCTTTAAATAAAGGGGTTGGACTCCAAGTCCTCAAAGTTCCCTTTTAACTCTAAATCCTTCTGCTCTCAATTAATACTTCAGTGCAATGTATACCCTATATCAAATTGATTACCATGTCAGGGAGGGGAAAAAAGAAGGAGAAAATTTGGAACTCAAAATTTAAAAAAAAAATTAAAATTGTTTTTACTTGTTATTTGGAAGAATAAAATGTTATCTAAAAATACTTTAGTGCAGAGAGATGACATTTAGAAATGAAATGGAATGTTTTTGCAGAAACAGGATGGCATGCTGCATCCACTTGCCATTAATACTCCATTTGTAACTAGTTATAATGTAGGCTGTGAACCCCATCTGCTGCTGTTGGAAACCATTTTCATAATCATAATGTAGAAATGGAGATTAGCTAGAATCTAAGATCTCCTCTGCTAAAATGGTTGCTTACTGTTTCAACTAAAAGCTGCACTCATCTGAATAATGTTCTGACCAATTCAATTAAAAAGAAATTAATTCAGAAACATCACTTTTTGAGGGCCTCTGCCTAAAATGTCAAACATTTACTTGAAAAGATGTTGGAGAACTTTCAAGTTCCATAATTAAACAAGAGGAAGAGGAAATCAAAGCCAGGACAATTACACAGGCTGGGATTGGGGAATGGAGAGAGAGGTGGGGGTGTGCTGGGTAGGGAAGGTCCATACGTAGGGGATCTGAGCAGCCACCATGGCATCATAGAGTTCAGCAATTTCAGAATCGTTCTCATATCCATAGCGACACAGCTGGAAGCCTAACGCCCAGTAAGGAGTCATCACTGGCCGGCCAATCAACTGAAAACAAGGACAGTAAATGGATTATATAGATTCCATTCCTTCAGGGTAGGGAACATCGCTGGTATCAAACACAGACTCACTAAAACAATTTTCTCTCCTCCTGTGGTGGCCTCATAACTCAGGTTAACTGTAAGGCCAAACAACATGAAACTAGGGAGGTAGTATTCCTGGGATTTGCTGACATTTCCAAAGGATAATATGTATAAAGCATTTTAACAGTCTTTAGGAGCTATATAAACTTAAAGTATTACTTTTATTTGTGTACCTTTAAGAAATCTGGGATTCTTTAAGAAATAGGGATTGTCCCACAAGAGCACTATGACAATCTAATGGCAAAGAGTGCTTTGTTAAAATCTCTTTATTCCTTTCTAACATTATGATCTGGTCTGCTGAAAACAGAGTGACTATGTAAGGTCACCACCAGTAAGTCAATCAACAGGGATTTGTTAAATATTTACTATGTGCCAGGCACTGTGCTATGCACAGAGGACACAAAGAAGGCAAAAGTCTCTTCCCTCAAAGACCTCACATTTTAAAGGAGGAAACAAGCATGAAGATAACTAAGTACATACAAGATATATACAGAGCAGATGAGTGAATGGGCCTTGCACGGTGCTAGGCACATTAGAGTTTCTCAGAAAACCCTTGATTATCAACTGAAAGATTGCATGACTTCCTACCTCCGTGTACTGTTGAGTGACAAGCTCTGGGGTTGGCCCCAAAACCATGTAAAAGTCCAGAATACCTCCCACAGTACGATATGTCAGTGCGGGGGTGGGCTGGAAAGTCACATCTGCAAACAGAGAATAAATGAGCAGTGATACAGAATCATAGAATAGAAGAGTTGAAGACGATGCTAAAGATCATCTACCCCAAGCCAGACAGAAGTAGAAATCCTGTATCACCCTCACAGGAAGGAGGTCCTCTAGTTTCCTTCTGAAGACTTCAAGTGATGAGAAATGACTACCTCCCTGAGAAATCCATCCCATCTTCAAACAACTCTAATTGTTACTACAGTTATCTGCATACAGAACTGAAGGTTTTCTATCTCAACATCTGATGAGCTGGCAAGCGTTCCATCCACATTAAGTACTCCATCAAGTTCCACAAGTTAAACACAGACAGCTTCAAAATCCACATATGCAGCCTCCCACATTCCTGGATTCTGGACCTACAATTCCTCTACCTACTGGAAATTCCACACAAGGAAAACCTTCTGACACATAAAATTCAATACTTTCAAAGAAATCCCATCACCTTCCCCTTCCCATGTTTCTTTTTCTTCTAAATACTATTACTGATACCATTATTATCCCAATTAATTAGTCATGAAACCTGGACTCATCTAGTCACTAATTCACTTTAAACTGTAGCCAAAAGGCAAAGAAGCCTGAATTTTAAGTCAGAGGACCAGTGCTCAAATATTGACTACCCCACTTTCCACTCATAAGATTAAACACATGTCACTTTTCTCTTCTGTAAAATATGAGGATTGGATTAATGACCTTTAAATCCCTTTCAGGTCTAAATTGATCATTCTATGATATAGTATGCAATATTTTCCCACCTTCTTGCTTTTGTTCAAACAATATTCTTTGTCTAAAATGCCCTTTTGTCTCATGACCGTACAATATGATGATTTTGTGATTCTACCTCACCCATCAAAATAACATGACTTTTAGTATTCTGCTCTCTTTCTCCTCTTAGCCTCTCATTCCTTGGGGGCCAAGTGTCTTCTCCTTTCTCTAAATTTTTATAGCCTGGTGTTCATACCTCTGTTCTGTTCTTATTATGAACTTTATTGTATGCTATATTACATATTGTGTGAAGAATAAGGACCAGGCTTTCTTTTATCTTTTTATCTTATTTGATGACGAGTCTAGCGATTTGCCCATATCAAAAACTTAATAAATTTGTATTGAATTTTACTTAGAGTTCTGCTGTGACTGTCCTATTCAGAAACTTCCCGCAACTCTTAAGTTAAGTGAGGTCAGAAAAGAAGCCACCATCTTACCCATGGCATTGCTGTTGAGCAGGAGCACTCCATGGGCACTGCCATCCTCTTCCAGACCCATGTAATAGGGGTGCACACCATAGGAATTCATCTTATACTAGGTCAACAGTTGAAAAGAGGTCAGTCATGGTTTACACACAAAAAACACAAAGGACAATGGATAATAAAGCTGGATCCATAATGTTCCTTGGGGGAAGTTCAAGGTCTCAAGGAAAATGGAGAATGAGAGGGTGATTCAATTCAGTAAGTATTTATAATTGGGTTACTCAGATTCATAACTATCCTCACTAGAAGAGCACAAACTTGGATAAACTAATCCTGGAATAGGGCCAAAGAAAACAATATGTATGAATAGCTACAAGCCATATAATATTCCAGTTGTGAACACATACCCCTGGGGGCTGGTCTCGAGAAAACATTCCCCATGTGTGCCAGTTCAGGTTCCTCCGGAATGTCGTGTGCTCAGTTTCCCCAAAGCCATAGATGTACTGAGATGGCAGGCGGGTGGAGATCCGTAAGAACATGTCATTGAAGGTAAAGCCAGGGACCTGGGAATCCCAACTGAAACATAAGAGCATATCGTGACTTTAAGGAGGGTTGAAGAATTCCTGTGGTGTGCATCTCTACTACACGTATCTGCAGAATAGCCATAATTATTCCAACTTTATTTACTAAACTTAAAGATAAAGAAAGTCTCTGAAGGAAGTGTCTTTCTTTGGTTGAGAGGGCTTTGACCTCAGAGATGGTTACAGCAAATAGGATTTAGATATGAGGGCAATGGGGCTTGGTACAATAGAAAAACCTAGAATGATGCAATTAAAAAAAAGTAGATGAAATAGTTCCTACCTTCAGGAAGTTCACAAATTAGATAAAGAGGTAAGATATTTATAATACCAAACTATTAAACAATAATATGTATGGTACTAAGTGAATACAATCAAATGAGTTTGAGACAGCTAAGTGGTTCAGTGGATTAAATGCCAGACCTAGAGTCAGGAAACTTTGAGTTCAAATCTGGCTTATCACGCTTACTAGCTGTGCGACCATGAACATGTCATTTAACTGCTGTTTACCTCAGTTTCCTCATCTGTAAAATAGGAATAGTAACAGCACCTGTCTCCCGGGGTTGTTGTAGGGATCAAATGAGATGATAATTACAAAGTGTTTAGCACAGTGTCTGACACACAGTAAATGCTATATTAATTTTACTATTATTATTATTGGATTTTTAAAATATTCTAATCCCTCAAAATAAAATCCAAGTTCATCTACTCATCTATCTTGCTTCCTTCCTTGGCATTTCCTTCTCTTCCCTATGCTACCATTGTCTTTCTCCTAATTAACTGCAGTAGACCAGCTGTCTCTCAGGGAACTCATGTTGGTCTTTTGATAACAGATACAATGTAACATTACATGCAGTAAACCCAAGGACCTCTGGGGAAGTAATTAAAGCTTCTGGTAAAGTTGGGGCCCTGAGAAAATGGCACCTGGGAAGACCCTGCTTATTTTTGTGGTTACTTTATTAGGATAAATTGTTCTTGGTTTGGCTTCATCTCCCATTATGAAAAGATTGATCTTTTCATTAAGTCCTACAGTTCCATTTGGAAGAAAGCCCAGGAATATTTGGTCTAGGTCTTCCCTGAATCTGGGCACGTACAATACCTAATCTCTCTCTATTCTACACCACAACCTTACAGTTTGTTTTCCTTATTTATAGTGGATGGTTTTCGCATTTTTTCCGTGGGAAATTACAATGCAAATGGATTTTCCAGAACTTATAAATGGCAGAATGAAAATGTGTGTGTATATATATATACATATATGTACACACATACATATATATATACATATACATACATACATATACATATATATATAAAACTTTCTCCCAATGTATATGTATATCAGATTTAGTTTTAAAATTTCTATTACCACTGCTAAGTCTATATCCCAAAGACACTAAAAAAAAAAAAAGGAAAAGGACGTATTTGTAAAAAAAAAAAATTATAGCAGCTCTCTTTGTGTTGGCTAAGAATTGGAAATCAAACTTATGCCCATCAATTGGGGAATGGCTAAACAAGCTGTGGTATATGATTGTAATGAAATATTATTGTGCTGTAAGAAATGACAAGCAGGATGATTTCAGAAGAACCTGGGAAGATTTACATAAACTGATCCATAGTGGAGTGAGCAGAACCAAGAGAATGTTGTACACAGTGATAGCAATACTACTTGATGAAAAATTGTGAATGACTTAGCTATTCAAAGCAATACAATGATCCTAGACAATCCCAAGGGATTAATGATGAAGCATGCTATCACCTCCACAGAAAGAACTGACATTTTTTAATACAAACCGAAGCACGCTATTTTTCACTCTTCCATTTTTCTTTTAATTTGAGATTTCTTATATAAAATTACTAATATCGAATGTTTTATATAATTGCACATGTATAACCTATATTTAATTGTTTACCATCTCAGAGAGAGGGGCAGGATGGCAGGGTAGAAGGGATAGAATTTGGAACTCAAAACTTTAAGTTAAAATGTTTAAAAGTTGAAAAAAAATTATTGATGGAGAAATTGAGAAAAATAGAGATTGTCTATAGCCTTGTATAAAACTTATATGTGGATGTCTTAATATATATTCAGGTCTCTCCTTGCAGTTTCACTGGTCTTTGTGGGTCATGGATCTAACAGGCATTACCTAATTTAAAAAATGTATGGATATGGAAGTGAGAGAGACAATGCCAGTTTCCTCTCACAGTAATAGTACATCATAGTCGAATTCTTAACTGGAGTCATGTTGGACATAATATCATAGCATTGAGAGTTGAAAGGAATCTTATACATTCTCTAATTCAATTACCTCATTATATGGATTAAGAAAGCCAAGGGATGTGAAAGGATGCATAATTTTCCAAAAGTACTGTGTATTTGCACTTGTTCAAGTATTAAAGACTTGAATCCTGGTCACTAATTTTTGGTGACCAAATCTAGTGGCCCATTCCACTATTCCAGAAATCAAGGTCAAGCCAAAATTCTGATTGCCCATTTATTGTACCATATATATGGAGCACAAAACTACTTACATCACAGTGCCCGTGCTTTTTCGGCGGATCTCAATTCCAAATGGGTTTTCCTTGATGGTCACATCATAGAGAAGATTTTCAGGTTGGCTGATGGGGGCACTTGGAATATTTAAGGGCACTGGGACTTCATACCTTTTATTGCTGGCGTCATAGATCTAGAAAACAGAAAAACTTGAGGTTCATATATTCATGGTCTTAGAACCAAAGGCTTAGGGCCAGAGAACCTGGCAGGGAAAGACCTGAGTATATATTAAGACACTAACTTTAAGTTTTATATAAGGCTATAGACAACCTCTGTTTTGTCAATTTCTTCATCAATAAAAATGTTTAAAACTAAGTCTGATATGCATCCATATTGGGAGAAAGTTAAAAATGAGTTTTTTTTTTCATTCTCATGGTTGATTCTATGGTTTCTGAAGATCTATCTGCTTTTAATCCTGAAATAAGCCATACATGGCAAGAGGAGTACTTTCATTCTCTCTCTGATTCTCAAGTATACTTTGATCACTTCATTTTAATTAGAAGGCTGATAGAACCACTCTAGTAGTTCTACTTGTCAATCAACTACAATTTATTTGTCACTTTCAAAAGCTTATCCTATTTCAACTAGTATTTAGACCTCCACGTATTACTACTATTAGACTGTAAGGTCTTTGAGGGTAAGAACTGTCTTACTGTTGCATTCACAGTCCCAGTGCTCCACATATAGTAAGTACTTAACAAGTATCCTCTCATTTATTCATTTATTCATTCTTGTGAAGTTAGAAATCATGTAATCCAACTCTCACTGTACAGATGAAAATGAAATCAAAAGATCTGTGACTTCCCCAGGTAATCTCTAATGTCCTTTCTAGTTCTAAATTGCTTTTCTCAGAAAAGAAAGTTTCCTTTTGCTTTAATTTTTGGGGATGAAATTTTTAATAATTAGCCACAGATGATTCATTCTGAAAGATGAAATCATGGAAGTAGAGATAAAATCATAATTATGGTGTATGTCTTAGGCACATCCTTCCCATCTATTTCCCTTCCACTTATCCCTAAGTACCCAGGTCAAATAACACTTTCATCCTGACCACTTATGACCTATTCCTCTATATGTCCTATAGCCTTTTATCTTCCATAACAAAATCACTGCATTAACATCCACTTCTCTTTTTGTAAATAGATTGTGATCTCAGGTATTAGGTACTTACAGTACTTAATCAAATTTCTCACACATAGTAGATACTAAATTAGTATCATTGGCTAGTGTACCTTAAACTGTAGCATGTCATCTTTATGGAATGTCACATCCAATCTGAGGTGGTTAATGGGCGTGGAAGGGTAGTGGTTGGCCTCCGAATTTCGGGAGATGTCTGCTGTTAGACCCTCTGGTCTCTTCTGAATATTACTGGCCGTATAATAATATTTGGTGATATAGCAATAAGGGACTCCTGAAGAATTGGTTGGCTGAAATTAAAAAAAAACTTTAGAGAATAATCAGATGCATGAAATCTGTAAGTAAAGATGAAAAGGTATATCTAGCTCGTGTCCTCCAAACCACTATGAAGAGCTCCTCAGAGGGAGATGTCCCAGACTCTCTTTATTTTTCAATCAATAAATCTACCTTCTCTTCCTTCTACTTTCCCCCTCCCACTCATCTTAGCAAGAAAGGAAAACAAAACCCCTTTTATAAATATGTAAAGTCAAACAAAATAAACTCCCAATGGATGGATTATTAAATTGTGGGAGTAAAATTTAAAAAGACTAAAAAGACAAGAAAAAGTGAGATGGTAAAGTGCTTTAAATATGCAAGAGGAATTGATATTTGATCCTAGATATAATAGGGAGCCACTGGAATTTACTTAGTGTGTGTAAGGGAGTGGGCAGGTAAGAAAGGTAACATGGTATAGACTTGTACTTTAGGAAAATCACATTGGCAGCTTTGAAGAGGACAGACTGAAGTAGGGAGAGACTTGAAGTAGGGAGAGACTTGAAGCAGGGAGATCAATTAGTAGGCTAGAGCAACATTTCAGAAAAGAGGTGATGAGGGCTTCAACCAGGATAGTGATTATGTGAGTGGAGAGAAAGGAATACATGAGAAAGATTTATTAAAGGTAAGGAGTTGGTGACTTATGTGGTATGAGTGAGTAAGGGGTTCAAGACGAAACAGAGAATCTAGGAGACCAGAACAACAGTGGTGCCCTTGATAATAACAGGCAAGTTCAGAGGCAGGTGGGGATGCTGGGAGTAAAGATAATGAGTTCTATTTTGGACATTTTGAGTTTGAGGTCCTTATGAGATCACGAGAGAGACTATGAATGGGGACACACACACACACACACACACACACACACACACACACACACATAACTGGAATCATCTGCAGATGAAGATACAGCAAAGGACACTGAGGAGAAGTCATACAAGAGGAAACCAGGAGGAAGCAGTGTCATGAAAACCCAGAAAGGATAGAGTTCCAGTAGGAGAAGGTGATCAACAGGGTTAAACGCTACAAAAAAGCAAAGAGGCATGAAATTTGAGAACATGTCATTACATAAGGGCAAATAAGAGATCACTGATAAATTTGGAGAAGAGAGTAGTTTTAGTTGAATGACAGGGTTGGAAGTGGGACTGCAGAAGGTTTAAAAAAGAATGAGAAGAGAGGAAGTGGATACTCAAGTATAGACAGCTTTTCAATGTGGCTAAGAAGGAAAGAAATAAGACAACAGCTAGCAGAGATGGTAGAATCTAAGATATGGGCATATTTGTAAGATTCACGGAAGGAGCAATAGAAAGGAGAGAGAGGATTAGGGAGTAGAAAGTGGGGACTAGAGTTGGAGCAATCTGCTGGGGAATATAGGAGGGGATAAAATCAAAGTTGGCCTTGTCAAGGAGAAAGACCACCTCTTCCTAAGAGACTGGAGTGAAAGGGAAAATAGCAGCAGATGATGTGAGAGTGACATGAGATGAGAAGAGGAGAAGATCTAACTTTCAGCATTAGCCTCAATTATTTTTTGGTGAAATATGAAATGAGGTCCTCAGTTGAGGTGCTACATAGAAGGAGTCCTCTGATAGTCTTGAAGAAAGATAAGAGTTTAGATCAGCCACTGTGGTGAGAGGGAGAACAAATAATTTAGGGAGGAGTAGGATTGCTTTGCTGCAGTCAGGGCTCAGTTGAGAATAGATAAGTTAACATAAGTTTGTAGTGAGTGAGATGCGCATGTTTACTTCTCGAACATGACTTTCCAAAGCTTTATTAAGTAGCATGTGAAAAATGATGGAGGGAGGTGGTGGGAGTAATACAAGGCTAGATAGAGTTTGAGAAGGCATGATCTGTGAGGGGACAGAGTATTTAAGAAAAGACAATCATGGAGAGTTGGACTGGTTCATCCAAGGGGTTAGGAAGAGAAGAGAATACAGACAGTGTAGCAGTAAAGGCGTGGGAAAGTTATGGTGAACTTGGAGTTTGAGTGAGGACAAAGAATAGGGAAGGGGTCATAAGGTACATATAAGTACATACATAGGTACTAAAGGCATTATTATCTTAATTTTGTAGATAAGTTATTAAGGCTCAGATATGTTAGATAACTTGCTCATCCCAGAGCTAGTCAGCATTTTAACATTTTAACTCAACTCTTTCCAGATTTCAAGTCCAGCAGCCAGGTGGTGCAATGGATAGAGTGCCAGCCCTGGCAGACTCATCTTCCTGAGTTCAAATCCAGCCTCAGATACACTTATTAGCTATGTGACCTTCACTTCACCCTGGTTGACTCAGTTTCCTCATCTGTAAAATGATCTGGAGAAGGAAATGGCAAACCACTCCAGTATCTTTGCCAAGAAAACCCCAAATGGGGTCACAAAGAGTCAGACATGACTAAAAAACGACTGAACAACAACGTTTGTTCTACTACACTGTGCCATCTTTTGCCTCTCCTCCTTTCTTCCCCATTGGCACACTCCCTCTCAGAGGAATCCTTGGCTCTAGTTTCTTGATTTAGAAACCAAAAGTAATATGATAAGATGATAAGCCTGGAGCTAAGCTTCTTAATGAGATAATAAAGCCTATATACTGAGATAACATGAGTTACATGCAGATATCAGAAGTGAACATTTTGACCAGTGGTCTTTTCCTAGTCAATTGTGTGAATAACATCACAAAATGAATGAATCCCACAAAAAATAAAATTTACTCTCTAGCATGAGTCGAGGGAGATAATTTGGGAAGAAAAAAAAGGGCTCTTTTAGTCCATTTCAACATACCACTATAGTGGCAAATATTTGTGAATATAGAAAAGAGATTCTCTATTGACATGTGTGGAAAGAGATAGATCTGGGATGGCCTAGCCTGGGACCAGAGGCCCCTCCAAATAGAACAGCCCTTTCTCCACTGACTCTTTTACTCAGTCATCTGGATTTGAAGTTCACAGGTTTCTAGATTGGGGGAGGAGGGTGAGATAAAAACTCCCACATAAATATCCACTTGCTTTGAATTATCTCAATTCCTTCCTGGTGTCTCTACAATAGATGAGGCCATAACAGTGAAAAGGGAAGACTTTAGGGTAATTCAGCTACTTACAAGGACTAAACTGTCTCTGCTCTGGTTGCTTCTATTCATGACAGCAACTTATCTTTGTACAACTTTCTTTTCCAGTTCTGTTGTTGTTCAGCCATTTTTCAGTCATGCCCAACTTTTCATGACTCCATTTGGAGTTTTCTTGGCAAAGATACTGGAGTGGTTTGCCATTTCCTTCTCCAGATAATTTTACATTTGAGGAACTGAGGCAGAGTTAAGGGACTTGCCCAGGGTCACACAGCTATTAAATGTCTAAGGCCACATTTGAAATCATGTCTTCCTAACTCCAGGCCCAGCATTCTATCTAATGCCACCTAGCTGTTTTACCTAACCTTTATCTACATAGGATCATAGAACTCTAGGATCACAGACTTAGAGCTGGAAAGGAGCTTAGAGGTCAAAGTGCAATTCCCTAACTTACAAGTGAGGAAAATGAGCTCAGGTTTCTGGGTGAAGTGGCTTGACCAACATCATATAGTTAATGTGTCTGAAGCAGGATTTGAACCCTGGTCTTCCTGACTTCAAGTCCAACATTCTATTTACCACACTATGCTGCTTTAGAGCAGGTCAGAGGAAAGGAGAGAGAATCATCAGAAGAAAAGGATGAACTGGAAGGAAATTTGTATGGGGTGTGATAAAGTGTATGTGTTTATGCCAATGTGTGTGAGAGTGTTTCTGTGATCTTACCTCCCAGGTACAGTCACGCAAATTACAGTTTTCTTCATTAGAACCATCTGCATCAGGGTAGCAGTCAAATTTTTCTGTGTCTATGAAATCTGTGGACCACTGCACTGTATACTGCTTCCCCAGTTCAAGATAAAGGCCTGTGATGTGAAGTACCTGTAAGGATAGAAAAAATTTGTTAATAATAAGGTACCACTGAAATCAGAAATTAGAAAAATCATCCAACTAAATCAATTCTGGTACATGAATATAATGGAGTATTATGGCCATATAAGGAAAGATAAACATGAAAAATTTAAAGAAGCACAGAAAAAAATGATGCAAAGTTTAAAAAAAAAGTCCAGGACCAAGAAACAATATAGATAATTACTACAGAAATATAAATGGAAAGAACAAAAAAACAAATAAATAAAACTTAACATTGTATCATCATAACAACCAACCATGGCCCCGGAAAGGAGATGAGAAAATGCCTTTCCCTCCCATTTTTGCAAATGTGGGTCTAAAGAGGCACTAAACACTGCAAATACTGTCAGAATCAGTTGATGTGGTGCTTTTGCCAAACTGTTTTATTTCTCTTTCTTTTCTATTATTTATTAGAAGAGAAGTCTCTCTAGGTAGGGAAGTAGGAGTGACATATTCAGAAGTCAAGTGAAAAATAGAAGGCTCCTTCCCTTCAACCCAACACAATACCAACTCTCCTCATCACAAGACCAATCTCATTGCCAGTTTTAGGGTTACTTTTCCTTCCTTCTCCTGTCATAACAGGGTCTGCCGACAAATTTAATTTAATGAAAAATCAGTGATGTGCAAAGGAGACAGACAGAATCTATGGGAAAGAACTAGTTTTATTCTACACAAAGTAGAGTCATGCTTTTAATTATTCCTTCATCATGATACAGCAGAAATAGCAAAAATAGCATTGGATTTAGAACCCAAGGAACTTGCTTTCAAAGCTTGCTTCTACTACTTACTACCTAGAGAACCCTGGACAAGTTTCTTAAACTCTCTTGACCTCAGAGGATGCTTTATCCATAAAATGAGGTTCTTGGGTGGAATGATCCATTCTAGCTCTAAATTTGTGATTCCGTTGGAACCTGGAAGGATATTCTGATCTCTGACCCCAGGAATACAAGTGAAGGCTTAGGACTAACTGACCTCTAAAGTCTCTTCCAGCTCTACTCTGATTATAGGATTAATTTCAGAATGTAGTTCCAAGTAAGACCCAGTATTAGAAAGCTTGAAAGAACAGGGGGAAAGTAATGAGTAAAATATAAAACTGGAAAAAAAAACTTGTAGTCTTTGCATAGAATTCATTTATTAAAAGCATATCCTCTGAATAGTTTTACCATAGTGATATAGGGGATGACATTGTTTTATTTTGTGAAAGTCCATCCTAGCAACCTGATAATCAGATGCCATGATTTTCTAGCAATTAAGACAAGTTGACTATATTCACTTAAGGCAGCCAAGTGGTATAGTGGATAAAACAATAGATCTGGAGTCAGGAAGACCTGAATTCAAACCTGGCCTCAGACACATACTAGCTGTGTGACCCCGGGCAAGTCACTTAACCTTTGTCTGCCTCAGTTTCAATGGGGATAATAATAACACCTATCTTGAAGGGTTGTTGTGTAGATCAAATGAGACATATTTGTAAAGGCACTTAGCACAGTGCCTGGCACATAGTAGGTGCTATACAGATGCTTATTCCCTTCTTATTCCCACCTGTACTAATGTTGTCTCTCATCAGGTAGTGTTCTAATCACTTCCCTTACTCTTCTCTACTCCTTTGTAGTGAACAGATTTCATTTTTAAAAACTGAGGGTAGGAGGCAGCTAAGTGGCATAGTGGATGGAGCACTGGCCCCGAAGTCAGGAGGACCTGAGTTCAAATCCAGCCTCAGACCAAACACTTGACACTTACTAGCTGTGTGACCCTGGGCAAGTCACTTAACCCCAATTGCCTTAAAAAAAAAAAGTAACATGGGCAGACGCAGCCACGCAGAAGTCAGATATCATCCTCTACCTGAGCAAGTCACTTAACCCCAATTGCCTGAAAAAAAAACAAAAAACTGAGGGGAAAAACAGGAAGGAAGAGAAGCCCAATCAAATAAATCTTAAGTGTTCAGAGGTCATATAGAAGACTGCAGTTAGATATCATAGTGGCAAAAAATTCTCAGAAAAATGAATGATTTGTAAACTTATGGAAAAAACTATCCAGCAAAGACAGTAGCACACATTTGTATAATGATAAGGCATATTCTTGTTTCACAAATTTTTAAAAGGCAAGTCAGATAAAAAAAGTATGTTTGTGTGCTCAACTAGGTTACTGAAAAAATAACAGTGTTTTAAAAATCAAAGGAAATGGACTGAAAGAAGTCATTTAATATTCTCTGACCTCAGTTTCCTGATCCATAAAATGAAACTGCTGGAACAGATGAGCTCTGAGCTCCCTTCCAGTTGAAGATCTGTGATCCCATGATAATGAAGACAAAACATTTTTGGGCTCTTTCTTGTGAGCTCACATTAAGAGGCTATTTTAGTCCTTGATTCAATAATTAATTGAAAAGAAAGCTATGAGAAAAGAGACAAATGATCCTTCCAGCTCTAGATTCCAGAACATCTGTATAATGTATCCACATTCATACTTTTACACATAAAAATGATCTGGAATCATCAACAACAAAAAGATAAATTGTATATAATCCTCTGTCTACTGAGGATTTCTTTTTTTTTTCCAATTTCGTGTAAAAACAATTTTTAACATTTGTTTATTTTAAATTTTGAGCTCCAAATTCTCTCCCTCCTTTCCTTCCCTTCCCCCTTCCTGAGACAGCAAGCAATTTGATATAGATTATACATGTAAAGTCATGTAAACTTAAAGAAAGTTTTTTTAAAAATATGCTTTGATCTGTATTCAGACTCTATCAACTCTTTCTCTAGAGGTGGACAGCATTTTTCATCATAAATCCTTTGGAATTGTCTTGGGCTATGGTATTGCTGAGAATAGCTGACTCATACATAACTGATTATCATACAATGTTGCTGTTATTGTATACAATGTTCTCCTGGTTCTGCTCATTTCACTTAACATCGGTTTATGTAAGTCTTTCCAGGTTTTTCTGAAAATATCCCATTCTTCATTTCTTGTAGCACATTAGTATTCTCTCATGCTCATATACCACATCTTATTCAGCTATTCCCTAATTGATGGGCATCTCCTCAATTTCCAATTCTTTGCCACCACAAAAAGAGATGCTATAAATATATCTGTAGATACAGGTCTTTTTCCTTCTTTTAAAACCTCTTTGGGATACAGACCTAGTGGTGGTACTCCTGAGTCAAGGGGTATGTATAGCTTTATAAACATTTGGGCATGGTTAGACAGTGCTCTCCAGAATGGTTGGATCAGCTCACAATTCCACCAAAAAACTCAGTGTCCCAACTTTTCCACAGCTCCTCCAACATTTGTCATTTTCCTTTTTTTGTCACATTGGCCAATCTAATACATGTGAGGTGGTACCTCAAAGTTGTTTTAATTTGCATTTCTTTAATCAACAGTGATTTAGAGCATTTTTTTCATATAACTATAGATAGCTTTGACTTCTTCATCTGAAAGCTGCCTATTCATATCCTTTGACCATTTATCAGTTGGGAAATGACTTGTGTTCTTATAAATTTGACTCCATTCTTTGAGGCCTGTATCAGAGAAACTTGCTGTAAATTTTTTTCATAGTTATGATTATTAATAACTGTGAATTTCCCTCCATCCTATTTTGTTCTATTTATCCTTCTCTCCCTCTCTTTTCACCCTGTCCCTCCTCAAAAGTGTTTTGCTTCTGACCACCACTTCCCCCAGTCCACCCTCCCTTCTATCACCATCACCCCCTTCCCTTATCCTCTTCCTCTCCTATTCCCCTATAGGGTAAGATAGATTTCTATACCCAACTGAGTGTTTATGTCATTCTGTCTTTGAGCCAATTCCAATGAGAGTAAGGTTCAATTGTTGTTTACCACCTCCCTCTCTCCATCTTCCCCTCTGCTGTAAAAGCTCTTCTGTATCTCTTTTATGTGAGATAATTTACCCCAATCTACCTCCCCCTTCCCCCTTCTCCTGGTGCACTCCTCTTTCTCACCCCTTAATTTTACTTTTTTAGATATCATCCCATCATAGTCATGCCTTTTTCTCACCCTTTAATTTTATTTTTTTATATATTATCCCATCATCAACTCATTCCCACGTTCTCTACATATACTCTTTCTAATTGCCTTAATAATAATGATAAAGTTCTTAAGAGTTACAAGCATCATCTTCCATGCAGGAAAGTAAAAAGTTTAAACTTATTGAATCTCTTGTGATTTCTCTTTCTTGTTTACCTTTTTATGCTTCTTTTAAGTCTTGTCCTGTATTTGAAAATCAAATTTTCTATTCAGCTCTGGTCTCATTAGGAATGCTTGATCATTAAATATCCATTTCCCCCCCCCCCCGCCAAAGGATCATATTTGTTTTGTTAGGTATGTGATTCTTGGTTGTAATCCCAGCTCTTTTGCCTTTTGGAATATCATCTTCTAATCCTTTCATGTAGAAGTTTCTAAATCTTGTGTTATCCTGACTGTGGCTCCATGACATTCAAAATGTTTCTTTCTGGCTGCTTGCAATATTTTCTCCTTGACATGGGAGCTCTACAATTTGGCTAAAATATTCCTGGGAGAGTTTTCATTTTGGGATCTCTTTCAGGAGGTGATCAGTGGATTCTTTCCATTTCTATTTTCCCCTCTGGTTCTAGGATATCAGGATAATTTTCCTTGATAATTTCTTGAATATGTATAAGCTCTTTTTTTATCATGACTTTCAGGTAGTCCAATAATTCTTAAACTCTCTCTACTCAATCTATTTTTCAGGTCAGTTTTTGTTCCAATGAGATATTTCAAATTTTCTTCAATATTTTCATTCTTTTGATTTTGTTTTATTGTTTCTTGATGTCTCATGGAATCATTAACTTCAACTTGCCCAATTCTAATTTTTAAAGAATTTTCTTCAGTGAGCTTTCATACCACCTTTTCCATTTGGCCAATTCTACTTTTTAAAGAGTTCTTTTCTTCAGTGAATTTTTGTACATCTTTTTCCATTTGGCCAATTATATTTTTTAAAATGATATTTTCTTCTATTTTTTGTGCCTCTTTTAGCAAGTTGTTGACTCTTTTTCATGATTTTCTTGTATCACTTTCATTTCTTTTCCTAACTTTCCCTCTAACTCTCTTATTTAATTTCTAAAATCTTCTTCCTGGAATTTTTTTGGGGGCCTATGACTTATTCACATTTTTCTTTGAGGCTCTAGATTAGCTGTTTTGACTTTGTTGTCTTCTCTGAGTTTGTGTTTCAATCTTCCCTGTCACAACAGTAACTTTCTATGGTCAGGTTCTTTTTTTGTTGTTTGCTTATTTTTCTAACATATTTCTTGACTTTTAACTTTATGTTAAAGTCGGACTCTGCTGCTGGGTTACAGATGGCACTGTCCCAAGCTTCAGGCTTTTCATGCTGCTGTTTTCAGAGCTAGTTCTGGCAGTCTTTAGTTCCTCCAAGATGTGATGATCTATGGAGAGGTGTGGTCACTGTTCTCCTGGCCTGTATTCTGGTTTGTGAGCAACCATATGCACTCTTTTCCACCTTGGAACTGTGACAAGTGTTCTCACTCCCCAGTGCTGCATGTACTGGTGAGCTAGTGCTTTTTTTCACCCTGCAAATTTGGGGGAGCTCGGGTGAATTCCTGCCTTTACCCTTTCTACTAAGAATTTCTAAATGCATTTTAGATTTTCACAGCCCAAAATGAAAAAAAAAAAAAAGAACAAAAATTTGGTGTTTAAAGGTTTAAAACTTTAGGTAATGAGGATATTTAGTTACCATAGACAGTTGATTAACCCAGATGCGAGAAATAATGAGGTTAATTTAGTAACAGGTTTAAGAAAAGCTTACCTTCGTTGCAGGATCATACTTGATTTTAGCATCAGATTGGATTGGAATGTTATTCTCTTTCACAGTAACTAGAACTGGCTGGAGATTCTGCCCAAAGATTTTGATTTCCTTAAATGCTAAATTATTTGGATCTCTGTAATTCTGATGTAAAACCTTCACATCTAGTTGATTCTATGAGACACACAAAAAGAGAACCCACGTTACCTCCTCCTACAATGGCTAAATTTCCAAATGTCTAAGGTGACTACTAACTCATTTTATTGGCTTCAACAACTGGAGGAAGAAATTTAGGATTAGGCCTAATAGTAAATAGTTAAAAACAGTGGTGTTTTGTTTCCAGATTATCTGATTTAGAAAGACTAAAAAATCCCTGCTGTAATAGAATGGACTAAGTTATTGTGGGATGACATTATTTGGAATCAGAACCTGTGGGTTCAGATCTCACCTCTGACACTTTTTTCTAACTGTGACCATGAGCACATAAGTTACTTAGTCACTCTAGGCCTATTTCCTTATTTGTTGAATTAGGGAATTGAATTAAATGACTCCTAAGGTTCCTTCCAGGATTAATTTTATGATCTTATGAGGTTTTCCTTCCCTAGTCAATATTAAGCAAACTGTCCACTGGTGTTACTTGCATGTCAAAGCTGAAAGCTAGATTGCTAAAGGCAGGAAGGATTCCTCCTAGCTCCTGACATACTTTATCTTCTCCCAACACTTTCTAAATGGGGTACTGACTTTCTGAGTTATCTGTCACACTGTATACAACTTTCTCCCAATGACAGAAGAAATGAAATGTAAATTATAATTTCAAGAAGCCCATTGTCATAAACCCTGGCTTGCAGAAGGAATGTTATTATTACCAGTGCAACTTAATCAAGAATGTGCAACAGAGTCCAAATTCAAAGTCACTGCCTTAAGTTCCAAATCTTTTATCTTTTAAAATTTACTACTAATTTCCTGAAAACAGGATTAGGATACACACACACATACATATATATACTTACACTTTTTGCATATTTTATATATGCTGTGTGTTTGCACTTACCTATGTGTGATTCTAAAGCAATAAGATGCATTCTAACAGCTACACGTGAAGCAATCTCATTTTATATAAATATAACAAAGATGTCTTCCTATCTGGTAAAAATATAGTCAGAGTCTCACCTACATAAAAACATATATTTTTATGTAGGTGATTCTCTAACAATAATGAATATAACTTCATGTATGTTTACATGTATATATTATTACACTTATATTAATCATATCTATATGAAAATATGTAGATATTTATAGTGTGTATTTGTACTACACACATATATATGTATGCCATGTGAGCATCTTGCAAATACAAGCCCCTCTCCTTTACTGGCTATAAAGACAGAATATGTAATTATTGATACTAAGAGAACTGGAATTCAGTTTAGACAAAAATTTCCCAAACTTTATGGTGAAAGCTGATTTCACATCATTGACTCTGATAATTTCAGCAGTGGGAATCTACTTTGAGTACCATATTATATATCCCTACAAGATTTCTAGTAATATGACACCTATAATGAAAAGAATGAGGGAAAAAGAAAAGAAAATCAGGTTTGAGTAGAAGGGTGGACTAATTTTGACCATTCCCCCAAATACTCTGAAATCTCTTTTATTAGGATGAAATTATGGAGAATTCATTCTTCCTTCTAAATCTCAGTTGACGGCACAGACCAATGGGCTATTCAAGTAAAGATTTTATGCTCTGGACAACTGGGAAAGTTTTGGCCCTCAAAAGAATAAACAAGCAAAATCCTCCCTTAATGGCATTCTTATTTATTGCTTTTTAGTGCCATTAATTTTGCTAAGATAATAAAAAAGTAAAAATTCCCATTTACACTTACCTGACTAGCAGAAAATGTTGAGAAATAGTAATTCCCCTGTTCATAGGTATCTGCAACAAGACAATAGAATAAAATCTATCAGGTCCTATCAAGCACAGCCTAGGATACAAAAAGCTCAAACATTTCAGCCTCATCAACACCAGGACTTCTTGTTTCCCTGGTTCTTTTATTCTCTGTCTTCTTTAGAAACTTCTATTTACAGACTCCAGTAGAAATATCCAGCATCTTAGAGTAGTTCATGGATGGCTGTAAGGGTTTGAGAGTTAATTCATTGCAATGCAATGCAATGTGGTGGACTACCATGGGCAAGGGACCTTCACTCAGCTGAATCAGCTCAACATGTCCACAATGTCTTTCCTTGTTGAATATTCTTCTCCTCTTGTGGTTAACTTAATCTTATTTTTTAAACTGCTGAATGACCTATGGGTGTTCGACTTACACCAAAGTTAACCCTAAACTTCCAGGGAACTAGCTTGAGTTTAGCCCAGCCAAGAACAGGAAAAATGAGTGGGAGGTACAAAGAGGTGAATTTAGGCTCGATATAAAGAAAAACTGGAAGAATTGGAGACATTCTAAACTAGGATGGCCTGCTTTGGGGTGGGAGTGGAAGGTATTGGAGGATAGATGACAACAAGAAGAAACTTTTTCGGGTATGATTTGGATTAGATGATTTCAGAGGTCCCTTCCAACTCTGAGAGTTTATAGATTCTAATCAATCATTCCAATAAATTATTAAAATGAACTGATTTGAAAATAGGCAAGAACACAGGCAACTAGATGGCTCAGTGGAGGCAGTGCCGGACCTAGAATCAGGAAGACTCATCTTTCTGAGTTCAAATCTGGCCTCAGACACGTACTAGCTGTGTGACCCTGGGCAAGTCATTTAACCCTGTTTTCTTCAGTTTCCTCATCTGCAAAATAAGCTGGAGAAGGAAATGGCAAACCACTCTAGTATTTTTGCCAAGAAAACCCCAAATGGGGTCACAAAGTGTCAGACATGACTGAACAACAACACCAAAGACCACAGGGGTGCTGAGAGAAGCTATAGTGTAGCCTTTACACCAATGTTGATGTAAACTGAACCTTAAGGAAGCTCCACTCACCGATGCTTTGTCCATCATCCCAGAAAAACTCTCCTTCAGCCGTTCCATTGTCTGATAAAGCCACAATAAGACCCAGGGAATTTCTCCGGCTATGAAAATCAAAAATTAAAATCAGGCACCCAATAACTTGGGATTGATGTTTGATTTCTGCTCTCTAGGATTCTCCCCAAGATAAGTATCATGCAACTACCTTTGTAGCAAATATCAAGCATGAGCTTTCAACATGCTTGAAATAAAAGTTATAATTGTGACATAATTTGATTTTAATCCACGAGCCATAGAATAGATAATAAAGAAGTATTCGTGATTCATCTCTGACTTTCTACTCAAACTTATCATGCCCAGCAGCACCCTACTTTGGTGAAGCACATGATAGGTTCCATAGCATTTCTATCCACATGATGTCACTTAACACTTCATACAAAATCTCTATGTGAACAGCATAGGATAATCATGATGCTTAGATAGATGACATAAAATGTGCGGGGGGCAAACACCAGGAAAAGAATGAAATGTACCATCCATTCATCTAGGAAGATAGGAAAATGGCCAATGTGGGGGGAAGGATGTCTGTAGAAATCCCCAGTCTTTCCCTTTCCCCCATCAGATAGCTCTATCTGGTAATATCCTGTTTTTAATGGATTACTATTGTTAATTAGGTGCTAAATTCAGTTGCCTTTATGCTGATGAAGGACTGAAAGTACTATCTGCAACCCTCTAAATTTCAAATATCATATTTCCATGCAGAACATAAACAGTTCGACCTTCTTAAGTCTCTTATGATTTCTCTTTCCTGTTTACCTCTTCATGTTTCTCTTGAGTCTTGTATCTGAAAGTCAGATTTTCTATTCAGCTCTGGTCTTTTCATCAAGATTGCTTGAAAGTCCTCTGTTTCACTGAATGTCCATTTTTTTCCCTGAAGGATTATGCTCAGTTTTGCTAAGGGGGTGATTCTCGGTTGCAGTCCTATCTCCTTTGCTCTCCAGAATATTATATTCCAGGCCCTGTGGTCCCTTAGTGTAAAAGCTGCTAAATCTTGTGTTATCCTGATTGTGTTTCCACAGTACTTGAATTGTTTATTTCTGGCTGCTTGCAATATTTTCTCCTTGACCTGGAAACTCTGGAATTTGGCTACAGTATTCCTAGGAGTTTTCCTTTGGGGATCTCTTTCAGGTGATTGGTAGATTCTTTCAATTTCTATTTTGCCCTCTGGTTCTAAAATATCAGGGCAGTTTTCCTTGATAATTTCTTGAAAGCTGATGTCTAGATTTTTTTTGATCATGGCTTTCAAATAGTCCAATAATTTTTAAATTATCTCCTGGATCTATTCAATCCTCTAAATTTCAGCAAGGGACAAAGCACTGGCCATTCTATCCTGGATACAGATCTGGGTGGTATACAGGAAATAAAAGTTCCTTAGATTTTACAAAATGTTTTCCTCTCAACACCCACATTGCTATCAATACTATTTGATAGATAGTGCAAGAATTGTTATTCTGATTTTAAGGAATCAGGAAACTGAGGCTCTGTGACTTCGGCGGATTTTTCTAGAGTCTTACAGCTAGAAATCAACTCAAGCCCAGGCCTCCTGACTACAAGTCCATCACTCTGTTCACTATACTGCAGTGCCTTTCAAGAAAAGGACAGAAGCACAAAGAATTAGCATTAGGATCTGAGGTGCTCATTTGGAAAGGAAAGAAGGATGCTGCTCCCCTCACTCACCTATAGTGGGTGTTATTAGCAGGTTCTTGCCATGGAAGGATGTAGCCTCCACGGACATGGAGATTGATGTGGTCAAGGGGAGCTGGCAGGTCCTTCCACTCTCCCCTCACTCCAATATCTGAGCCCTTTGATTGAGAGGAAGGCAGGGATAAAATGAACTCAGGAACCTCATCTTAGCTGAATATTTGACAGGATAGGGAAAGTGCTTTCTCACTATGAACTCTCACCTCCAGTTATGTATCCTATTTTTTAACCACATGTAGACTGTCCAATCCAACTGGTCATACATTATTCCTCCTTCCTCTCCTTCCTTTGTATACCAAAACTTTCAAATCTGCCTTTCTTCAAAATAAACCCTGCCTAATTACTCCCACCATTCAGTGTATCTCATCAACTCTGCCTCATCGCTCTTCTTTATCCCCATTCTCAGGGTTCATCAGGGCCTTTGGAAATACTGGATGTTCAACCAGTAGGGAACTAAGTAACTGACTAGAGGAGAATCTCAGACTGTGGAGGGGGAAGGAAATAGAAATAAAGCAATCAATGATAGGCTATATAATGACAGTTCTTCAAGATGTACAAGGGGTAGAGTTGTCAGAACTTACACAGAAATCCTGAAAACATCACAGAAGAGATACCCTGGGCACCCACTATCCTTCCCCATTCCCTGACCTTACACACTTTTCTGAACTGGGTGAAGTTTCGGCTCCTATGTACATCAGAGAAACTTACCAAGTAGTAATCATACCAGGGGTCTTTGGGGAAATAGGCGGACACCTGCCTGGCATTCTGCAATAAAAATATATGAGTTGTTATAAAACTGACCCAGAAAGACTAATGATAATAACCATTAGATTTCAATCAATAAGCATTTATTAAGTGCCTAGTATGTACCAGGCAGTACCCTAAGCACTGGAATACAGAAAGAGGCAAAAGACAGTCCCTCCCCAATGGAAGTTACAATATCATGAGGGAAACAACATGAAAACAAGTACATACAAAGCAAGTTATAAACACAATAAACAGGAAATAATTAAGAGAGGGAAGGAACTGAATTAAGAGGGGTTGGGGAAGGCTTCCTATAGAATGTGGGATTTCAATAGAGACTTGAAGACAAGGAGATCAGTAGGTGGAAAGGAGGAAGGACAGCATACCAGGAACGAAGGATAACTAGAGAGAATGCCCAGAGCTGAGAGATACAGTGTCTTGTTCATGGGACAGCCAGGAGGCCAGTGTCACTGGATCAAAGTATGTGTCAGGAAGTAAGGTGTAAGAAAACTGGAAAGGTAAGAAGGGGGTTGGTTATGATGAACTTTGAATGCCAAACAGCACTTTGTATTTGCTCTTGAAGGCAAGAGAAAGCCATGGAGTTTATTGAGTAAGGGGAGGTGGGTGATCAGATCTATATTTTAGGAAAATCACTTTAGTGAAGTAGTATAGAGGGAAAAGTAAAGAGGGCCCAGGACAGAACCCTGAAGGACAGCTATGGTTAAAGGGCATGATCTAGAGGAGAATTTGGCAAAGGAAAGAGGGGGGTGGTCAGATAGGTAAGAGGATAACCAGGAAAGAATGGTGTCCTGAAAACCTAGAAGGAAGAGAGTATCAAGAGAAGGGTGTTATCAAGATTTTCAAAGGCTGAAGAGAGGTCAAAGTGAATGAGGATTGAGAGAAGACCACTGGATTTAGCAACTAAGAGATCATTAGTAACTTAGGAGAGAGTAGTCTTAGTGGAATGATAAGGTCAGAAGCCAGGTTGTAAAGGGTTAAAAAGAGAATGAGAGGAAAGAAAAGTGAAAGCACCTATATTTTCTAGGAGTTTAGCTACAAAGGGCAGAAAAGATACAGGACAATAGTTAGCAGGGATGGAGGGGTCAAGTGAGGGTTTTTTTCAGGATGGGGGAGACATGGGCATGTTTATAGGCAGTTGGAAATGAGCCAGTAGAGAGGGAGAGATTGAATATAAGTGAAAGAGTGGGGATCAAAGAAGAGGTAATCTGTTGGAGGAGATGAGATGGAATGGGATCATTTGAATAAGTAGAAGAGTTAGCCTTGGTGAGGAATAAGGCCATGTCATCATGTGAGGTAGGAGTAAGAGAGGAGAAGGTGGCAGAAGGCACCTGAGTGACAGAAGAGGAGGAAGAGGGGAGAAGAGGGAATTCATGGCAATTTTTTTCTGTAAAATATGGCACAAGGTTCTCAGCTGAGAGAATGGGGGGATGAGAAGCCGTGGGAGGCTTAAGGATGGATGAAAAGGTTTAGAAAAGCCACTATGCAGAGCACAATAGTGAGTTAATATGATAGGATTATTTAATAGCAGTGAGGGCCCAGTTGAGGTTATATAACATAAATTTGTAGTGGACCCAATCAGAAGGGTTGCATGATTTTCTCCACTTTTGTTCAGCAGCACATGTATAGGCTGAGGCTTGGCTGGGCATAATCAGTCAGATGTAAAGGAAGCTAAGGATTCAAGAGAGGAGAAAACAGTATAGGGTTGAATCGGTTCATCAAGGAGTCAAGATAGAGAGAAGACAGCAGCAAGTGCAGGGGAGATGGCCTGGGAGAGAATTGAGGGGTCAAGGGATTGGAAGCCCTTGTTGTTATGTAAGAGTAGTGTTATGTAAGGGAAGGCAAAGGGAATGGTGAAAAGTCAATAGATTATGTTTGGATAATGGGATTCCAGAACTGTTAAACATGTGGGTGATAGCAAGATCATCTTTGTGTGTGGCTGAGGTGGACAGGAGGAGTAGCTCATGGGATGTGAGTAGGTTGAGGAACTTAGTGATTAGGATATTTGAGGCAGGATCAACACTTTTGCTGAAGTCTCCTAGTATAGGGGCAGAAGTTGGCTAAGACAGAAATATTGTAAGCCAGGTATCAAACTCATTGAGGGGCAGGGGGTAGGGAGATCTATAGATAATAGCTACAAGGATTTTGATTAGGTAATAGATATGTATAGCATGAACCTCAAAGGAAAAAAATTACTGAATGAGGGAGGAAGGGAGACAATCTGGGAAGCAAAGATTATTCTAACTCCCCTGCCTCAACCAGTGATCTAAGGAGAAGTGCTCCCCCAAAAGACAAAGTCTCTAAATACATGTCACCAACTTTTTACCTTCCAATAACCCTTCAAGGGTGATTAATCATGAACTCCCAACTTTATAGATTATGCCAAGTCAGCACGAATGCAAGCACTAGAACTCAGGTTCCATAACTCTAAGAAAAAAAGCAAGGCCCACTCCACTACATCACTTTGCCTCTCATTCAGCATCTTCTATACAATCCAAGGCCTCTATACTCACAGGTTCCAGGACAGGGCTGATTAAGAAGGCTGGTCCCCACAAGAACTGACAGAATATGTCCCAGGTGTTACTGTCTTCTACAAACCTGAGCAGAGAAACAAGGTATTACAATCCGGGTTCTCCTCAAAGTCATGGACAAAGACTTTCCCAGGTCACATAAACATACAGATTTTGAGCTCTAAGGTTCTAAAGAGCCTTACAGATCAGGTCAGACCAGTGGCCCAGACTCAGCATCCTCTGGCTGCTGCATCCAAGCAATGCAGACTTTTGGTTCCTTGGCTCCTTTCCTTCTTTCTCTTGGTCTGGTTCTACCAAGCACACTCACTACCTTGTACATTGTGGGTTAATGTGAGGATATATATACTTTTCACATTTATCATATATGGATATAGACCCTTACATTTCATCACCCTTAACATAGGCATTTTGTAACCCCTCCACACCTGCTCATCAACTTATATGGGAATATCATTTCACATATCATTGTGAATTCACATATCAATGTGAATATCATTCACGTATGTGTCTGTGTGTCTATTTATGTAGATTATAGAAGGAAGGTAATAAAATTATAGCTGAATAATCCTTAGAGGAAAAAAAGTCAGGGATGCGATTTAACCTCATTACATACAATATTTTCAAACTGCCATTTAGCTTGTGAAAATACTGTTTGCTATTTGGAGTTTCTCTAAACCTGTGAGGTGGCTCTTCTGCTTCTGCAGATAGTTTAAAATGCAGTTGTGTCTCCCACATTTGGACACTTCTTAATATTTAATGCAGCTTGAAAGTATTAATCTGTAAATGTATTATGGAGGCAAAAGTCAACTGACTTGTCTAAATTCAAAAGGATAAATCAAGGTCATAAATCCTTGACCTTGAAAACATTATGCAAACTAATTATGTGACCCAAAAGAACTACCAAAGCAAAAGATTCATCCTAGTGATAATTCACTAAAAAGGATCTTAGGGTCACATTTACAAGACAAAAATATATTTGGTCAATTTATTGGAGTCTCCATAATCAAAGCAGTTCTTTAAAGTTAACATTCTTTAAATTTTTTCCTAATTAGCCAGTCATAAGCTAATAAATGTTATAGCCAAGAAAGTAAGTCAAATGTCCTAACTCCAAGGTCAATGTCTTTTCCAATAAATCATGTTGCCTCTCTCAATAATAGATATGCTTCATTCTAGAATGATTTCAAACAAAAGTCCCAGCAACATAAGGCACTTACTCATGGAGAAGGGGCCGGATAACAGTGCTGCCATTAACATGAGCCTTGTGCATGAGGGTGTAGAGATATGGCAAGAGGGTATATCTTATCTGAAGGACACTTCTTGAGAGATCCTCAAAGGCAGAATCCCAAGACACTGGATCCTGTCTCTAAATCAAAAAAAAAGGAATACTCACAGATCCCCAAACCTTTGACCCTGCTCCAATGGAAGAGAGGTAAAGTAATTGGAAGATATCTCCTACACTAGTCAGTTTGTATTCTTGCCCTTTTTCTTTCATGACTCCTGGGCTGGTACCACTGGCCTTAACCCAGGAAGAATCCCTGATGCTTCTTTTATCCCCTATGCCTGAGGGACCTTGAACAAAGTTAACTCTTACCCTGATCCAGAAATATGGCCTGGGAAAGACTGATATTCAATTCTGACCACACATTTGCATGCTCAGCAGCTATCGTACATTACAATGGAATGGGTTTGAGTTACATGCAAAGAACACATATATATGAAACGATGGAGGGAGCCTGGCATTATAACGTTCTAGCATGGCAACAACATCTCTTCTTGCAATCACCATTCTTTCTAGAATTTCTGATAGGAATGAGATACTCTATACTACTCTAGAAAATACAGAACTCATGTTATGTATTTTTCTGTGTCATGAAGGATATTATCTCATGAGGGAAGAGTGAGGCCTGAGGTCTAGCACGAGGGCAGGCCTGAGGTACAAGCTGGTATCTCACCCTGGGCCCAAGAGTATTATGGTTCCTAGAGAAAGGGTAAAAGGCTCCCAGTTGCATCCAGCGAGCACACATCTCATACTCAGCATCTTCAAAGAACCCACAGATATCAGCTCCTGTCTGAAAACAAGAAAGAAAAAAATGGAGAATGGGAAATGTGAGTTTCTGAAGCAGTCTGAAATCTGATAAAGTGGATTTTAACTGCTGACCCAAGTGAGACTTACATAGGATATTCCAAAGAGACTGAACTCCATCATGCCTGCAATAAGAATCACAGCTGTATCAGATGAGGCACTTGGAGATAATTGACCAAGCTCTAACTTTCCTCACTCATTGACTTGAATAGCTGATCAAGAAACATCCAAAGATATAAGTGGAATGACACAATAGACAAAAATCTGACACTTCTCTGTTCTATCTAACATCCAGAAAAATGATGACACTTACCGACCACAAAAGCTTCATTCTATTCCATTTATTAGAATTAGGTCCATACATACCAATAATGGATTTATAAAGCTGGTCCCATGCTGCTGTGTTGTCTCCCAGCCAATGTCCTGCCCAGCGTCCTGAGGATGGAAAGGTTGAGCGAGTGATCACGATTCCTCTCTCTCCTGTGGCCTCCTGCACTCCTCTAATAAGAGAACAGAAATGAGACACGAAGCCAATCTGGAGGTGGCCAGAGGGCTCCTCCCATCAGAAAGCTTCTGCAGCTGAGACTATAAGATAAAAATCTTCTCCCTAGCTGACAAAAATGGACAAGTCAGAAAATCAGAGTCACAGTACAATCTTTACCCAACATCCCAGGTAAAAAACTTAGAACCATGATGTATTGTATATATGAATTCCAGATAATGTAAAAATATTACATTTAGACTGAAATAAGTATATCAGGGGATGGGTTTTCATTTTCTTCAGTTCTTTGGTGAATTTACCTCCTTGATGATGTACATTATTGACTAATTCTGGGTTAATACTCATTATGTGAACACACAAAAAGACTGTGTTTAGTTTGAGGGCAAGAAAGAGAAGAGCAAAGTCTTTTTGCTTTTCATTTATTGCAACTTGGGGACCATCCATCTGTTGTCAGAAACCCCAATTCTGTCCACCCACTACCTGACATATGGGCCTCACAGAGAGGGAGGCAGGGACTCACTCATATGTGGGCTTTGTCTGGGACCAGCCATAGAGATTGTGCACATCATAGTGCCTCACTGGGCTTCCATCAGGCAGGAACTGCTGACTTTCCATGCACAGGGTCTTACTGCTCAGGCCTCTGTCTCTTGACTCCAGATCTGAGGAAAGAGATGTAGTGATGTGAGATCCCCGCTACAATGGCAAGGACTTCACATCTGGAGACAGTGAAGGAGCTAGCTAGAGCTGAAGGGAAGAGAGAGGATGGAGTATGAGTTTGGGAAAGAAAAGTAGGTCAGAGCTAGAATATATAAAGCTTCGAATACTAGACCATAGAATTTAAGCTCTAGTAGGAAATGGAAAACTGATGATGATTTCTGAGCATAGACCATAGACTATGGAACTTAGAGCTAGAAAGAACCTCAGAGACTGGGTAAGTCCAACCCCTTCATGTTACAGATGAAGAAACAAAGGCCCAGAGAGTTAAATGATAGCCACAAGATCAGAAAAGCTAATAAGAAGCAGAGCTGGGATTTGAACCCAAGTCTTCTGACTCCAAATATAATGTTCTTTCCACTATTCCATAGGACAAAATACTTATATCCATGTAACAAAAAGATTAAGCTGCTGACGCCTGAGATCAATTAGAGGGCAAGGTTTAGAGGTAGAGAGATCAATCTGTAAGCTTTTATAATAAACATGGTAAGAAAAAAGTTAATGACTGAATTGGAGCAGTGGTAGTTAGAATTATTAGAAGTACAATATTTTGGTTTGCCAGAAACAACCACGGATAAGAAGGAAGGAGACTGACGTTCTATCCTTACCTACACCATTAAGTGGGTGCATGATCATTTTACTTCCATGGTTTCCAGTTTCCTTAACAAGAGAGTTGAACTAGATAATAATAGTTTTCATTTCCATAGTGTTCTAAGTTCAACAAGGAGGCGACCTGGTGTCATGGATCGAAGGCCAGCCTAACAGCCAGGAAGATCTCAGTCCCAGTCTTGCTTCTGACACATAACTAGCTGCATGACCTTGAGTAAATCATTTAATTTATCAGTTCTTCCAGCCAACACTCTAAAACCAAAAGCTACAAATGTCAAATGACAAAAGACAATCTGCATCCAGGTAAGAAGTTTTTGTACTCAAGTTCTCTACACTGTATACACAGATACAGACCAAAGCACCTTCTTACCCCTTTCCCCATAATGATAACATAAATATCCATTTGAATCTCACACCAATACTGTGGTGCAAAGAGTACAAATACAGGGGTTTTACACATTTCAGTTCAGTTTTAAGACTTTGGAACACCCTGTATCTTATTAGCACTTAATTTATGAGGAAATCCATGGTCCTATGGATAAGTGGTAGAACCAGGGATACAAATCCAGGTCTCCTGGCTGCAATTTCAGTACTCTAGACCCTATATTAGATAGATTCTAAGATCCTTTCTTGCGCTAAGATTTTGGATTCACTATTTAGGAACAAAATTGATACAATTTAGATATGTGGGGTACAAAGAAGTCAAAAGTTTAAAGAATGAGTGAATGAAGAAAATGGGAAAACCATTGACAGAGACAAAAAAGTCAGGGACAACATGCAGAGGAACAAAAATAAGGAAACTACTTATAGATATAGAGCTTGAGGTACCAGAGGAACATCTATGTTAAATGTCTGCTAGGCAAAGGCAATTCAGGAATTCAAATCTAAAGCTCAGGGGGAAAAGGCAGCACTAAAGATATACATTTGAGAGCTCTTCAATTAGATATACATGTTGGAAGCAATGGGACTGACTGAGATTGTCAAAGGAAATAGTAGAATCAGTAAGCCTTGATTTGAGACACTGTTCTGTCAAGCAAATAACTTTTGGGCCAAGGCTATAAAACAAGTGCTTGGGGAGTAGAGTAACCCTAAAGCCCCTACTAGCTCTAAGTTCACTAGTATAGTCCTGTATAGAGAGAAAGAGAAAGGAAAAGAGAGAACATCCAGATAGAGCCTTTGACAAATCCCTATGTTAAGAAGATGGAAATAAGAACATGTCAAGAAAAGCAAAAAGACAAGAAGTTAAAGATAAGAAAGGAGATCCAAAAGAACTGGGGATAAGGGAAGCCAAAGACAGAGATTATCAAAAAAGAAGGGGTATCAACAATGCCAATGCTACAAAGAAATTAAGAAGAATAAGGAATGAGTAAAAGCCAATGCATTAGACCCCAAGGAGAAATTTGGAAGAACAGTTTTGGAATAGTAGTGGGGTTGGAAGCTAGACACAGCAAACCGCTTGATGTCTTGGCAATCTCCTCTCCCAGCCTTCCTTCTAGACACTGTAAGCCTAGATAAATTATTAAGGAATTGACTTTCAATGATTTGACTAATGAGAAAATATCAGACAAATTCTCTACATATTCTGAATAATACTACTAATCATTCTGTCCTTCAGAAGCATGTAAACAATCATCTGTCCTGGACTTTTTTTTTTAAATAAGATTCATTATTTTGAAACCTCATTTGCTGTCAACACTAGGTATATAATTACCAAAAGAATATTGTAATCAAGGCAATATGAGATGAAAGATAACCATTCTTATTCTAGGGTTATCAACGGTTATTCACAGGCAACTGGTCTCCCTGTCTTCAGTTTCCCTTCCTCCATACCCTCCCAAATAAAAACAAAAATTAAAAAACAAAAACAATTGAGCTGGATTAAATTGAAAGTAAAATTAAAATGATACCCTCACCATCACAGAAGATCCACACAACATATTTTCTAGGGGAATTTTCAGCCTAAAATTCTCCAAATGTATTTCTTCTCCTATCTGAGAAAGACATCAATCATGGCACTGCAGCCAATAGAACTGAATTGGACTAAAGTTCATTGAGGATTGATAGCAAAATTGAACCACTGAGAATCCCTTTCAAGCTTTCACTATACTTTCAAAGTTAAATAAAGCTTTTGCCTCACAAAAATCAAGATCTGCCTAATAGAGCTCGTCATTTCTTCCCAAACTCCTCTTTGCAGATGACCTCTCATTGTTGAAATCACTCTATAAGAACCTAGATAGCTTAGCATGCCAGTATACTTATTCTCAGAGCAATGACCACGCCCACGCTGGGCTGCAAGCAAGTTGTGGTCTTAAGTCTCTTCAACAAGAGCCTAAGTACTATTCTTCCAAACAGAAAGTAAAATGTACTTACAGGGCATATATGGAGGATGGTTAAGCATGGTATTTGTGCAGCCTAGAGGAACTGCTCCATTCACAAAGCTTGCTGGTTCATTCATGTCCTAAAAATTTAAAACAATACTATGTTTTATATACATACGTATTTATGTACACATATACTGGTGGTAATGTAATCATATTTTTATATCATATACATATACACAAATATGCAGTATCATGATAGTTAGCATTTATATAGTACTTGAAATTTTACATAGTTTTAAATGAGGTATTTCATATAACAGCTCTGTGAAGTAAGTGCTATTATTTTCCCTGGTTTACAAATCAGGAAATTGAGGCTGACAAGTCAAGTGACTTGCCCACAGTTACACAGAGGGTAATTGTCTAAGGCCAGATGTGAATTTAGGCTATCCTGACTCCAAGTCCAGTTCTCTGTCCACTATGCTACCTTGCTGCCTACTTAAATGTATGCATATGTTAATCATCCTGTCACCTCAAGCAATAGTAATACACTCAGAATGTGGAGGCATTAATGATGCAAGAAGGTTGATTCAAATGCTAATAGAAATCACTTGGAAGGATCAAGCTATAGTTTCTGTCAGACCATGATGGAGAATAAAATACATTCACAGGAATAATTGAGTTTGTTCCAGTAAAAGCAAGACTAAAGCTCTTGGACTTGCAGGTGCATTAGACAGATTTCAAGCCATAGAATTTAATGTGAGTTTTTGCTGGGATATAATTTGAACTGTTGTCTGGCATGATGGTGTATGACTATAATACTGGCACGGCTGATGGATTCACTGAACTCAGGAAATCTAAGTTATACTAGGGCTAAAGCTGTTTGGATTGTCTACACCCCTTCCCCCAGGAGTAGAAGCCACCAAGCTGACTAAGGAGGAATGGACCAGCCCAGGTCAGAAACAGAGCAGGTTAGTTTCTATGGCCATCAGTGGTGAGATCAGGCCCATGAAAGGCTGCTACATTTTCAGCCTAGGCAAGATCGGGACATCCCGCGAAAACAACAAGATAAACCAAAACAAAAGTATTTGTGCTTGATCAAATAAAAGAAGTCTTTAAAAAAAAAGTGCTAAAAAAATCTTTCTTGGTTCTTTAGTGCCTGAAAGCCAATTACACACATATATGGCAATGCACAATCATATGCAATCTTACAGTGTCTACACACATATATGCACACTTACTCAGACATATACACTTACAATCCACATTCCATCAAACTTCAAGCTCTTCTGTGGCTCGTTGGGATTGGTGTAGAGTTCTAGCAATTCCCGCTTCCACCACATGACTGTTGAATTACGGAAAAAGTCTGGGAAGGCAACATGAGCTCTGTATATCTGTAAAGATGAAACACAACCCCAGGGCAGATGTAGTCAGGTCAATGACAAAATTTATTTTGCAATAAATACAGATAATTTCTGAGAGAACTCAATGTGTTTTAGAATATTAAAAAGCAACTGAATACTTATAGCAGAATCACAAAATTTGAGAGTTGGAAAGGCTAGTCCAAGTAAATGTGAAAGGAATCTCTCCTATAACATATCTGAAAAGTTTTTATCCACTCTCTGCTTAAAGACCTCCAAGGAAGAATAACCTACCACCTCTAGAAGCAATCCATCCCATTAGAGCCGGACAGCTCTAATTGTTAGAAATATTTTCGTGTGACAAAAGCCTAAATTTGCCTGTTTGAAATTTGTACCCTTTGCTCCTGAATATGGCCTCTTGGGACACCTCTGATCCTTCTGCTACATGAAGAAATGATTATGTTTTGAGCTAACAGCACCCAATATTCCAATAGTCTACCATTCAAGCGCTAGTCAGGCCCTACAATTCCAAGATTGGAAGGAATTGGGTATATTCATAATGGCATGACTTTAGACTCTCAAAGAGATTGTCCCCTATTCTTAGAATGTCCTTCAAAGGAAGGATTATTTTCATAGGATTGTTTTAAGGCTCAGTGGTGTGCAAATGTTATGGTTTACAAATACTTTCCATAGAGTTACAGATTGTCTAGTACTCTGAATCACAAAGATACAAACATACATATATATCATGGATAAATGTCTGTAGATCATAAAACCTGATTTAATTCAACAAACATGTATTAAGTTCCTTGTATGTATAAGGCACTGTACAAATTAAAAATAGAATAACTGCCTATGCAAGACTTAACATTATTTTGAGAGAGATACAATATTATAGAGGTCATGCCATATTTTCCTTCTCCCAGTAGTTAATAGTACCAGTCAGATGGCTCTAATGGAGTCATAGTATTCTTACCTAGACTCCTGTCTATCTGGAATTGCAGACAAAATTTCCCAAAAGAGCTTTGTTATCAGGTACTGTCTCACTGGTCAGTCAACAGCTGTTGTTTGGAAAATGGCTGGGCAGATATGGGACCAGAGAATGAGAATTAACTAGCACATGTTGAGATAGAGAATGGGGATTAACACTGAAGAGGGTGGGAAAGAGAGTCTACAAAATTTAGTTTCCAAGGAGTGAATGGAGGGCTAACTAATATCACCTCTTTGGGGGAAGGAAAGCACGTGTTTTTGTAGAAGGAAGCAAATTCATGATAATTTAAGGAGGCTCTGAAAAGGCTCAGTAAAAGAAATGGTACCTGAGCTGAGCCTTCAGTGAAACTAAAGATTATAAGAGTTTGCTGGAAAAGGAAGGACATTCTAATGAGATGATAGGTCGAAGGGAAGTGGAATGTCAGGATTACATTACAGCTGATGTGTTAGTTTGGACAAAACACAGAGTATATATAGGGAAATAATATGACATCAATCTGTAAAGGAAGACTGTAGACAGTTTATGGAGATATTAAAATACTAGACTGAAGAGACAACATTTTATGCTAAAAGTAATAGTGAGCCATTGCCAATTTTAAAGAAAAGGGTGATATCATAGAACATGTGACTTTTTGGAGTAGTATTTTGGCAATTGTGTGAAGGATAAATTGGAGAAGAATAAGAATGGAAGGCCAAGAGGTGAAGAGGGCTTGAATGAGGATAAAATCTGTATGAACAGACAGAATGCGCCATATGAGAGAACTGCTGAGGAAGTGGAATTGACAAGACTTAGCAACTGCTTGCATCTAAGAAAAAGATAAATCAGGAAAAGGGAAACATAGAAGATAACCATAATTTTGGGGACTGATGCTACCTATCTATAATATTCCAGACCTTGTTTAATATGTTTAACCTACAAGGACTAGAGAAAGTTGTTTGTTTCTTATGCATGTGATCAATTTGTATAATGTGTCTGTAATGCCCATAGAAATGCAGGGGGAACCAGTGGAGTTGGTCTGACAGAGCACAGTTAGTTATGTTTCCAAGCCTATCTGGAAGAAGACTAGGTGAAGCATAAGCTATTCTTTTTTTTTTAATTAATTTTTAGTTTTCAACATTCACTTCCATAAGCTTTTGAGTTTTAAATTTTTTCCCCCTCCCTGCACTCCCTCCCCCCAAGATGGCATGCAATATGATACAGGCTCTACATATACATTCTTATTAAACATATTTTCACGTTAGTGATGTTGTAAGGAAGAATTAGAACCAATAGGAGGAACCAATGAGAAAGATGAAACAAAACAAAACAGAAGGGAAAAAAAGAGCAAATAGTATGCTTCAATCTGCATTCAGACTACATAGTACTTTCTCTGGATGTGGATATCATTTCCCATCATAAGACTTTTGGAGATGTCTTAGATCCTTGCATTGCTGAGAAGTGCTAAGTCTATCAAAGTCAGTCATAACATAATGTGGCTGTTACTGTGTACAATGTTCTCCTGGTTCTGCAGCATAAGCTATTCTAATTGAGTAGAGTCTGCCAATGACAACTCAGAGCTATAATCTCTCTCTTTATAAGTTATACATTAATCTTAGTTCTACCTTGTGAACCCTTCTGTAAAAGCTAAAACCAATAGAGAACCCAGGCTCATGCTCAGATTCAGAAAAATAATGTCTAGAATGTCTTTTAATCTAAATTTGGAGTTAAAATTGATCAATGGGACAGAATAACTCTACGTTCATTTATTCGTTTAATATATGTTTGTGATGTCCAGTTGGAATGCCAGGGCCAGTACAGTAGTGAAAAACAGAATTTCAACCTTTTCCATAGCTTTAGTCCTTGAATAATTGTAATAGTAGAGTTCCCCTTCCTATAAACATAAACACTATATCCCAAACTAACAACAACCAAAAAAAAGTTTTACCTCCACTTGAATGTCCCAATCAATAGATGAATTGACAATGACATTGGGCAAATCTGGCCAGACCTTTAGAGGGAGAAAGAGGAAAGGAAAAAAAAAAGTTAAAAATAATACCTTAACATGGTATTTCCCAAGAAAGAATAAATCTTGGGTCTGGGAGCACATAACTAGCACATTTCATGAGAGTCTAAGAGAAAACAAAAGAAGACCCTGGAATCAGTCTTGCTAGAGGAAACTTCCTAGTGCCCTCCACACACAGAATCTCTGTTCATTGTCCTCTCCTCCTGGATTCTCTCTTCTCCTTTGCTTTTTCTGACTGTTCTATTCTGGTTCTCCTCTTCTGGATCATCATCAATGTCCTCTCCCCCTTATTGTGAGTGTCCCCCAAACCTCTGTACTGGGCCCTCTCCTTTTCTAACTTTGGACCTTCCCAGTATTATCATCAGTCCCATGGGCTCAATTTTCATCTCTACATAAATGACTTTTCTATGTAGATAGCCCTCATATCTCCCCTGAGCCTCAGTTCCATATTACCAATTACTTGCTGGCTATCTCCCACAGGCATCTCAAATTCCACATGCACAAAATGAAACTCATTAAGGAAAAGTCTCTAAACCCATTTCTCTTCCAAACTTCTCTATTTCTGTTGAAGAGAACAATATGTTATCAACCACACTGGTCTGAAACCTCAGAGTCAAAATCAATTCTTCCCTCTCCCTCCTCAACCCACTCCTATCTCCAATTTCACTGCCAAGTCTAACCCCACAATTTTGCTAGAATCCAGTCTCTTTTCTACATTCACATGGTTACTATTCTCATCCTGGCCACCATCACCATTACCTTCGATCTAGCCTATTGTGGCAGCTTCCTAGCCGGACTCTTAGCTTCTAGTTGCTCCCCTCTTCTATTCTACCCTGGTGTCTCTTGGATAAAAATGTAAGTTCCTTTTGGCTTTTAAAACCCTTGCGCTAGACTACCTTTCCAGGCTTACTGCAAATATTTCCACAATCTCCATTCTGGTAAAATTTACTTGCTATTCCTGAAATTTGGCATTCTCTCTTCTGAATCCATACATTTTTATAGGTTGCTTCCATGCCTAGAGAAAACTCTACCTCTAACTTTCTCACTCTACCTTTGAGAATTCTTAGCTCCTTCAAAGCTCAAGTCAAATGAAATCTCCTATAGGAAGCCTTTCCTGATTCCTTAACTGTTATTGCTTTCTTCTCCTTTCTAAAATATGTTTATGTTAATCTGTTTATATGTTTTATTCTCTACCCCACTCCCAATAGAATATGAGCTCTCTCAGGGCAAGGGATATTTTATTTTTGTCATTGTATTTCCAACATCTAGCACAATTACTTAGTTGGAGCTTAATCAGTGCTTGTTGGATTAGATTACATTTATCATAAAGACACTGACATTCCTTCATGTTTGTATCCATAGGATAGAATCAGAATGTCTACTCCCCAACTCTACCTTTCCCCAAACAATGTCACTGTCATCTGGCCATTTGATGAACACGTTATCCTGGAGTCCACGAGTGAATGGAGGATATGGCTGGGTCTCGTTGCCAGAAATGGCTGGGTCCTGGAATCAAAGAATAATAGTTACTTGGGGAAATGATAGTATCAGAGATAGAATCACTCATGGATAAGGATAACAGCAATCCCTCATAGAGGAAAAAAGAGTCACTAGCAACATCTGAGAGCCTCACACTGAACTTCAGAGCCGCTATGAATTCTGGGAAACATATTTCTCTTCTGTTAAGTTTCCTTAAGTATAACATAGTGATCAATACAACACACTACAATTCCCCTGACTTCCCCAAATGCAGCCACACACCAGAATAAGGATGACTCGCATCCCAGCCTCCTTCATGCGGCTGATCAGATTGGGAAAGTCAGCAAACTGGGGGCTGAGGGTAAAGTCCAACTGCCGCTCCATGTAATCAATGTCTGCATACTGCACATCCTGAAGGAAAAGAAAAGGAAGGAGGCTGAGTGTCACTTTAAAGACATGACATGCTTAACTCTCCATTAGACCAAGTGTATATTGCATATTCTCTTCCATGATGACTTCCACACTGGCATCCCCCAACATTCCTGCATTACCTCTTCCTACTACCAGTTGGCATGCATTCAGATTATTCAAAACAATGTTAATAAACTTCAAGCAAAAACAGTAAGTAAAGCAAATCTAGCAGAAAAATATCATAACATTCCAAAATGAAAAAGAAAGTTCTTTCAGTTGTCTATGCCATTATTCTACTAAGCAAATATTATATGTTTCTGTCCTCAATTAACAAAATGAAAAAGACAATAAAAGGAAAAGGAAGAGTCATACATAAGGGATCTGGGCCGCCACCATAGCATCATAAAGTTCAGCAATTTCAGCATCATTCTGGTATCCATAGCGACAAAGTTGGAACCCTAAGGCCCAGTAAGGTGTCATCACTGGCCTCCCAACCAACTGAAAAAGCAAAAACAGAAAATAGTTCAACAAAACAGTATTCCTTGGGGAGGAAAAATGTTTGGATCAAACAAAGAACACATGAAACCTTTTTCCATAGTCTTTTCTGGTGAGGAACCATACAACCCAGGACCTCTATAAGGCTACAGAACTATAGTTCTATAGAACTATAGGCAGGCAGTACTATGTAGATTTCTAGAAGAAATTCCTTCATTTGGGCATCCTTCTTAGGAACCCTGGAAATCTCTGCCATCTCTATACTTTCTAGTGCCTCAGGAGTATACATTCAAAGTCACTGTCATCTTGCAGAGGCAAGGAATTGCTTCTGAATTCACTTCATGGCCCTCTAACACTATGAGCCAATCTTCCAGAGAGACAAAGATGGTGGCCTCACCAGCAAGCTACATATATCATTGTGCCTTTCACAAGGCTAAGTTCATACTTGTTCAGTAAATTTACTTCATGGATTGCATGACTTCCTACCTCTGTGTACTGCTGAGTGACAAGCTCTGGGGTTGGCCCCAAAACCATGTAAAAGTCCAGAATACCCCCAGTGGTACGGTATGTCAGTGCAGGGCTGGGCTGGAAAGTCACATCTGGAAAGACACAGCATGTATTCAGACATACAGAATCAAAGATTACAAGGTTGAACAGAAATCCAGGTCACCTTGTCCAGGTCATATCTAAGCAAGAGTTCCCCATCAGCATCACATAAAGATGGTCATCCAAATTCCATTTTAATACTTACGATGATGGAGGCTTCACTAGAAGCCCATTCTCTCTTTTCACAATCTCAACAAAATTCGACAAAATTGACTTTTTTTTTCCTCATGTAAAGCTGAAACATGCCTCTCTCTAATGTTAGAAGAACTGGCAAACTTTCGAGATTCCAAATCTCCAGAAAGTTCTCCAAGCTAATATCTTTGCTTTGCATCAATGCTGCTCCTCCATTCCCTTTTAACTACTTACTTTAACTTTCAACATTACTCTACCTGTCACTGAGGCCTGAAAGCTAGCTTCAGGCTTGAAAATCACCTTTGAGTCCTGCCTAATGTCCAGTAACAAAATTTTTCTGATTTTATGTGTGACATCCTTTGTAACTTTTTTCCTTACCATCTTCCCTCCCTTCACAAGCCCTTATTACCTCTCTTATTACCTTGACTCCTATAATGTACTAACTGGTTAACTCCAGTTTCACCCACTTCCAACATATCCTACTTAGTGCTTCCAATTAATCTGGCTAATACACAGTTCTTAAAATGCTGCTACCCACTGCCTAACTAATAACATTCAAGCACCTCAGTCTGGCATTCAAAGCCCTTCACAATCTGGCTCTAGCATACCTTTCCAACCATACCTCATATTATTCTCCCTCATAAGCATTATAATCCACCCAAACTGGATTCTTCATCATTCTCTAAATATGTTTACTACTTTCCCACCTCCTTACCTTTGCTCATGTTATTTACTATTTCTGAAATGCCATCTCTACTACTCCCATTATCTTTTCCTTTTGAAGTACTCCCCACTCTTCAAAGATTTCAATTCTTTTATGAGTCCTTCCTTTATACTTCTCATCTCCTTACCCCATAAAGGTCAAAACTGATTTCTCCAAATTTTTATAGCACTTTGTTCACACTTCTTTTACACAGAATCATTTTTTGTTTTGTAATTGTTATGTACATATAAAACATATTTTATTATTTATATGTAAGTATATATGATCACATATATAATTATATCTAACAATTGTTTTATATATATGAGTATATAACAGGTATATAATTATTTATATAAACTTACACATCAAATTATATATATTATATATATATGTGTGTATATATATATATATATATGTATACACACGTGTATGTGTATGTATATAAAATCTCCCATACTAGAATGTAAGCAGTTTGAAAGAAGGGAATATATCTTTATCTTTGTTGTTGTTGTTGTCATTATTGAGTCATTTTCAGTCATATACAATTTTTTGTGACCCCCATGAGTTTTCTTAGCAAAATAATGGAGTGGTTTGCCATTTCCTTCTCCAGCTTATTTTATAGATGAAGAAACTGAGGCAAACGGTTAATTGACTTGCCCAGGGTCACACAGCTAGTAAATATCTGAGGCCAGATTTGAACTCAGGTCTTCTTGACTCCAGGCTTAGTGTTCTATCCACTGCACCACCTAGGTGTCTTTTTGTTTACATCTTCCTCAATATTGCACACAAAGGAAAAGCTCAAATAATGTTTTTCAAATTTAATGTAATTGGAAACCTGCTGGGACTCTTCCATTCAGAAGTTACCCAGAACTACACAGCCCAGAAAGGCCAGTGAGGAACTTCCCATCTTACCCATGGCATTGCTGTTGAGCAGGAGGACCCCATGGGCATTTCCATCCTCCTCCAGGCCCATGTAATAAGGGTGCACACCATAGGAATTCTTCTTGTACTAGGGCAACAGAAGAAGAAAAAAAAGATCTTTAGAGACATTTTTCCCCTACCAGATACCCACATGTAAATGGATCCCAATTTTAGATCCAGATTCCTCCATGAAAGTGGTTAAAGGTGTCAGCCCCAAAGGAGAAGGAAAGAATTGGCTTCCTCTGTGTCAGAGCAGAACTCAACAGATTTGGGTGAGTTTAGATAAATGAAGCCAAGAGAGAGCACATACGAACTCATATGGATAGACAGACTAAGAAATCTCAGAACTGTTACATTCTTACCCCTGGGGGCTGGTCTCGAGCAAACATTCCCCATGTGTGCCAGGTCATATTTCTTCGGAACGTCGTGTGCTCTGTTTCCCCAAAGCCATATATGTACTGGGATGGGAGGCGGTTAGAGATGCGTAGGAACATGTCATTAAAGGTGAAGCCAGGGATCTGAGAATTCCAACTGAAACATAAAAGTAGATATTTATTCTGGGGAAGATATTCTACCATCATCAAGTATTGTAAATTCCCTTCTTTAAAATAAAATTAATTTTTTAAAATAACAGGCAATTCTATAACTCGGATAGCAATATGTCACATAATCCATCACTCATTTTTCTCCTAACATCCTCAGCTCTGTGGGACTGCCTCAAAGCATGTTTCCAAGCATAAAATTTAAATGGTCTCATGAGAATAGATCCCTCTGAAAGAACTCACTGGCCTGTTCCACACCATGCCTTCTCTACTTGGACCATCCCTTCTAACTCCTCACCATAGGTAATCTGATATCTACACCAAAACCCCTCAGTTTTGATACATGGGCTACCACCTTATCTCTCTAAGACCACTCCATGTCATACTCAAGTACTCATAACCCCTTCCTTTTCTAGTACCCTTTTATACACTGTCTTGCCCTATTTAAGCTCCTTGAGGGTAAGAACTGTCTTGCTTATGTTTATAGCCCAGTACTTAGCACAATGCTTGACACATAATAAACACTTAATAAATGTTCACTCTATCTATCTATCTATGTTCTAGAACCTGAACCCAGACTGTCACTTTAGGATAGTGTCTTCATAATAACAATTAAATTTACATAAACCTCTCAACTTTATAAAGTGCTTTCCTTGAAACTATTTCATGGAGAAGATAATGCAAGGTTTATTATTCCCATTTTGTCAATGATGAAACAGAGCGTCAGAGAGGCTCCATGATTTTTCTGGGGTAGTAATGCTATATAGGCAATGTGTATAGGAACTAGCACTCAAGCTAATCTCAGTAAAAATTAATTTTTCAGGAATCGGAATCATTTAATTTAATAGCAAACTGGTTCTACTCACATTGCTGTGCCAGTGCTCCGACGCTGGATCTCAATCCCAAAAGGACTGCTCTTTATGAAAACATCATAAAGCCGATTCTCAGAGGTGCCAGAGGGAGAGCTAGGGACGTTGAGGGGCACTGGGACCTCGTACCTTTTGCTATTGGCATCATAGATCTAGAATGAGAAAACATATTCTAGATTGAAGAAAAGACTGTTGGTCAAAGTCATTGAATCTTAAAATCTGAGTCATGGACCTGGTTCACGAAACATGAAGAAGAAATTTACCTTAAACTGCAGCATATCATTCTTATGGTAGGTGACATCCAAATGGAGATGATTCACGGGGGTAGAGGGCAGGTTGGAAGAATAGACAGCTGAATCTAACAAGAGATCAGCAGTAATCCCCATTGGGTTGTACTGAATGTTACTGACAGAGTAGAAGAAATTGGTGACATAGCAGCTAGGAACTCCTGGAGAACTGGGCAACTGAAAAACAAGGCCAGGGTCAGATAAGGATGAATACTTGCACAGACTGAAATTTGGATGGTTATTTACTTCTCCATAATTATCATTTGGTAACAATGCAAATTTATGTCTTCCTGCAACAAAAAGATTTACTAAGATGCTCAAGGCCCCTAACCCAAATACATCCTAAACATAAACCCTGTTGATTCCTTCTTTTTGTGAGTCCCCATTAATGATTGGGGGCATGTGGTTGGTAAATCTAACCTTAGGATTATTGTAATCTTGTATCATCAAGGTTTTTTTGTCATTTATAATTATTATGCCTATTACCTCCCAGGTACAGCCACGAGCTGTGCAGTTTTCTTCAGAGACTGCCTGGTCCTCAGGGTAACAGTCTATTTTGTCTACATCCCTGAATTTGAAACTCCACTCCACAGTGTATTCTTCTCCCAAGGAAAGTTCAAGTCCTGAGATGATAGCAACCTATGGAGAAATCAGGAGAGTGACCAAGAATGTCACACTTAATAGCCAAAGCCATCGTCAAGGTTCTTTCCTCTTTAAATCATTTTCTGTCATGCGGTTCCCTTAAAAGCCCCTCAAAATTCAGGACAGATGTCATAGATGCCAGGACAAAGTCTAAAAATTCAGTTAATGCCTGATTGTGAAGACCTCATAGGAAGGACTGCACAGATGTCACTATCCCCTGAAGACACTGTAGCTATGTCTTCCTACAAATTCAGTTCAAAGCTTATAGCTATGAATTGGGTGAAAGGAAATAACTGGGGATTTATAAATGAGAAAAGGTATCTGTCATAAGCAGCATGTAGCATCTCTCAAGTGTAGCCTCCTTCTAGTCACATTCTGTAGACATTTTTCTCAGTTCTAAAACCTCATTGACCTCACTTCAATATTTGAAGCTAAACAATAAACAATAGGGACTGGAACTCAATGGGAAGAACTATTTTGGTTTTATCCTTCTTTAAATTCAATCTTCTCTCAATTTTTCAAATGCTACATTCTCTTGTCCTTCACCTATTTCTCTGACCATTCCTTCTGTTTCCTTCACTGTCTCTTTTCATCTTCTTATTCCTGTGGTTCAATCTTTTCCTGAAGGTTCAGTCTTTAGCTTTCTGTTTTTATGCCCTCAACACTGGAGAGTTAATATACTCTCACTTTTTCAACTGTTTCTACACTAATGATGTTCATATTTATACCTATAGTCCTGAGCTCTATCTCTTCTTCTAATTTATTTCAAATGTTTCCATACTGGTGATTTTCAAATATATACCTATAGTACTGAGCTATACCTCCTCTTTAATCTCATATTATCAACTTACTAAGAACATTTCTATGCCTCTACATTATCCTAAGGTTCAATGTATTAAAAACCTAATTTACCATGTTCTTCCAGAAGAAAGTATCTTCCCCAATTTCTCCATTACTCTAAATAGCATCACAACTCCCATGGTCCTCTCAGACTCAAAACTTCAGTGCCTTCCTTGATTCCTCACTTTTGTCTGCACTAATCAGTCTGCAACTGGTACTTCTTTCTCCACAATTTCTCCTGGAACTGTTCCTTACTCCCCATTCTCACTACCCTATTACAAATCCCATTTAATAATTGGTTACAATAACCTGACTCACCTTCTCCAGCTCCAGGTCTCTTCCCTCTTAACTCATCCTGTACTCTACTGCCAAATCAATATTCCTAAACTGCTGGTTTTTATCATACCACATTCTTGTTTGAGAACCTCTTATTGCTCCCATTGTCTTACTGAATCAATTCCAATCCCAGAATCTAATGTCTTTCACAACCTCCATGTAAGTAGTTTTATCTCTCATTTTACAAATGAGGAAATTGAAGATCAGAGAGTTTAAATGACTTGCCCAGTTATTTCACTTTACCTATTCAATCTTTTTTCCTGATCCTCTCCAAAAATGTGAAACAAAGGAAAAACAGTCTGGATTTGAAGTTAGTGGATCTGAGTTCAAATCCCGCTTACTACCTTTGTTGATTGTTTTGTTTTGTTTTGTTTTGCTAGGCAATGGGGTTAAGTGATTTGCCCAGGGTTACACAGCTGGTAAATGTCTAAGGCCAGATTTAGACTGAGGTCCTCCTGACTCCAGCGCCAATGCTCTATCTACTGTGCCACCTAGCTGCCCCCGCTTACTGCTTTGGCAAATCACTTTATGAGCTTCAGGTTCTTGACTTATAAAATGGTCGTTGGACTGATCTAAATGATCTAAAAATCTTAGCTACAAAGGTATCACCTTCTAATTTAGCGTTTAAAGTATTAAACGCTCTCTTCAGGTCTCTGCCAATACCTTTCATTTATGCTGCAGACCACATTCTGCCTAAACCTCTATTCTTGATCCCACAGTCACTCCCAAAACTGCACCGATTTGCATCTCCATCTTTGAGGATAGAGATGGGGAGGAGAAAGAGGGGACAAGGTTTAAGCTAACTGTGAATAGGCTATACGGGTTGAGAAAGGAGCTGGATCTGTGATTTCACTGGGATAGGGAACTTACAGACGAAAAACTTCCCAATGTAGTTTGACATTTCTCTACGATGTACAGTCTTAAAGAGCTGTGAACTAAACATCTTAGACTAATGCTCCTTCAAATTCCTTAATATCCCTGTCCTTTCCTGGTCCTAGTTACCTCTGTACTTTCTTTCTTTCTCATGAGCAAAGATACCCACTCCCCCAGTAGATCTCAAAGGTTCTGGTGCTTTAGGGGCCACACTGGCTTGACAAACTGAAGCATCACCAGTCTGAGCATATTTCAGGACCTGGGACCTCACATCAAAACACTGGTCCTTTACCTTTAGATCTTCAATGTAAGTGACATTAGGAGAAGATTCAATGAGAACATTATTCTTCTTCACATTGATGTTGGTAGGTTCCTCTGTCCCAAGGATTTTAATCTCCTTAAATGCTAAATTATTTGCATCAATGTAGGACTGATGCAAAACCTTCACATCCAAATGGTTCTAGAAAAGATCCAAAAAAGTGACCTTATTATACATACTGATCCTCAAGTATTTAAAATATTAAATGCCAGGATGGCTTTTCCTTGCTGCCACCCAAAATAAGTGTTGTCTCAAAGTATATTCAAGGAATATAAACTTTCTTAATATTATCCAGAGTGAAAATTTTATTTATTTATTTATTCATTCACCCATCCCATTCCATACCAATCCATTTATTCATCAGTCCTCTGCTTAAGTGTCTAATTTGCCTTTCCTTTTGCTAGGAGCCAAAGAAAACACAAAGATAAATAAGATAGGGACCTCATGCTCTGAAGAAGTTTACATTTAAGAGAGTATATCTGTTGTCAAAATTCATAATCTATTTTCTAATATTAAAATGATTTTTGGATCAAATATTCCTGAGGTCTATTAATTTCTTAAAATAATTTGATAACTGTATTTCAATATGATTGATTTCCTTTGTAATCCTATAAATTTTGTTATATGCATTTAAAATCATTACTCTGAGAAGTTCATAGACTTTACCAGACTGCAAAAAGAGACCATGGAACAAAAAAGGTTAAGAATCTCTGATTTAATAAAAGGTCAAAGGAATGAACAGGCAATTTTTCAAATGAAGAAATCAAAACTATCTACAGTCATATGTAGATATCTAGATCATTATTGATTAGAGAAAGGCAAATTAAAGCAACTTTGAGATATTATCTCACAGCTATCAGATTAGCTAAAATCACAGAAGGGGAAAATGACAAATGTTGAAGGGATATGGAAAAATTAGGATATTAGTATACTGTTGGTAGAACTGTGAACTGATCCAATAATTTTGGAGAGCAATCTGGAATTATACCCAAAGAGTTATAAAACTGTGTATACCCTTTGACCTAGCAATACCACTATTAGGCCTGGTTCCCAACTGATCAGGGAAAAAGGAAAAGAACCTCTATGTTCTAAAATATTTATAGCATCTCTCTTTGTGGTGGCAAAGAACTGGAAATTGAGGGGATGCCCATCAACTGGGGAACAGATAATCAAGCTGCAGCATACGGTTGTGATGGAATACTACTGTGCTGTAAGAAATTAAGAGCTGGTTGATTTTAGAAAAACATGGAAAGACTTGCATGAAATAATGAAAAGTGAAGAAAGCAAACCCAAGAGAATATTGTATACAGTAACAGCAATATTGTTCAAAGAATAATTGTGAAAAACAAGTTATTCTGAGTGCTATAAATACTCAAATCAACTATAAAGGAACTATGAAGAAAGATGCTATCCACCTCCAGAGAAAGAACTGGTAAACACTGATAAAGTACATATAGTATGGTTTTATATATATTTATAAATCTGCATCAAATGGTGGCCTTCTCTAGTATGGGATGGGGAGGGAGAGAGGAAGACATTTTGGAACTTGAATTGTAACCAAAAAAAAAAAAAATAAAAGGAGAAAAATTGTTAGGAAGAAAAAAAAGAATACCTGATCTATACTAACAGTCTCTTTCAGAATTACATATTATATGTATACATATTAATGTTGTTATGTATTAATAGTAATATATAATATTACATATCATAAGTTTGAGTATTGACCATCAACAAGTACACATTCAACAATAAGCACACAAAGACACATATGCACCTATGCACACATGCTCAGGTTCACACCCAGACCTAAACATACACACATATATAACCACAGTCATGGAGCTGTTTTTTAAAAGTCACTCACTTGGGTGAACAAAAACTCATGCAAGATGTAGGCACCGCTATCTACAGTACCTGAAAGGAAGATAAATAATAGTCAGACTCTGGACATAGTAGAAATTTTGAATTATAGATAGAGAATTATCCATTCATGATGACACCTAGAAGAACATAGATGGGATGAAAAATTCATTGTACTTAAAGCCCCAGGCCCCAGACACTATGCCACTGAGTCCAGGGCTTCAGGACTATGTTATTCTTTCCAAAGATCCCCTTCCCCTTTCACCTTCACCTTGAAAGGTTAAACATAAAAATTCCCTCTCAAGTGTCTCCCATGGAGATACCCCAAGAGTTTAATCTAGAATGAAAATATTGGGTGCATCAATCCCAACACTAGATGTGAATATTTAAAAAAAAAAAACAGCTCACGTGTGCGCTCACCACACAGATGTACTTTTACTGAATGACTGTGTTCACACTACCAGCAATATTTGGCTATGAACAAGTTTGGGCTCATCTTTCATGTTATTATTGTGGGTACTCCCTTCAATATGCATATTTCAATCCATCCATGTCTACCTATCCTTTGCAGCTCTTGTCTATATTCTCCTGTGAGTCTACCGCAGGAGGTCCACCCAACATACCAAGGACCTTTCTCATATTCTCTTGACAATTCTCTTTCACTCTATGACCAGCCATCTTTTTCTCTCTATCTTTTTATTTTTTTTACTAGTCAAGGACTTCTCTGCTAAGATGAAAAGAATTTCTAGGCGCTGTCTACAACTAATTTCAGTGGAAATTTTGCAGATATTTCCATAAATGGTCTGTGAATTATTGGATGAAAACTGATAGCAAGAGAATAGATGTTAAAGGGATTGAAGAGTTTCCCTTAACACCTACTGGGAAGTTTCTGCTGTCTTCTCCATTATTATATTTAAAAATCGAGGTAAACAGAAAGACAAGATTCTGAGAATGATCAATTTATGTTAGGCTGGCAATAAGTAATAAATGAATCAACAGCCTCGCTCAATGACCAAAAGACCACATGGTAGGGCTTACTAGCCTTCATATAGTTTAGGTAAATATAAGAGAACAAAGAGCACAGTTGGGTAGGTGGGGAAGACAACACAATTGCTTACAGGGTAGACAGCATCATGGGGGTAGGTACAACGTGACTGGTTACATCAAGGAAAGTGGGCTAGCACCCATGTGGGATTAGTGACCATTTCCCTTCGTCATTAAGAAATGCTTATTAATTTATGGGATCCATCTACATATTACAGACCTTGTTAATGGATATGAGTTAGCAGACTCCCTGGTGCCTAGAAAAGTTTGTTAGGGAGATAAGACCTTCCTTAAATTGTGCAAGGACAATGCAGGGACAATCTCTTAGAGTTAGCTTCAAGACTTAAAGATTATACCAGATGTCTTGTTATTTGCCCAACAGTTAATGGTATAGAAGAATGACAATCCTTTCTTTTTAATTACAGTGACTTATGGTCAGACTGACATTTGTACTCATTCAGAGGGGAAAGCTAAATTCCTGCACTTAACTAAAGGATATACATAGGGAACTTAAGCAGATACAGAATCTATTACAATATGAAATCAATACAATATAGAATCAATTACAAAGTAGAATTAATTTTAATTTCTCACCCTTTTCCCCTCAGGATCCCATTCTTACAACATAAACCATTCATCCTTAAACGGTGAACATTAACTTTCTTAAAGAACTAAATGCCTGGAAAAGATTCTCACTCCAGTTTAGCGACCATAGGAGACTAACGGAGTTCATAGAACAAGACTATAGGTTTGGAGTGACACATCCTAGCCTATGGCTCTGTCATAGTCCAGGGAAGTGCTTACCTTTAGTTTCTCCATCATCCCAAAAAAGTTCTCCTTAGCTTCCTTATTGTCATCAAGGGCAATGATAAGACCAAGAGGATTCTTTCGGCTGCAGAAAGGAAGATCGAGTTGAAGGACTCTAAAGATCTTGCATTAATAAAGATTGGCACATTATCTGAGAATAACGCCATCAGAAATTTTTCTCCATAAGTAAAAAAAGTTGTTAGCACCAAGCAATCTGTTTTCTGTTGTATGGTAGAAAGAGGGTTAGATTTGCAGTTGGAAGTACCGATTTCTAATTCTGCATCTGCCACTTGCTGTTTGACCTTAGACAAGTCCCTTAATCTCTCTGAGACTGTTCCTCAGCTGCAAAATGGGAATTATACTTGTACTACCTATCTTAAAGAGCTATGGGGAAAGTTCTCAGTAAATCTCAAAAGTTCTAGGTCTAGGAGGAATCTAGTCCAACATACTCATTTTATAGATGAGGAAACTGAGGCTCTAAAAGATTAAGTGATTTGCAAAGGTCACACAAGTAAACAGGAAAGATGGTATTTGAACCTAGATCTTCTTACTCCAAAATTAGTTTTCATACCAAGCTACCTCTTACAGCTATAGGATTATAAATTGTAACCCCTTTCCTTGACATAGAAAATAGCAAAAAGCCTCCCATTGCAATAAATCCAGGTACCCAAGTCATTGTCATGAACAAAAATTGAACATCAGCTAATAAAAAATTCATTAGATTTGAGTATGTATACACGTGTGGTTTATTTTGAAATAAGAAATCAAATTTAATTTTTCCTCTAGTTATATTTGTGATCTCTAAGTCATTTTTGTTATATTTAGGATTTCAAAGGGAATAGAAAAAGTTATCAGAGAGGAGATGGTCAAATATTTTCCTAATTTTGATAAAGGAGAAGAAGCTGTATTCTGGAAACTGTGGATCAGAAAAAATGATGCTCATTCCTGTCTATATTTCAAAACTAATTCTTTACATTAACTCCTAAGCCATCCATTTACTTCCCATGTCTTTTTAATTCTTCAAAGTCATGGCCATTAGTCAAAAAAGATGAAAATACCAACTGTACCACACCCCAAATCCTTCCATTTCTTATCCAAAAGAAAGTTTCTTGAAAGATATTCCAGAGTTCTGCTTTCTGTTTCATTTGTAACTACATGTCTCAGCAGAAATGGTATCAACTGTCTAGTGAAGGCTTTCATGGTCTCTTTGCTCTTAGATTCATGCCCAAGAAGAGAATCCATCAGTTTTGCTTTGTTAGGTTTATACGTCTCTTGTTCCTCCCAGTAGACCAATAATATTCTCTTTCTTTGTGGAAAAGTAATAGGATCTCTCTATCTCTTCCTTTAGGAAACAGTAATAGAATTTCTCCTTTTTCCCTGGACCATAAGAATAGTGCTGCTCCTTCAAAATGATGGGAATTGCCACTAAAATAACTTTATACTTGGTATATAGTTGGAAAGCAAAGTAATTCATAAAAAATCATTTTTTTTCCTCATTTTCAAGGATGGGGGAAAAAATGATACCTTGCTGAGGGTACATCATCTAACAGGAAAAAAAGGAACATTGGTTTCCATGGAGTAATACTGTCACCTTGAGGATTTTTAGGATATTGCCACTAAAGACTTTAAAAGTTTTATCTGATTGATTACTGTTTTTCTTCCTTTTGATCTATGCTGTATATCACTTCTAGATGAATCTTCTTTGAACATGACTATCAAGTCATACTTCACCACTCAAAAATTTTCAATGGCTCCCTGCTTCCTTCATGTTCAAGTCTAAATTTCATTTGCCATACTTGAAATTTCAAGGCCCTCTTTCCTCAAATTCCAAATTAGCTCTCCAACCTATCCCCAACACACCTCTATCACCTAGACTGGCTTAACTCTCCTACCAGGAATTAAATGTCCTAATTCACAGATCATTACACTATACAATAACATCTTCTATAGGAATTGTGGACAGCAAGATGGCACAGTGAATAGAGTGTCAGGCCTGTAGTCAGAAAGACTCCTCTTCCTGAGTTCAAATTTGGCCTCAGACTCTTACTAGCTGTGTAACTCCGGGAAAGTCATTTTTACCCTGTTTTCCTCAGCTTCCTCATCTGTAAAATGAGCTGGAGAAGGAAATGACAAACTACTCCAGTATTTTTGCCAACAAAACCCCAAAGGGGTCACAAAGAGTTGGACACAATCAAAAAATAACAACAAAAATAAGAGTTGTATTTAGTGATTAGGAAGCTCAAAGATAAGAAAAGAAAGTTCATAGGAGCATAGGATCATAGAACTCAATGTGTAAAGAATGATGAGTTAATTAAGATAGAAACTAGAACCATGGCTTTAGAGGTGGGGATTTTAGAGATCACCTTGTCAAATCCCATTCATCTTACAGAATAAGAAATTGAGGCTTATAGAGATTAACTGACTTGTACACAGTTAGTAAATGACTAACCCATGGGCAGATCCTTTGACCCCAAGTCAAGCATTCCTTCCACGTGCCACATACAGTGTCTGATAGAGAACTTCAAAAACATGCTATTGGGCGAAGTATCAAACCAATAATTTTCTCAGAAAGAACCAATATTGAATGTTAAGACTGAATGACAAATCTATTGATTAGTCCCTTCCCTCCACTCATTGGGATAAAGGAGCCACAATGCCTTTTTCAAGGAGATTTATACAACTATGCAGGGAAATGGCCAGCCAAGAACCAACCCGGGAAATGAGACTTAGCCTTCAGCATAGTACCTGGCTACTGTGGTGATGGCTGGCTGCTGTGTGGGGAAAATATAGCCCCCTCGAAGATGGAGCCCAATTTTGTCTGCTGGGAGTAACATCTCAATGTTTTGTTTTCTCCACGATGTTTGGCCACCCTAATTGGTCAGAAGCAAGAGTAGGTTGCATTAGGAATAGTCACCTGTCAGTTATCTGCTTTGTAAATTATCCATGCTACACTCCCTATCCTTCTTCCATTCAGCTGAGTCTCAGGCTTTGGCATAAAGACTGCAATGCCAGTATCACTTTGCTATCACGTTGGTATTGTGGGTTTATACTATATATATATATATATATATATATATATATATATATATATATATATATATATATACATATATATATATATGGTATAATATATAACATATATACATATACACATACACATATATATACATACACACACACACCCATATGCACATACACACACACACACACACACACATATATATCATAAGGTATTGTGGATTTATGGGGGACTAAAGGTATGAAACATTGTACAAATACACTGTCAAACTTGGTTGAAATTAAGTTTTGGGGAACTGCTCTTTTTCCTCTTATTTTTTATTAGGAAATGTAGATGACGTAGAAGCAAAAGACATAAGTTTTTCAAGATATTCCTCTTCTATTACTCTTAATTTCTTAGCTGAAGCTCAATTTAATCATCATGAGAAGAGCTTAAAGTGTATAGTCACTAGGTTATCACCATCACTGGATTGTCTGCTCTAAGATCAAAGTGATACCATGCTTCTTCTGTCTCCCCTCACATTCCCAGGCTTCACTATGGAATCTCAGTGCAAACACGGTAGTGTATATTGTTTGATATAATTTGGTCTGCTGGATTTTGTTGAACCATCCCCCCTCCTCTTATTTGGTGTCATAAAACAATGTCTTGCTAGGTAGGTGAGATACATAATCAAAAATAAAGGTGATATAAAACCAAAGGATTCATATTTTTTAAAAGAAAAAATAACACTAGGAGATATCTCAAGGGCAGAGTTGGCTAAATTTCTCTCACAGTTACATTCTCCTATCCCTACCCCTATCCCTACCCTATCTCCCAGGAAGCCCTCTTTAAGAAACTGTATTTACCAGGGAATCTGGATAATCAGCTCTACTTACAGTTTCATATTCATACCAGATAGCATCAGGCATATATGCTGTCACGTTCTCAGCTCCCTGAAAGGAAAGCAAAGCCAAGCATTACCTTTCATGTCCCTGAGATGAAAAGCCTTCCCTAACATACTTCCCAACCGCCCTCTCCCTTTCACCCCACCCCCTACTGAAGCAGGAATGTTCTCTCCACTCAGTAATCCAAAGCATCTGCATATAGATTCCCCTCTATATTAAAGGCAGTCTTCTGAAGGGTGAGTTTGAGAAAGTGGAAATCCCAAGCAAACTGAAGATTTGTCATCAGAATTTGGCTCAACAGACGTTTGTAAAACACTTAGCACAGTGCCTGGCACATAGTGGGTGCTTAATAAATGTATTGATTGATTGGTTCCCACAAGAGCAGGGGGAGGAGCTGAAGATAATACTGAGTCCCTATTAAAAAAACTTACCTCATCCAGAACAGGAGTGATGAGAAGTCCAGGCCCCCAAAGAAACTGTCTATATATATCCCAGGTATAACTGTCATTATAGAACCTAAAAACCAGAGACAGGAGGGGTAATTAATATCACTTGTTATTGCTAGTAGTTCTCAAGGATCTGAATTATTGCGTGGCATCACAAGGAAGAAAAATGGGACCAACTCTAAGCAAAACACCAAAGTATATCTTTGGTACCCATTACTACCCTTTTCAGAAGTCCTATGTGCTCTCACTTTCTCCCCCAGTGTCCATGCCCTACTGCAGTACCTATCTAGGGCTAGGTTTCCTAGGAAGCGCCCCTTATTCTAAGGATCTTTTTGTTAGCATCCCCCTACACCTCCAACTCACCTTCTTATCCCCAACAACCCATAAAAATTTTCAGCTGGCTGTTAGAGCAAGTAGATGTGGTTAAACTAATTCAAACACAAAAAAAGTCAATGACTTCAAGTGTATAATTGATATCATATTGCTTGACTTCTCAATGGGTAGAGGAGGGACTGGAAGAAGGGATTAAAAATAAAAATTAAATGAAGTAAAAAATGAAATAAAAATTTCCAAAAAAATTTAAATGAATGTTAAAAATAAATAAATTTTTAAAAAAATGTCAATGACTGAGTCACCTCTCCCAAAGATATTGAATTTTAATAAGGTAGATAAGATATGGTCCTATAGGTAGCAACACCTTAACTTAAAAGGAATAAATCTCTGGGGGTATAAAACAAGTTTCCAAATCAGACTGAAAAAGGAGAAATTTTCAAGGGGGCGGGGTGTCTTTCTTAGCATACTTTATGTTAAACTGTCTCCCCATGTGGGACCAGTGAACCCAGATAAAAAAGCACTGTTCATGCATTCTATTGGCAAAGTAGCCATGGAGTACATCTATACCATGGACAGTGTGATAATTTGCACTAAAGTGCCACCCTCCATTTACATGGAATGTTGTTGTTCAATTGTTTTCCACTATGTCCAATTCTGTGTAATTCCATTTGGGGTTTTCTTGGAAGAGATATTGGAGTGGTTTGCCATTTCCTTCTCCAGCTTATTTTACAGATGATTGAGGCAAACAGGGTAAAGTGACTTGCCTAGGGTCACGCAGTTACTAAGTGTCTGAGGCCAGATTTGAACTCAGGGAGATGAGTCTTCCTGACTCAGGATCTGTATTCTATCCACTGCCACACCTAGAGGCATTTCATGGAATATTATCAACACAACGCACACAAGTGTGCCCATGTCACTGACTTGCTCAAAAATCCTTCTTTGGCTATAGGAGAGAGTAGACTATCAATTCAGGCCCTACCAATTAAATAGTATGCCTATGTGTTAGTCCAGTTAGGAAATTCCTCTGAAATCCAATTTTAAAACCACTTAGTCAATGTAAAATTTGATGTATGTTTGAAAAAAAAAAAAAGCTATATACAGTATGCTCAATACTTCACATTTATCCTCTTTTATCTGTTTTCTATATCTAGAAATATAGTTTAATTTTGATGATGACTGCCAAGTTCATAATATTCTATCCATCTATTTTGTACAAGAAATCACTTGGTAATCTCAGGAATTGCTTTCAGTTTTTACCCAAACATCTGGTACCATGTAGAACTGGTCAGAGCTAACAAAGTTTTAATATATCAGAATTCAAAATGAAGATCAGGAAACTCACTCATGTAGAAGGGGCCGGGCTACAGTGTCCCCCCGAGTGTGAGCTCGGAAAAAGAGGGTATAGAGATAGGGCAGCAAAGTATAACGGATGTTCAGATAGTGTCTGGAGGTATTCAAAAGAAGAGAATCTTCTCCAAATGCAGCAGGATCCTGGTCCTAGGAGCAAAAGGAGCAATATCTGTCATTAGAGATCACAAAACATGAAAACGTTCAGTGTACCTTCCGTGTGAAATACCAGTGTTCCAAAACACTGGTCTTCAGCAAGCCTAGAACACAAGCGGAACCTACTGATATCATGACCAATTATACACCACAAAAAAAAAAAAGTCAAAAAAGTTAAGTAAATGGCTTTAGTTAAAAAGAAGTTATTCTCTTACACTGCTATTTTTCACACAAGACACTCCATCTCTGGATTGCAGGCATTTTCAGTGGCTGTCCCCCATGCCTAGAATACTCTCTCTCCCTCCTTATATCACCTTGGCTTCCTTCAAGTCCCAACCAAAATCTCATCTCATACAAGAAGCCTTTCCAGATTTCCCTTAATTCTAGTGCCTTCCCTCTATTGTTGTTCTTTTTTTAAATTTGTAATTTTTTTTTATTTTAAACAAATGCAAAATAAGGCAAGAAAAAAGAAAAAACATGAAAATTAAAATAATATAAAAATATAAAAGAAAAAAGGTACTGTTATGTACACAGCAGAACGTGACAGAGGATTCAAAATATACAGCAATAAATTGCCATTTCAAGAAAGCCTATATAATAAATACTATGCATTATTGTATTGGGAGCTCTCCCTCTTTGCTTTCTTTTAAGTTTTCTGTTGTTCTCTTCTGTGCACTTTTTACTTTGTTCTTTTTTCTCCCTTCCTCCTCCCACTCCGGAAGGCTACAATTAAGTGCAGAGATATATGTATGTATATATGCATGCATGCATGTATGTATATATTTACACACACATATATGCACATATACATATATACACACACAAAGACATACATATATGCATAAAATCACACATACATAATATATATAATCAATAATCATAGTCATATATAGACATACACATTCATACACATCTACATAAGGCTGTACTGTACTTATTTATCCTCTATTTCTCTAAGGATAGATAACCTCTTCCTTCATAAGTCCACGTCTTTCCATATTTTTCCAAGTACACCAACTCGTCATTTCCTACACCACAGCAAATATTCCCACCTTATACTGTCTAGTTGTTTTAAATAGTCCCAAGATCATGATTACCACCACAGCTCCTTTTTCCCTAACAAATTCTACTCCTGATCTTTATTTTATGTTTGTGCGTATCTCTTATTTCCTATCTCTCCTGACTCCTCTACTTTACTTCTACCCTCTATCTTGCCCTCCTATTACTTAACCTAACCCCCTCCAAAGATCTCTCCCTTATCCTCTCATTCTCATTAATCTAAACACCCTTCTATATACCTTTAACCTATTCCCTCACCCTTCCCTCTAAAGATTCCTCCCTTATCCTCTCTCACCTCTTATCCCCTTAGTATTTTATTTCTTTCTTAATTTAGAAAACTTCTACATTCTAGATACATATATATATATATATATATATATATATATATATATGTATTGTTCACTCTTGAACCATTCCCAATGAAAGTAGGTTTCTAGAACTAACAGCCCTCCTCCCCCATCTAATTCCTTTGTCAGTTCTTCCTCTCACACTTCATTTATATAAGATCTTTACTCTTTTTAGCTGTTCCTAGACCATATTACTTTTTTAGAATCACATAATACTAAGCCTTACCTGATTCTTTCTTATGAACTACCTCTATTATTGTTCTTCAGCTGTATCAGTCCCATCTGACTCTTTATGGCCCCATCTGGTGTTTTCTTGGCAAAGATATTGGAATGGTTTGCCATTTCCTTCTCCAGCTCATTTTACAGATGAGGAAACTGAGGCAAACAAGGTTAAGTGACTTGCTTAGGGTCACATGGCTAGTATCAAAGGTCAGATTTGAACTCAGATCTTCCTGACAATAGGTCCAGCACTCTATTTACTGTGCCATCCAGCTTCCCCCTTCCCTTTATTGGTTATCTCTAATTTATCCTGCACAGTTGTTTTCCTATTATCTCCCCCTCCTTAGACTTCAAGCTCCTTGATAGCAGGTACTGTTTTCTGCCTTTGTGTCCCCAGTGCCTGGCACATAGCAGGTGCTTAATAATATTTATTGCCCAATTTTCCCTCCTCCTCCATTGTCTCCTTTTTTGTTATGTTTTATTCTGTTTCTCCCTGTTTGAGTACATTGCCTTTTCACAGAATCCCAAAAACTTGTAGCTGGATGGCACCACGGAAATCATTATCAAGTCAAATCCTCTCATTTTACAGATTAGGAAACTGAGGCCTCTAGGGGTGAAGTGAGTTGCCCACCCTCTTCCTATCCTTGTGCCTTTGATCAAGAAGAAAACACCCATTGCTTCAAATTCTTCATCACCCATTCGCTTTTCAGCTTCCTGATATTTCATTTCTAGCTTCACTTCTCTTCCCAAACTATCCTCTCCAAAGGCTCCAAGGACCAAACCAATGACCTTTCTCAGTCTTCATTCTCTTGCAGCAATTGTCGTTGACGTATTAAAGCAGATGCTATGTTACAGGCAGCATTTCTGAATGAGGTAGGAGATACAGCTAAATGACCTTTACAGTACCAACTCTGAAATTCTATGGTTGAATTTCTTAATTCCATTAGAAATGGAATTAGAACAATGGCAATAAATAAAACTAGTAATAAAGCCAATTTATCCACTCATGAATTAGTAATAATATTTATGTACTTTAAGATTTTCAAAGTATTTTACAGATATTATCTGGGAAAATCACTTTGGTAGCTGTGTGGAGTTTGAAATGGAGGTGGTGGTGGTGGTGGTAAATTTGATGAAACGAGACCTTTTAGGACACTATTACAATAGTCCAGATCAGATCTGCTAGGAGCCTAAAGTAAGGTTGTGGTAACATGAGTACAGAAAAGATGGATATGAGAGATGATGTAGAGTTAGAAACGAAGATTTGCTTGGATATGTGGGGGTGAGTGAGTGAAGAATGGAGGATAACACTAAGGTCGTAAGCATGGGTGACTAGAAGGATGATAATGTCTTTGACAGAAATAGGGAAATTTGGAAGAAGAGGAAAGAAAATGGAATAAGCATTTCTATACCATCTACTATGTGTCAGGCACTAAGTACTTCACAAATATTATCTCATTTGAACCTCACATAACCCTGAGAGACAGGTGTTATCATTATCCCTGTTTTTCACTTGAGGAAAATGAGTCATACGTCTACAGATTAAGTGATTGCCCAGGGTCCCACAGATAGGAAGTATCTAACGCCAGATTTTAATTCAGGCCTTCCTGACTCCGGGTCCCGGGCTCTGTTGCCCGGACCTTGATTGGGATTACTCTAAGCCTGTCTATAGGGTCATTTTGTTTTTTAAGTTAGCCCAAATGTAACAGACCATAGAGGAGCTTCAGTGAACAAACACCATGGTGGGGAAATTAGACTTTCCTAATTCATCCCAAGTATCTCTTGAGAAGTTTACCTTGTAGCCTTGACCATTGTGATTCCTTGAAAATGGATAAAATGCCCCAAGCTGCATCCACCGCCTGCACAGTTCTTCTGAGACATCATTAGCATAACCACAGATGTCAGGGCCCACCTGGAATCATGACAAATTATGGACATAGGTCTTTTTTGGTGCATAAGTTTTTTGTTTTGTTTTAGATGGGTTTTTTTAGCATTCTCACCACACTTTTATCATCCTGTTACTGCCTAATGGTGATCCTTGTGATGTAAGCATATTTCACTCATAGCATTTCTTTCCTGACTCCCATTATGATATAAAGATGATATCTCACCACTTGAACTTTGCTAGACTCCTTCTAGAAAGCAACTCAGACTAGAAATAAAGAAAGATCCTGGCCAACATTTCTTCCCAGTAGAGAAACTTGGGGGTTTCTGGAGGGGATGCTCTCTATAGTCTATGCCTGGTAGAAAGGTGGAAGCGAGGGCTTACCATAGGGATACCAAACAGGTTGAATTCAAGCATGCCAGGTATAGACCAACGAAGGTCATTCCACGTAGCTGCGTTGTCCCCCAGCCAATGGGCTGCAAATTTGCCCGACCCAGCAAAGGTAGAACGTGTTACAATAAAGCTTCTTTTATTAGGGAAGATAGTTTTTACAGCCCTGCAAAGGAAAAATGAAGAGATAGGCAGTTGAATAGTTTTGCTCACCTTCAGGGATTCATCCTGATTTTATTAATTTCAATTAATTTCAAAAACAAAAACTCCACATGCCTACACAGACACAAGTATAAATTTTTGGTTTTGTCCAGGCATATGATTTCATTGTTTTAAAGAATCTTTGGTGAAGATACTTCCTCTACAAAGCAGATTGGCAATTGATCTATAACTTCTCATTTTAGACAGCTGTCTATAGCACCAAATGGTTAAGGGACTTGTTGTTAAGTCATTTTTCAGTTGTGTCCAAGTCTTTGTTGACCCCATTTAGCATTTTCTCAGCAAAGATACTGGAGTGCTTTTGCCATTTCCTTTTGTAGCTCATTTTATAGATGAGGAAACTGAGGCAAACAGGGTTCAGTGACTTGCCCAGGGTCACACAGCTGGTAAAGTGACTGAAGCCAGATTTGAACACAAGAAGATGGGTCTTCCTGACTCTAGGCCCAGCACACTGTGCACTATGGTGCCACCTAACTGCTCTTTTAAAGGACTTGCCCAGGGTCATATGAAAGGAAAGAAGGAACCAAACTACAGTCTCCAGAATCACATTGCTAATATCTCAGGTCACATTTGAACTGAGGTTTTCCTGACCCCAGACCCAGAATTCTATCTCCTGCGCCACCCAGATGCCTCACTTTTTAGCTGCAGGGCTAGCATGTGTCAAAATTCATTTTGACTCTGAAACCACCTTTGTAGCACTTATAATTTGCTGCCTCTCAGAGATAGAAACAGAAATACAGGTCAGAGTTCAGAGTTAGAGCCAGAAAAAAGAATCTTATATGGAATATTGTTTTAAAGAAACAGGCCACCAGCCAGGATCTAGAAATAATTTTGTCAAATAGGACTTTTGCTTGTAATGACATCAGCTATATGAACCACATAAGATATACTGTCTATGCTCCCATTGGTTTTATATAGACCCCAGACATAGTCCTTGAATTCCTGTGGCTTATGACCTTAGGAAACAGAAGAGATTTTTTTAATGACTAAATATTAAATACTCATTCTGAATGAATGAAACACTCCAGGAATTAGGAGAAAGAGTGTCTTCAACTGGGTCTTACCATCTATTCCCAAGATTCACACAGGGAAACAGAACATTGCTACTGATAACACTCACTTCTCTGATTCATTTCCATGTTGTTGGGAGTTTCAGGGAAAAGAAAAAGACAAATGTGAGGACCATTTTCTTTAGGCGAGGATTTCTTGCAATTGATTCATTTCCAAAGTCTGAAAATTTTTTCAGGGCGTTGAGCCTAAGCTAGTACCACAAAGACCTTGGACAAAGTGAACCAAAGTGTCCTTCTCTGAGTCCACAGTTCTATCTCATTGCCCACTTCAAAGACTTGATTAAAAAGTAAAACAAAATAAAAAGCCCTGCTTGACAATATTATTTCCAAATCCTGGCTGATTTCCTATCTCTTTAAAACACCATTCTGCCCAAGAATCTTGTCTTTTACCACTGGTTGCCATGGGATCTGACCTGTACAACAGTTATACCACTGAGACGCCAGAGACCAGAACTATGGATCTTGGCGGCCTTTTAAAATTCTGCCCCTTGATGATGCTCTTTCCCCTAGGTCTTTCTTGACTATTATATTTATTCAGACTGAATGTGTAAGCATTCAGAAAGTCACTGACAAGGTACTAGATCAAAGGTTATTTACAATTTAAATAATTCAATACCAAATGGGAAAATAATTTATCATAGAAGAGGAAATGATAAGAGAAAGAGATCAAAGATCAGTGATAAGGAGCAGTTTTTCCCCAGTAGAAATGTTTCTGTATCCTTAACCTTAGCTCCCTCTCTCTAACCATCCATGCCCTTCTTGATGCAAAACATTCCTCTGTTCCATAACAAATTATTTAAATTAATGAATACTCAGCATATACTAGGTTCTTAACATTTTTCCGTTCTTTCCAACAGCTCCTCTGCCCCTCAAACTGTATTGCTAAAAAAATGAAAGTCTTCTGCTCTCCATACACCCCAAGTCTCTGGTGCCACACACTACAGATGAGGGCACATTAGCAAACAACTGCAAGCTGAAACCACAGATGTTTTGATGAACACAATTTGGTGAATGCTGCTCTTACTCTTCTGTTGCAATTGCCATGGAGTAGCCATACAGGTTGTGGACATCATAGTGTTTGCCCCAGTGCTGAAGTGCATCCATGCAAAGGGTCTTGGCAGGCAGAAGTGGTCCAGTACTCCTAAGCAGGAAAGATGAAGCAATCAATGAAAGCCTACGTCTTTGTGACATTGGTCAGTTTCCAAACCATAATAAAAAATTCAAGTCCTCAGGAAAGTTTGTGCTATATAATTTTAAAAGAATTTTTGTATTTGTAGCAAAAATAGCACTGGGTTTAGAGTCATAAGAGGTAAGTTTCTCTGAGTCTCATCTTTGGTATTTAATGTCATAGATCATAGGATTACAGAGTTTAAAGTTGGAACAGACCCTAGAGACCAGCCAATCTAATCCACTAATTTACAGATGAAGAAAATGATGGGCCCAGGACACATAACTTGGGTAAATTACCTAATCTTTCTGATGCTCAGTATCTTTACCTGTAAACTAAGAGCACCTGCACTCCTCAGCCCACACAATGGTTGTAAGGATATAATGTACTGAATGTACACAATGTTCTTCATAAGCAACAAAGCAGCATAAAACTATGAATTGCTGTTAGTGTTATTATTATCATTATTCCCCCGATGTTAATTTTGCATATCTCTGCAGTAGTGGAGAGCTACACTGAGACATCCACACTCTCCCACATGGACTGCTTCTGTTTGTTGAATCAGGAGTCTAGGTTGGAGTTATAGTCTATGTTTGTGGGACTAAGCAAAACTGACTAGTCCCAGAAAGGAACCTATAATATGATCAAGTGGCTCAGTATGCAAAGTGCTCTGATTGGTGTCAGGAGGACCTGAGTTCAAATCCATCCTCAGGCATTTATTAACTGTATAACCCTAGACAAATCATTTATCCTCTGTCTGCCTCAGTTTCATCAACTGTAAGGTGAGTATCATAATAGCACCATTTCTCAGGGTTTCTGTGAGGATCAAATGAGATTACATTTGTAAAGTGCTGAGCACAGTAACAAATATTTAATAAATACTTGTTCCCTTCTTCCCCCTCCAACCCCTCCCCCCCAGCCCAGCTTTATCCTTATTACAACCATTCTCATATCAATGAGAGAAGTGCAGTTCAAGGCATCTAGATGTCTCAGTGGAAAAAGCATTGGACCTCGCATCAGGAAGATCTGAGTTTAGATCTGGTCTCATTCATTTACTAGCTGTGTGACCCTGGGCAAGTCATTTAACCTGTTTGCCTTAATCCACTGGAGAAAGAAATGGCAAACCACTCCAGCTTCTTAGCCAAGAATAAGTCAACATAACTGAATGACTGAACAACAACAGCACAGTCATGGTCAGATAAATAAAAACTCGGAAAAAGCTGAATTATCCATTCCATTGGTGATTTATAAGGCATCATACCTTCTCCAAATTATTATCTATCTGACTAGCACATATTATTAGAATTAGAGATGACTTTCTAGGCAAAGGAAACAAGAGGGGTATAGCAGGAAATGTAGGTGGGGTAAAAACAAAAGATAGCAATAAAATTTTATTCAAAAAACAAATCTATACCAGTCATTTGGCACTTTACATATGGTTCCCTGCACTGTAATTAGTCTTTTTATATCTGGGTTCTGGCTCCTATAAGAACAGTCACTATATCTTATACCTCTCTTTATGTTCCCAGAACTCACCATGACACCTCAAACATAAGTGCTCAATTCAGCACGCCTGGATGATCTTTTAATTGCTAAATTCAATGGCCTTTGCCCAGTATTCATCCTCCTTTGCCACAACAACTCTTCCTCACTGTTCTTATCATTTGTTAGTGAAGATGATAATAATAATAGTAATAACTAGCAAACTCGCTACTTGACACTACATTCTCCTAGGTCTTTTCTAGCTTCTCACTAACTGTTCATTTCTAGTATCTTCTCTGGTTCCATCTTCCCCATCCAGACTTCTAAATAGAGGCATTGATTAAAGTTCTACCCTTGACCCTCTTTTTTCCTCTCTATACTTCTTTTCCTCAGCAGCAGGAGTAGTAGAAAAGGTCCTTGGCCTAAGTCAGATCTGGGTTCAAGTCTTGGTTGAAATGCTCATTTACTGTGTAACTTTGGACAAACCACTTCACCAACTTGGACCTTTTCTTGTTTATAAAATAAGAAAGTCAGGGAAGCTAGGTGGCGCAGTGGATAGAGCACCAGCCCTGAAGTCAGGGGGACCTGAGTTTAAATCCGGCCTCAGACCAAACACTTGACATGTACTAGCTGTGTGACCCTGGGCAAGTCACTTAGCCCCAATTGCCTAAAAAAAAATTAAAATAAAATAAAATAAAATAAGAAAGTCCCTTCTAGGTTTATTATCACTTTCACAATTCAACTATCATCTCCATGTAGATAATGCCCAAGTCTATATCTCTACTAGTGACTTCTCTCCTGAGCTCCATTTCACATCTCCCACTGCTTGAAGAATAACTTCACCTGTAGGTTTGGCTATTACCTCAAATTCAATATATACAAAACTGAGATCACCTTATCCCCCAAGTCATATTCACCTTCTGGCTTCCCTGTTTCTCTTTAAGTACATCACAATCTCCCCTTTACTCATCTTTCTTGTTCTTCTCTATCCCCCTTATAATAATAACAATTAGTAGTAGTAGTAGTAGTAGTAGTAGTAGTTAGTAGTAGTAGTAGTAAAAGCAGCTAGTATTTATATAGCACTCTTAAGAGCTGCAAATTGCTTTGCAAGTATTATCTCATTTCATCCTCACAACAACCCTGAGAGGTAAATGTTTTTATTATCCCTATTTTACATAAGAGGCAACTGACGTATAAAGCCATTAACTGACTTGTCTAGGGTTACATAGCTAGTATAAGTCTGAGGCCAGATTTAAACTCAAGTCTTCCTAACTCCAGGTTGAGTGCTCTATCTGCCAATCAGTCATTAAATATTTATCTACTGATCTCTCTCCACTGATCTTCTATCCATTTCCTCCTTCCTATTGCTTCCACCCTAATCTAAGCCATCATTCCCTCTTGCCTAAATTATTGCCTATTTCCATCCTTTCCCCTTCAATCTGTCTTATACATCATGAACAAATTCATTTTCCTAAAAATTTATTTGAACATGTCATTGCCAGATACAACAAAAATCAATGACTCCCCATTGTCTGAAGAATACAACTCCAGATTGTTTATCCTGACATTCAAGGCCCTATCTAATCTTGCTCCAATAGTACTTAGTTTTCCTGATTAATTTCCCACAATTCTCCCGAATGACAGATTCACATGCAAGTGGCCTATCACCTCTTTTTGGCTAGAGAGCATGATATATTGGCAAGAGTATTTGGTTTAGACTCAAAACATCTGGAGTTAGTCTGAATGCCCATCACTCACTAACAGCTTTGGGTAAGTCACTTAACCTATCTCTTCCTCTGTTCCTTCATCTGTAAAATGGGCTCAAAAACACACTCCTACAACCTATCTCGGACAAAACTGCTTTATAAATTATAAAGTATTACCTATGTTAATGTTAGCTATGATAATAACAATGATTACAATCACATCATTAATTTACAATTTTTTAATTCTCTGGGTTAGGGCTGCCTGCACCTAGTAAAGGATGAAAACTAGCCCACATTCTCCTTTCTTTGTGCACATTTATGCCTGAATCCATTAAAAGAAGGGGTCCCCATCTGTCCTTTGTACAATTTGGAAGAACAAGCACATTTGGCTTGTTAACAGTCAACATCCCATCCAAAGGACCAGCCCTATGACTTACTAGGAGTAAATGGGGGATAGTTCAGGTTAGTATATAAGCATTCTGTAGGTGAATCATCATCAAAGTTGGAGGGTTCATTCATATCCTAGAGAGACAAAAAGGGAGAAATATAAAGCATAAGGTGTGACTAGTGAAATCTCTATTTTGTACTTATTTGCTTTTTTTTTTTTTTAGAAATCAGGGAAACTACCCAGTTAAATTGTACCCTTTAATTATGGCCTGTGGGTCTCATGGATCTAATATGAAACGGATTTCCAACTACCCTCTCTACCTATCTAGGTAATAGCTTGCTTTGTTCTTCTGAACACAACATCTGCTGTATTTTCCCTTAGTGCTGTTCAGTCATTTCAGTCATGTCTGACTCTTCATGACCCCTTTAAGGGTTTTCTTAACAAAGATACTGGAGTGGTTTCACCATTTCCTTCTCCAAATCATTTCATAGATGAGGAAACTGAGGAAAACAGGGGTAAGTGACTAACACAGCTAGTAAGTGTCTGAGGCTCCTCCCATTGGTGAGTTCTTGTCCATTTTGGGGAAAGGATCACAAACCAGCCTTTTCTTATTCTCCCTTAAGTATCTGCTCCCATGTTTTCCTCTACTCCCTGCTCTATACCTGACTTTTAGCTGGTCTTTTGTATACTGTTTTCCTCCATCAGAATATAAGGTTCTTAAGGGCAGAAACCATCTTCTTTTTTGCTTGTATTACCATCCCCACTGCCTAGCACACGGTAAGTGCATAATAAATGCTTCTTGAGTGACTGTTGCTCATATACAACATCCAATCTCCCATCTCCCATCTCTAATCTGTCCATTATGCCAGGAATGTACTCTCCTCTGCCTCTTAGAATACTTAGATTCCTTCAAAGCTCAATCTCAAATATTTCCTTCTATGTGAGGCTTTCCCTGATCTTCTCCACCATGTTCTAATACCTCCCCCCCTTAAATACTTTACATTTACTTAGTACATATTCTGTATGTATCTGCTTGTGCCCCCATTCTTTCACACAATAGAAAAACGAGCTTCTTGATTGCAGAAACTGGCTCATTTTTTGTCTTTGAACCTCCTACATCCAGTACAGTGGCACAGTGGATAGAGGGTCAGGAGTCAGGAAGACCTAAGTTCAAATACAGCGTTAGACCCTTCCTAGCTGTGTCACCCTGTTGGCCTCAGTTTCCTCATCTGTAAAATGAGCTGGAAAAGGAAATGGCAAACCACCCCAGTATCTTTGCCAAGAAAACCCCAAAAGAGGTCATAAAGAGCCAAACACTACTGAAAAACAACTAAACTTAAAAACTGTCTAGAACAAGGGGTCTAGCAACTCAGGGCTTAATAAAATACGTTCTGATTTTTGGTTCTCGGGGCTCTTTCAGTTCTGATTCCGCCTAAGCTATTTATCCAGACAACATTATTTGAATATTAAATTACTAAAAGATATGCAATCCACTCTTCTTCTCCACCTATCCTTTCCTCCTCTCTTCTCTACCATTTGAGATATAAGAATATAAAAGGGGAAAATATTTCAACATTCTTAATATTGGTTCCCCCAACAGCCCCCACCCTGATGACTCACAATCCAGATTCCATCAAACTTTATCTCCTCATAGAAAAGTCTGAATTCCTCTGCCCACCACTGGGCACACTTCGGGTTGGTATAGTCCGGAAAGACTGTTTGGCCTGGCCATACCTGCAGCAGAGAAAGGAATTCCAAGACAATGAATAAAAACATAGTGGAAAGAAACACAGCAGCACTCCAAAGAGGACTAGAGAAACTAAATGTTGATTATACTCTTGTCTGGGCACAAGGTCTCTTCAGGTTGGAGCACAAAGCATTCTACAGAACTTTTACAATATTATTTGGAAGTAGCTGAATAGCCCTACAAAACACATTTCATGGCAGAGGAAGGAAAGAGAGAAGTGGGTAGGTTTGCTGCACAAGTCAGACAAAGGAACTATTTCAGTATGTAACAGCTGAATTAAATCAAATTTCCTCATATTCCAACACAGATTGCATAAAAGGAGATGTTAAAAAAAGGCATAATACCTTCGAAGGCATGGATTATTTCATGTTCATGTTTTTATCTCTAACACCCAACACAATATTTGGCACATAGTAGGTACTCATTTGTTAAGTAATTAATTGATTGAGGACCACTAATAAGAATCATAAGACTCTCACCCAGAGATGCAGTACTAAGTTTTTCCAGTGTTCATTTAATAACTGATACTGATTCATTTAATGCATTAATACTAGAAAAACCATTTATTCATTCTTTGTTGTCTCCCTATTATGTCCCTTCCAGGAATAATAATAACAGCTAATAATTTACATAGTGCTTATGAGGTATCACACATTGTGCTAAGCACTTTACAATTACTATCTCATTTGATCGTCACAACAACCCTGGGAGGTAGATACTATCATTATTCCCATTTTACAGATAAGGAAACGAAAACGCAGGTTAAGTAACTTGCCCAGGGTCACACAGCTAGTAAGTAACAGGCTGAATCTGGACTCGCTTCTTCTTGACTGCAGGTCCAGCATGTTATCCATCGAGCCACCTAGCTGCCTCAAACCTCATAAAATGCTTCTAATTTTCCCAAACTCGCCCTCTCAGCAAAAGACTTAATCTCTTGCTTTCCAGACCTGGTTGAGTATGAACAACTGGTGTGACTGCCCCTTGTACCTTTTCAACTCAAAATATCATTCAATAAATATTCACTAAGTGCCTATGGGAGGGGGGAGAGAGAACAAGCATTTATTAAGCACCTGCTATGTGCCAGGCATTGTACTAAGTGCTTTTCAAATATTATCATATTTGATCCTTTCAACAACTCTGAGAGATAGGTGCTATTATTATCTACAATTTTACAATTGAGGAAACTGAGGCAGAGGTTAAATGACTTTCCCAAGGTCATATAGCTAGTAAGTATCTAAGGACAGATCTGAACTCAGGTCTTTCTGACTTCAGGCCCAGCATTATATCCACTGTACTATGTAGCTACCCCCAAGAGACACCATGCTAAGCACTATGTATACAAAAATGAAGGACATCACGGTCCCTGACCTCAAAGGGGATGGCCTATGCAAATGAACAATGGTGGAGGAATACAAGATGGAAACAAGAAAGAGTTCAATTTCTCAAGTATATTAAATGGAGTGGAGTGAAATTAGGTTAGAATGGAAAACCAGAGTCATGGTATGGATGGCTTTAAATACCAACCTATAGAGATATACTTTATCCTAAAGGCAACAGGAAAACTAGCTAATGTGTTTTGCCAGCAATGACATAATCAGGCTTCAACATTATGAAGACTACTTTGGCAGCTATGTGAAGGATGAATTGGAAAGCAAAGAGATTAAATTCACTATTCAATAAAAACTGCTCAGAAAACTGGAAAACAGTCTGGAAGAAATTAGGTTTCAACTAACATCTCATACTATGTACCAAGAAACTCCAGATGTAAATACCTAGATGTAAAAAGTCACATCCTGTACCAATTAGAGGAGCAAGGAAGACAATATCTTTAGAACAATGACCAAACAAGGGATAGAGAGGATCACAGAAGATGAAAGGAGCAATTTCATAAGAGCTTAGCATAGTGCCAGATACATAGTAGGCACTTAATAAACGCCTAATCTTATCTTCCTTTCTTTTGTTTACATACAATTAAAAAGCATTTTCTTCATCAATAACATCAATGCAATTTAAAATTAGAAGAGAGTTAAGTGGGAAGAAATCTATGCAGAAAATTTAAAGGTCTGATACCCAAGATATATAGAAAGTTGATTCAAATATATAACAAGAGCCATTCCCCAATAAGTAGTCAAAGGATAGCAATGAAAGTAAAACTCCGGGGCAGCTAGGTGGCACAGTGGATAGAGCACCGGCCTTGAAGTCAGGAGGACCTGCATTCAAATCCGGCCTCAGACAAATACTTGACACTTACTAGCTGTGTGACCCTGGGCAAGTCATTTAACCCCAACTGCCTAAAATAAAATTAAAAAAAAAAAAGAAAGTAAAAATCCAAGCTATCATTAGCCATATTAAAAAATGTTCCAATCACTAATAATAAGAAAAGTATATATTAAAGCAACTCTGGGGTCCTTATATTCATCATATGGGCAACAATCATTTAAAAAACAGGAAAATGACCACTGTTAGAGAGGCTTTAATAAGAAAAGTATATTAATAGTGGAGCTGTGAATTCCAGAATAACCATTCTGGGAAATAATTTGAAACTGTAACCAAAAAATCGCTAAAGGCTTTACCTCAAAGAAATCAAAGAAAGAAGAAAAGGATCTATATGTACAAAAATATGTACATAAACTCTATTTGTACTAGACAAGGAACAATAAATTGAAGGGATGTTCACCAATTGATGAATGACAACAAACTGTGATATATTAACATAATAGAATATTATTGCATCATAATAAATGATGAAAGGGACCATTTCAGAGAAACCCAGAACTAATAAGGATCGAAGTAAGCAGAACTAAGGAGAACAATTTATAACACAACAACATTTAAAGCAAAATAATTTTGAAAGACTTAAAACTCTGGCCAATGCAATAACCACTACTCTATAAGACTGAGGATGAAGCAAGGTATCCACTTCATGACATGAAGGTGAAGGAAGCAAATGCAGAAAGCAACATAAATTTTTAGACAGGGCCAACATAAAGAAAAGTTTTGTATAACTATGCTTATTTGTTAAAAAGGATTTTGTTTCTCTTTTTTTCAATAGGAGGAGGGGAAATTTGAGATGAAAAGCAGGACTAGAATAAATGTTGGCAAAAAAAAGAAAGAAAAAAGAGTTATTAAAACTTTTTTTTTAAGCATAGAAGAGAACAGAAGGAAATTCAAAAGGAAACACAGGATAGGTTTGAAAGTACCATGTTGAATTTGGCATATACCTTTTTAAAAAAGGGGGGTGGAAGCTGTATCAACTAGATATTCACAGATTCCTATACAATCATCCTTCTCCCCATTTTATTGTGTTCATGAAAATACTGGTGGGTGGGTGTGTGTGTGTGTGTGTGTGTGTGTGTGTGTGTGTGTTTATTAAGTGCAGAATGTTTAAAATTTTTAAAAAAAGAGAGACTGAAAGCAGATCAGTTAGGGGTCAGAAATTCATCACTTCAAAATTTCTGGGTAGTTTCATTCATTCTTCTATAAAGCAGAATTAATCAGAGGCAGCTAGATGGAGAGAGCAGCAGACCTGTAGTCAGGAAGATCTGAGTTCAAATCCATTCTCAGACTTTTTAACTGTGAAATACTGAGTTAAGACACTTAACCTCTGTCTGTCTCAGCTTCCTCATCTGTAAAATGGAGATAATAATAGGCTGTGCTTCCAGAAGCTGTTGTGGAAATCAAATAAGATTATATTTGTAAAGTGTTTTTAAAACCTTAAAGCACTACATAAAATGCTACTATTTTTATTATTATCTTGGAACACAGTGGAGACAGCTGTTGAGAGAAAGATTTTATAAGACTTTGAATGTCAAGTTAAGGAATCTGTACTTTATTCTGTAAGCAGTAGGGAACAGTATAAAGTTTTAGATAGGGAAGAGTGAAAAGAGGTATTGGGGTACAGGGGAAGGAGACGTGTACACAACTGTGTTCGAGGAAATTAATCTGGTCATATTGTATTGAATGGAGAAACTAGAGGGAGTAGGCCAATTAGACGATTGTAACAATCCAGGCATGAGGTGACGAGGACCTAAAATAGAGGATGATCATAGTGATGGAAAACAAGAATGTGAGAGACGTTTATTTTGATAATTTGAAAGATTTATTACTTCATCAGTGTTAACTACGTACTCCCTTCACTGATTCATGGTCAAACATGATCAAAAAAGTCAGCACTTGGTACTCAACTTCCTGATGATGAACCTTTCAGCAATTGACTAGGGTGGTGGGTGGTCTTTGGATGACAGATACACATCTGATCATCAAGGAAGTCAGTCAGTCAGTCAATATACATTTGTTAAGTGACTACTATTGCCAGGCCCTGTGCTACAGCCGGAAGAGTCAGTATAACTGATCAATTAGATATGGAGAAAGAAGAAGAAAAGGGAATCAAGGATGACTCCCTCCTCCACAAGAGCTATCTATGGAGCTTACTTGTTCCCACATCAGTGCCCACTTCTATCTCTGTACTTTTGCTCCTGCTATCTTCTCCATTTCCCAAAATTCTCTCCTTCCTCTCAGTTTATCTAAGTCCTACCCTGCCTTCCTTACCCAGATGCAGCCTTACTCTCTTGTCCTCAGTAATTACCTCTTCCTTTGAGATCTGCAGTACTGCTATATTTACCACTTATTTAGCCCTTGGCATATACAGCCTGGCATTTCCATTCATTTCTTCATAGGCAGATTTCAACTACCATTCAAAGCTGGAACTACCATTTTGTATTTCTACAGCTACAAAATATTGATACCACAAGTCTCTTGAATTTTTATCTTTATGGATCCAGCTCCTAGAATAGTACTTGATATTAAGCACTTAATAAATGCTTATTAATTGATTGATTGAAACCATAAATGAATTTCATGATTCTAAAATTAGGCATCCTTTTATTTTATCCAAGCAAAAGTTTATTCTCTTTATACATGCACCAGACCACAAGGCTCAGGAATTTGATGCTTCTTCAATCATAAGAGTCAGGGCTAACATTAGAGCTTTCCTTAGACTTCTTGGGCTGATAGGTAGTTTTCCTAGAAAGCCTTGGAGCTCATTAGAAGTCATCCATTCTAGTCAATTATAAGGAGCCAAACACACCCAATTTTATTTTTGCACTCTTACTGTAGTTCAGCCTGTGCAAATTAATACAAGGTCAGAGGCCCACAATCAGAATGATATCAGATTGAACATTTTCCTATAGAAAGAAAATATGGTCCACAGCTCTTGTATGATATTCAGCCTCATCAAGTGAATCATCCCTGAGACACAGGATCAAAGGGAAATCTATAAGCTAGTAAAACAATGTTATAGGGTAAAAAACATATTTCATAATCACCATGCTTCTTTAATGAATCTGTCATTTCATTAGGGTGTGTACTTCCTCCTTAGATGCAGAAAGCACCACCAATGAAACAAATAAAACCTAATTCTTATTGTATCTCTGAATACAATTGCATATGACACAGTATATCATATCTCTGTATAAGACTGGGATCTGGCAGCCTATACCTTTCTTAGGCTAGGCAAGGTAAATCAGGTTTTTATAATTTGTGGTTAAGTTTCAAGAATATAGGAACACACCTTGATTCTTGAAACAGCAAAACTGGTATTACAACCTACACTGTAACAGGATTCTACTCCATAACTAAGGGTCATAGAATTTGATAACTACAGGAATGGTGTCATTGCATTAGTCTGGCCCCAGTCCCTCAGACAATCTCTGGTTCTCTCCCATTGTTACCTTCCCAATGAATGGCGTCACTCCATCTGATGCATTGACCCATATATTCATGGCTGAGCCCCGGATATAAGGGCCGTAATTGGGAGAGTCAGTGGCAATGGCTGGATCCTATAAGAGAATAAGACATAGAGTAGAAAAACCATCCTTGAGCATCCTTGGGAAAAGAAAGAAGCTTACAGGCTGGGAGGGACAGGAGCAGCATACCACAATAATGACATATTTCTGTCCATGGTTGTGTAAATCTTCAGCAAACTCAGGTAAGTCCCTAAATAGTACTTTATCATAAGTGAAGTCCTTCTTCTCATCCATGTAGTCAATATCAGAGTACTGAACATCCTGTAAGAACAACAGAGAAAGCACTATTTGTGAAACACTGATAAAATCACATAGGCTTTACAAAAAAAAAAAAGCCAAAGCCCATCTGTTTGTAATCAATCCAAAATACCCTCTCCCCCATGATTATTCTACTCCCTTTCCCCTCTTTGGACTAATATTTTGTGTCTTTTTTTTTTTTTGCTTTCCAATGCTACCTTTGAGGTTTATTTCAACCTGATTTTACATATATAAAAGCCATGAGGAGAGCGCCACATAGTGAGATCAATTCCGAGCCACAAAGCTTTAGGTAACAATCCCCAAAGAAATAAAAAATTTTCTCTTCCAAGGAAGACCTTCAGTCTTTGTACTTTAGCTTTTCATGCAGTCCCTCAAACTCACAGCTTGCTGTCCAGTACAGCATACACACGTTGCCATACTTAAAACTTAATAAGTAACTAGGGCATGGAGAAATCTTGGGACAAAAATTTATATAAAAATTAGACAGCTAGGTGGTTTAGAAGGTAGACTATTTAACCTGAAATCAGGAAGACCTGAGCTCATTTCTGGCCTCAGACATTTACTAGATGTTTGACCTTGGGCAAATCACTTAACCTCTGCCTCAGTTTCCTCATCTATAAAATGAGGATAATAATGACACTTAGCTCCTAATGTTGCTTTGAGGATAAAATGAGATAGTATTTATAAAGTGCTTTGTAAATCTTAAAGTGTTATATAAATGTTAGCTATTATTAAATTAGATAAACAACAAGAACACTTCTCCTCCATACTCACTTTATCTTGACAAAGCTGAATGCATCAATCTGGCATACAGAGTTAGAGACCTCCATTTCTGATTCTTAGTTGTGACCCCACCCACTCCCCAAGCCTTGCTCTTCAGGTCCTTGATCACTAAGGATGCTGGATATTTTCAGTGTGGGTTCCCCAAATCTTAACCTCATATCATAAAACATATCATAGAACAAGTAGTGTTTGACATTCTGAATGGATATATTCCCTTGGTCTTCTACTCACAGAAATTTCTAAACTCATTTCCTTTTGTTCATTTTCATTGCAAAATTTTTGTTCTTATTTTTCAATTGTGTCTCACTCTTCATAACCCCATTGGGGGTTTTCTTCTCAAAGACACTGGAATGGTTTGCCATTTCCTTCTCTAGTTCATTTTACAGATGACAAACTGATGCAAGCAGGGTTAAGTGACTTCCGCAAAGTCACAGAGCTAGTAAGTGTCTGAGGCCAGATTTGAACTCAGGAAGATGAATCTTCCTGATTAGAGCCCTGGCACTCTATCCACTATGCTGCCTAGTTGTTCCCCATTGCAAAATACCTTGCATATAATAGGTGCTTGATAAATATTTGCTGTAAGAAAAGAATCCCTATCTTTGTCTACCTAGGTTCTTTTTTTACTTCTCTGCTTTTGTTTTTTAGACTTTCTGAACTTTATTTTTCTAAATAAATTTCTTCTCTTCACATCTGCCACTTCCAATCCATTACTCCTCAGTCACTGATAATAATAATAATATATTTTTAAAAGAACGTGCTTATATAATGCATCAAAGTGCTTTCCTCACAATAGCCCTGTAAGGTAGCTAATTCTGATTTTACATTTGAGGAAAGTGAAGAGACATTAAGTGACTTGTCCAATGTCACATGTAAGAACTGGACCTCTAACCCAAGTCCACCATATAACACTTGGCTCTTAGGCTTTGCAAGTCTGGTTACTATATATCAACTGCAAACCCTGTCCTTCAAATGGAAAATTGAACACAGTTTTAATCATGTCTAAACCTCAATTACATTTCAGTCACTCTCATCCCTGCTAGATGGCAATTTCTGTTATTTAACATTTTCTGCATTCTCAGCATGGTGTATCATCCCTTTGGTTGTTCAGTCATTCAGTCATGTTTGACACTTCATGACCTTGTGGACCTCTGTCCATGGGGTTTTCTTGGCAAAGGTACTGGAACAGTTTGCCATTTCCTTCTCCAGTGCATTATAGATCCATAGGTAAATAAGGTTAAGTGACTTGCCCAAGGTCACACACCTAGAAAGTTTCTAAGACTCAGGTCTTCCTGAATCTTAGCCTAGCACTCTATCCACTGTGCAACCTGGCTGTCCCTATCATCTCTAATGCCAGAGAAAGAACTCTGGGGAAAAAATTAAGAAACCTGGGTGCTATTCCGGATAACTAGCTGCTTAACTATGGACGAGTTACTTTAACCTTTCTGAGCCTCAATTCCTCATCTTTAAAATGAAAGGATTTGAGTAGATCTCTCAGGGGGCTTCCCACTCTAACATTCAAGAATTTTGAAATACACAATCAGCTATGTATTTGTGCTAAGACAGGAAACAATGAAGCAGATAATTAGACAGCTCAAAAGCAATGTATGTGTTGTTTTGGATCATAGTATATGTTTTCTTTTTCCCCCCTTGTTTTTCATATTTATATTCTTAATTTTCTTAAGCTAATTCTAAAATTACTGTATGCTCCTTAAACACACATCAATTGTTAGGCATCAGACAAGAGACAGTACTAGAGACATATTGGGGTTGCAAAGGATTAATAACCCAAGTTTAAAGACTGGTTATGGATAATGCACATATAGATAAGTGAGAATTGATTATATCAGTGTACAAACATACACTGATCATGCAGAATCACAGAAAGTTAAGAGTGAAAAGCGATCTTTGCAATTCCCCTAATCACAGGGAACTCCATTCAGTAGCTGAAGACGTGACTGTCCAAAGCAATTCAACTACTAAGCAGCAGAGCTCAGGCCTTCTTATTCTTAGGCCAAGCGCTTTCCACTCAACCATCCTACTAAGGTTCCTCTTAAATAATATATCTTTTATATAAGCTAATGACAATATAGATGATATTTATTAAATCTGACATCAAAAAGTAAATACAAGGTGAGTTTCAGATCAGCTATAAGTAGATATACAAATTTTGCTTTCAAATCCATTTTCATATTGGCTTATATTATTTTTCTTAAAACATATAGACTCCTCTATTCCAAGTCCAGGAGTTGAAAGAGAAGAATGAGTATTAAATCAAAGTAATTTTATTTTGGGCAACTAGGTGGCACAGTGGATAGCACACAGGCCAGAAGTCAGGAAGACTCATCTTCTTGAGTTCAAATCTGGCCTCAGACACTTACTAGCAGTGTGACCCTGGGCAAGTCACTTAACCCTGTTTGCCTCACTTTCCTCATGTGTAAAATGAGTTGGGGAAGGAAATGGCAAATACTCCAGTATCTTTGCCAAGAAAACCCCAAATGGGGTCATGAAGAGTTGGACTTGACTAAATAAAATAAAAATGTTATTTTCTCTTCCCATAGAAAAAGTGAACTAGCAAGCTGAGAGAGCCTAGTTGCTCTGACTCAGCCAGCAAGGTGATGCATAAAACAAGAGAGTAGGATTATATAGTCTTCCCTTTGTGGAACAGCAAATTTAGGAAGTAGAACAGAGAAACAGTACAGTCAGCTTTTTAGCATCTTCACCATTGTTGTGAACTCCCAGAACATCTGTGATAACCACATTCAAACACAGTTGTAAAAACACCTTCCAAAGCCTAATAGCCCCAAATTTTACATTATAATCGTTTTGAATTCCCAAAGGTACACTCGCTTCCAAGGTTAGATAAATGAGAATCCAGGCCTAATTCTATTTATTTCATCTGTGCTGGGGCTCACAGAACAACACCAAACATTCCTTCCTGCATTTCCCTCCATCTCCCAATGCATACAAGCTGAAACATTTCTATTTTTTGTCCAGTTTCTTGATTTTCATAGGACCCTGTATCTATGTGATTAGCATATTTACAAACCAGATGAAAACCAAAAGATCCACATAAAAACAACTTGATTTTTAAACTATTTATTTGACTTGTGAACTTTGAATAACTGTGTGGGGAAGCAATGCGGAAAAGACTAAGGATTTAAAATCAGAAGACATGTGATCAAATCCCAGCTCTGTCATTTACTGCCTATGTGACCTTGGGCAGGGTCTTTCAACTCCCTGGGCCTCAGTTATCTCATCTGTAAAATGAGAGAGTTGGAGCTGATGACCTCTAAGGTCCCTTCCAACTCTATTGTCCCATCATCTCTGTTCATTTGTCAAATGAACATAAACTCATTTTCATAGGAAATAATTGCACAAAGTCTGCTGAGAAAAGAATACTTGACACTCTACCTTCTTAGAGAAAGTTGATGGTTTAAATTAAATAATAAAAATTATATTCATTAATCTGACTATTAATTTTAAGAACGATAAGATTATGAAAAAATACGAGGGCACAGTACCCTGAAAATACAAAAACTATATTTCAAAATTCAGGATAATGGATTAATTATTCTAATTATCTATTGATATTAATTAAATTGATATCCATATAATTATCTATATTACTCAAGAAAAGAAAGACCAAATTCAGTTTGTTAAAAGGAAAAGTCCTCTTACACAAGGCAGCTGAGCAGCTCGGTTTCTCTCCACGACTTCCTTCATTCCATCCAAACCTCCATACACCCAACGACTGAGATGAAATCCAAGAGTCCAATACGATGGTAAGAATGGCCTTCCAATAAGCTAAAGGTGAGAATTAGACAAATGAGGCATAGTGAATATTCTGTAACTAATCTAATCAGAGTATACCCCCTCCATAACACTGTCTTGTGGAGTTTGCTAATTTCCAAAAGGGACCATCAGCTGCTTGAACACAAAGATCACATCTCTCTCTAGTCTCCTCACAGTACCTAGCATAGTGCTAAGTACACAGTAGACATTAAAAAATCAGAGTCAATTTACTTATTATAAACTAACCCTGTTAAACCAGCCTTTTACTCAATGGAGCACTTGGGAGAACATCATGATCTGGTCTATTTATCTCAATCTGTATAATTACCAAAGTAACTTTAAGAGTTTGGGGACTAGGGGAAGTTAGGTGGCACAGTGGATAGAGCCCCGGTGCTGAAGTCAGGAGGACCTGAGTTCAAATCCGGCCTCAGACCAAACACTTGACACTTACTAGCTGTGTGACCGTGGGCAAGTCACTTATTCCTAATTGCCTAAAAATAAAAAGTTTGGGGACTTCCCAACTCATATCACCCCCTCTCCTCTGCCATAAAAAAAAATTCCTTCACCTAATTTCTATATTTCTCATTTTTAAAATTGAAGTAAAATACAATATAGAAGGAACAGAAGGGAATGCATGGCAGGCTAACATAAAATAAAAATGTTTTCTTAATCCATTCTTTTTTTTTTTATCTGAATAGTGTCATTTATTGCTATCAATTTGGTGAAGGAATTAAATTACAGTCTATACCAATGAACACTCTGCTATAAAAACATATGTACACACACACACACACACACACACACACACACACAGAGTAACACATTCAGAATTAGCTCTCCCCCCACAAAAGTCTGGTTTATCCAATATAGCTAAGTCTCATGGCTTCTCATCTTCCTTTCTCCTATGCCCATTTTTTTTTCAATCAGTAGACCCTGCTCATCATCAGGTGAAATAAACAGGAAACTTAAGCCTCTATATTTTACTTCTTGCCATAATTCTGATAAAACATGCTATGACAAGAAACTAAAGCTATAGGACAGAATGAGAGGGTTGAGGTCTTGTGCTATGCCTCTCCCTGATGGACTGACTTTACCCGAATTTTTAGAATTTTAATCTTTCAAACATCCTAGGGAAAATTGGACTATAAAAAATACAGTATATAAATAGGCAAATGACCTTGGCTTTAAGGTTAACAATTAACTATAATGATGCTTCATTAAGTCTTTCTACAGGAATACTTTCCTTTATAGAACAAATATGTTTTTGTAAAGGTTGTCTCTAAAATGCAATTTCGTATATTAAATTCTATTTTCCTGTTCATTAGCATGGTACAAATGGAAATGGAAATGCATTTCTGGTTTCCACTTCTGGGAGCCAAGATGGCGGAGTGAAAAGGTAGTTGCTCTCACTCTCCCCTATCAACCTCTGAAAACCCAGAAAATATCACCCCAGAAAAAAAAACCCTGGAACACCTGAACTAGAAGAAAGACGAGGAGCAGCAGTGCAGCAGCCCAGCAAACGGGTCTCCCAGTGCCTCAGCAAAAATAAGGGAGGCAGAACTACAAGGGGCACCAGGCGGATAAGTACCCTGAGGCATTCATCTGAAAGGAGGTGAAGAAAACAACCTAAAGGCTTCCTAAAGCCCCAGCCTTGCTGATTCCAACCCAACACCAGGTGAGCTGTAGGAGCCCTGAAGCCTCCAATTGTGAAGAAATCCTGAAGCCCAGGTGGTAGAGCAGGCAAACACCAACACCTGGACCTCCGAGTGCCTCAGTGGGGGGGGAACAGTGGAAACCAGCTCAGAAAACCACCAGGAGCCTCATCCACGCAAAGGAATCTCCCAGTGCATTAGCAGAAACGAGGGAGACAACACTGGGGGCCCCAGGCAGATAAACACCCTGCAGCACCCATCTAAAAGGAGCTGAAGAAAGCTAAAGGAAAGGAAAAGCAGGCAACCTAGAATTGCCTGAAAGTTCCAGCCTTGCTGATTCCAGCCCAACACAAGGTAAGCTGCCAGAAACCTACAGCCTCCAATTCCCAGCATAAGAGGCCCCAGCACGCAAAGCCAGTGACCAAGACCTAGGCTCCCAACACAAGAAGCTTGGGTCAGTACCCTCTGTTCCCCAGCAGGAGAGCTCAATCTCTTTAAAGGCCAGGGAATAAAGAAACACCATGAGTAAAAAGAAACGTACCATAGATTCATATTATGAGAAGAGTGAAGATCAAGACAGAAATTCTGAAGAGGACAACATTGTCAACAAACCCACATCTGCAACAACAAAAGGGAATATGAACTGGTCTGAAGCCCAAAAAGCCTTCTTAGAAGAGCTCAAGAAGGATTTTAATAGTCAAATGAGAGAGGTAAAAGAGTCCTTCAAAAATACAATTGGCCATTGGAAAAAAAATACACTGAAGAAAACAAGTCCCTAAAAAACACAATTGGCCAATTGAAGAAGGAAGGACAAAAACTAACAGAAGAGTACACTGAAGAAAACAAGTCCCTAAAAAACACAATTGGCCAGTTGAAGAAGGAAGTACAAAATCTAACAGAAGAGTACTGAAGGAAACAAGTCCCTAAAAAATACAATTGGCCAGTTGAAGAAGGAAGTACAAAAACTAACAGAAGAAAACAATCTGTTAAAAACTAGAATTGGACAAATGGAAACTAATGTCTCTATGAGAGAGCAAGAATCAGTCAAACAGAAACAAAAAAATGAAAAAATAGATGAAAATGTAAAATACCTCATCAGTAAAACAACCGACCTGGAAAATCGACTCAGGAGAGACAATTTAAAAATTATTGGACTACCTGAAAATCATGATGAAAAAAAGAGCCTGGACAGTATCTTTCAGGAAATCATAAAGGAAAACTGCCCAGAAGTCCTAGAACCAGAAGGGAAAATAACCATAGAAAGAATCCACCGATCACCACCTGAAAGAGATCCCAAATTGACAACGCCAAGAAATATAATAGCAAAATTCCAAAATTACCAGATGAAAGAGAAGGTGCTGCAAGCAGCCAGAAAGAAAGAATTTAAATATCATGGAACCACAGTCAGGATTACACAGGACCTTGCAGCTTCTACATTAAAAGACCGCAGGGCATGGAACATGATATTCTGTAAGGCAAAGGAGCTTGGAATGCAGCCAAGGATCAATTACCCAGCAAAAATGAGCATCATTTTTCAAGGGAGGTGGATATTCAACGAAATAGGAGACTTCCAAACTTTCCTGATAAAAAGACCAGAGCTCAACAAAAAATTTGATCTTCAAGTACAGGACTCAAGAAGGACTTAAAAAGGTAAATGGGACAGAAGGATACAATATGTTGTTAATAAGGGGGGGGCTGTTTAAACCCCTACAAGGGAATATGAGACTTGCAACCCTTGAGAACTGTATTGTTATTACACCTTGTTAAAGGAGTATACATAAAGAGGGTGGATATTAGTTGACTTTGATGTAATGATAAAAAAAATCTAATCAAGTGGGTTAAATGGATCCAAATAAGTGGATCAATCTGATCTTAGAAAATGTACTGAGAAAGGAGGAGGCAGACAAGGGTAAATTACATTACAGGAAAAGACACAAAATCCTATTACAGCAGAGGGAGAAGGAGGGGGGGAGCATTGTTTGAACCTTACTCTCATCAGATTTGGCTCAAGAAGGGCATAATATAATCAGTTAGGTATAGAAATCTAACTTGCCCTATAGGCAGTAGGAGGGAAAAGGGGAAAGAAAAGGGAGGGGGAAAGAAGGGAGGGAAGCAGCAGTAAGACTAAAGGGGAAGAAAAGGGAAAGGGATAATAAAAGGGGGAAGGGACTGAAGGAGGCGGTGGTCAAAAGCAAAACACTAGTGAAGGGGAGAAAGGAAAAAGGAGAAAGAAAAGCATAAATGGGGGAAAAGGATGGAGAAAAAGACACAGATAGTAATCATAACTGTGAATGTGAATGGGATGAACTCTCCCATAAAATGGAAATGGATTGCAGAATGGATTAAAAACCATAATCCTACAATATGTTGTTTACAGGAAACACATTTGAAAAAGAGTGACACATACAGGGTAAAGGTAAAAGGCTGGAGCAGAATATATTATGTGTCAGCTGAAGTAAAAAAAGCAGGGGTAGCAATCCTGATCTCAGACAAAGCAAAAGCAAAAATAGATCTAATCAAAAGAGATAAGGAAGGAAACTACATCCTGCTAAAAGGCACCATAGACAATGAAGTAATATCATTACTAAATATATGCACCAAATGGTATAGCATCCAAATTCTTACAGGAGAAGTTCAGGGAGTTACAGGAAGAAATAGACAGCAAAACTATACTAGTGGGGGACCTGAACCTCCCCCTCTCGCACTAGATAAGTCTAACCACAAAATAAACAAGAAAGAAGTTAAGGAGGTGAATAGAACATTAGAAAAGTTAGGTATGATAGACCTCTGGAGAAAACTGAATGGGGATAGAAAGGAATATACTTTTTTCTCAGCAGTACATGGCACATACACAAAAATTGACCATGTACTAGGGCATAAAAACCTCACAATCCAATGCAGAAAGGCAGAAATATTAAATGCATCCTTTTCAGATCATGATGCAATAAAAATTATATGTAATAAAGGGCCATGGAAAGATAGACTAAAAAATAATTGGAAACTAAATAATCTAATCCTAAAAAATGATTGGGTCAAACAACAAATCATAGAAACAATCAATAATTTCATTCAAGAGAATGACAATAATGAGACAACATACCAAAACCTATGGGATGCAGCGAAAGCAGTTCTTAGGGGAAGTTTTATATCTCTAAATGCTTACATAAATAAAATAGAAAAAGAGGAGATTAATGAATTGGGCATACAACTAAAAAAACTAGAAAAAGAACAAATTAAAAATCCTCAACTAAACACCAAATTAGAAATATTGAAAACCAAAGGAAAAATTAATAAAATTGAAATTAAGAAAACTATTGAACTAATAAATAAAACTAAGAGCTGGTTTTATGAAAAAACAATAAAATAGATAAGCCTTTGGTTAATTTAATTAAAAAAAAGAAAGAAGAAAACCAAATTACTAGTATCAAGAATGAAAAGGGCGAAGTAAAACAATAATTAGGAATTAAATTAAAACAATAATTAGGAATTATTTTGCCCAACTATATGCCAACAAATTTGACAATCTTAGTGAAATGGATACATATTTACAAAAATATAAATTGCCCAGATTAACCAAGAGGAAGTAAAATACTTAAATAACCCCATCTCAGAAAAAGAAATTGAACAAGCCATTGATGAACTCCCTAGGAAAAAATCTCCAGGGCCAGATGGATTTACATGCGAATTCTATCAAACATTTAAAGAACAATTAATTCCAATACTATATAGACTATTTGGGAAAATAGGTGAAGAAGGAGTCTTACCAAATTCTTTTTATGATACAAATATGGTGTTGATACCTAAACCAGGAAGAGTCAAAATAGAGAAAGAAAATTATAGACCAATTTCTCTAATGAATATAGATGCAAAAATTTTAAACAAAATACTAGCAAGTAGATTGCAGCAACTTATCACAAGAATAATACACTATGACCAGGTAGGATTTATACCAGGAATGCAGGGTTGGTTCAATATTAGGAAAACTATCAGCATCATTGAGCATATCAACACAAAACCAACAGAAACCACATGATCATCTCAATAGATGCAGAAAAAGCTTTTGATAAAATACAACACCCATTCCTATTAAAAACACTAGAAAGCATAGGTATAAATGGAGTCTTCCTTAAAATAATAAATAGCATTATCTAAAACCTTCAGCAAGCATTATATGTAATGGGGACAGGCTAGAAGCATTTCCAATAAGATCGGGGGAAACAAGGATGTCCATTATCACCACTGTTATTCAATATTGTACTGGAAACCTTAGCTTTAGCAATAAGAGAAGAAAAAGAAATTGAAGGCATTAGAATAGGCAAAGAAGAAACAAAGCTATCACTCTTTGCAGATGACATGATGATATACTTAGAGAATCCTAGAGAATCAAGTAAAAAACTACTTGAAATAATAAACAACTTTAGCAAAGTTGCAGGCTATAAAATAAACCCACATAAATCATCAGCATTTCTATATATTACCAACAAAGCCCAACAGCAAGAGATAGAAAGAGAAATCCCATTTAAACTTACTGTAGACATTATAAAATATTTAGGAGTCTACCTCCCAAACAAACCCAGGAACTCTATGAACACAATTACAAAACACTTTTCACACAAATAAAATCAGATCTAAATAATTGGAAAAACATCAGTTGCTCATGGGTAGGCCGAGCCTAATATAATAAAAATGACAATCCTACCTAAGCTAATTTACTTATTCAGTGCCATACCAATCAAACTACCAAAAAATTATTTTATAGAGTTAGAAAAAATAATAACAAGATTCATTTGGAAAAACAAAAGGTCCAGAACATCAAAGGAACTAATGAAAAGAAATGCAGGGGAAGGTGGCATAGCAATTTCAGATCTTAAATTGTATTATAAAGCAGCAATCATCAAAACTGCTTGGTACTGGCTAAGAAATAGGGAGGTGGATCAGTGGAATAGGTTAAATATGCAAGACACAGTAGTCAATGACTATGATAAACCCAAAGACCCCAGGTGCTGGGATAAGAACCCACTCTTTGAAAAAAACTGCTGGGAAAACTGGAAAAGAGTATGGCAGAAACTAGGCATAGATCCAAATCTCACACCATATACCAAAATAAAGTCAAAATGGGTTCATGACTTAGATATAAAGGCTGATACCATAAGTAAACTGGGAGAACAAGGAATAGTTTACCTATCAGATCTATGGAGAACAGAAGAATTCATGACCAAACAGGAGATAGAGAACATTATGAAAAGCAAAATGGATAATTTTGATTACATTAAATTGAAAAGTTTTTACAAACAAAGCCAATGCAACTAAGATTAGAAGGAAGGTAGAAAATTGGGAAAGAATTTTTACAACCAGTCTCTCTGATAAAGGCCTCATTTCTAAAATATATAGAGAATTAAGACAAATTTATAAGAACACAAGCCATTCCCCAATTGATAAATGGTCAAAGGATATGAACAGACAGTTCTCAGATGAAGAAATTAAAGCCATCTATAGTCATATGAAAAAATGCTCTAAATCGTTATTGATTAGAGAAATGCAAATCAAAACAACTCTGAGGTACCACATCACACCTATCAGATTGGCCAACATGACAAAACAGGAAAATGATAAATGTTGGAGAAGATGTGGGAAAATTGGAACACTAATACATTGTTGGTGGAGTTGTGAAATGATCCAACCATTTTGGAGAACAATTTGGAACTATGCCCAAAGGGCTACAAAAATGTGCATACCCTTTGATCCAGCAATAGCACTTCTAGGGCTATATCCCAAAGAGATCAAACAAATGGGAAAAGGACCCACATGTACAAAAATATTCATAGCAGCTCTTTTTGTGGTGGCAAAGAATTGGAAACTGAGAGGATGCCCATCAATTGGGGAATGGCTGAGCAAGTTGTGGTATATGAATGTAATGGAATACTATTGTGCTATAAGAAATGATGAACAGGCTGACTTTAGAAAAACCTGGAAAGACTTATATGGTCTGATGCTAAGTGAAGTGAGCAGAACCAAGAGGACTTTGTACACAATAACAGCCACGTTATACAATGACTAAGATTGTTAAACTGAACCCTTCTCAGCATTACGAGGATCTAAGACATCTCCAGAGGCCTCAGGATGGAAAATGCTATCCACATCCAAAGAAAGAACTATGGAGGTTGAATCACTGTCACTTATTTTTGCCTTCTGTTGAGTTTTGTTTCATCTTTCTGATGGTTCCTCCTATTGGTTTTAACTTTTATTTACAACTTCACTAATGTGAAAATATGTTTAATGGGTATGTAAATGTAAAACCTATATTAGATTGTGCGCCGTCTTGGGGAGGGTGGGGGGAGGAAGGGGGAAAAATTTTCAACTCAAAAGCATATGGAAGTGATTGTTGATCAATCAAAATAAATTAATAAAAAAAAGGGAAAAAAAAAGAAATGCATTTCTCTTATTTTAAAGAAAAGTTAGCCACAAGAAATAATGTTTCATTTAAAAATTCAGCAGAACCTGAAAATGCCATATTGAAAAGGGGAACATATATATATATATATATTACAGTCGGCACCACAGCTTAAAGATTTTTTAAAATTATAATACCAACTTCATTGGATACAAACTTAAACTGAAAAATCTCATCTGTTTCTAACAAATTTCTTCTGATGATACCCCTGATGACAAAAACATTCAGCCTTTTGTGCTGTATATAACTTGTTTCCTTGCACTTGGTGGAAATTGTTGCCTTCCCAATATGGAAGGAGTAGTTTCAAAGAGAGAAATAGAAAAACACAAAATCTTCAGAGGTTCAAAATACAACAAGAGAAAACAAAGAAAGGAGCACATTTCCTGAAGGAAATAGATAGAAGAGTCAGCAAAATTTGTATAGGCAACCTCCAGCTAATAATAACAAATGACAGCAATAATTCATGTCTGTTGTGCTTTACAGAGCACTTTCCAAACAATAACTTTGTGAAGTAAGTAATACAAATGTTATTTTTCCTCTTTTATAAATAAGGAAAATGAAGATCAGGGTAAGAAAAAAATGATTAGACCAAGGTCACCCAGCTGGCAAATGTCAGAGCTAGAACTCAACCTCCGGTCTTATGAGTCAAAATCCAGTTTTCTTTCCAACAAATCACATCAAGTGATGAATTCTGTAATAGCAAATTTCCATATACTACATGTCTGAATGATATTTACTAAACATATGTTATTATATTACTGAAGTAACCAGCCACTGTGATTATATTCTGACATTGCTACTTATTGCACATGACCTCTGGAAAAATCATTTCATGTCTCCCAATCTCACTTTCCTCTTCTCTGAGGTGAATGGTTTGAGTTCAGTTATGTCTAAGGCCTCTTCTAGCTTTCAATCCAATTAAGCCTATTTTAACATACCTCAAGGTATTCCCGAACAACCTCTTCTGGAGTGTTCCCTAAGAAGACATAAAAGTCCAGAATACCCCCAGTGACTCGGTAAGTGATTGCTGGGGCAGGTTGAAGGGCAACCTCTAGAAGGAATTAGAATGAAGAAAGTAAAAATTACAACTGTGCAAATAATGGAAAAATTAGTGATGTCATACATATGTTTGTGCCAGGAAATAATTGAAATATCTCACCCTTAGTAACGCTGTCCTCCTATCTTTGGTTTTGGATACAAATGAATAAATGAAAATGTTTATGACTAGTAAGGCACCAGATACCTCAGCACATGGTGTCAGTACAGATATATCAGTAATTGATAATCAGTGTCATGCATCATCAGTTTCAGAGGCAATGACCAAGACCCTTGGAGAAGAAAGTCCTTCAGAATGAGAAATTAATTAAGAAGTCTGCATGGGAGTGCATACTTCCTCCTAAGGCAATACTCATTTCTCCTACATGCCAACCTGCAAGTTCCCACCAGCACAGTGAACCTCTCTTGGGCTTTCTCACCCAAACTCTACAGGGTTAAACACTAGAATCTCTGGGGAACTAAGTCTCCTCTCCTGGCAAGCCAAACATCCCCTACCAAATAAACAGGTGGATAGATAGATAGATAGATAGATAGATAGATAGATAGATAGATGAAAAGATAGGTAGATATATGAAAAATGAATAAATAAATAAAACAAGGAATTAAAGAATGAATGGATAGATAAATGAAAAAATAAATCAGTAAATGAATGAAGGAATGAATTGATGAATAAATTAATGAATGGAGGGTGAAGGGGGGAGAGAGAGAGAGGGAGAGAGAGAAAGATATTCCCCAGATACAATCACTGCTCATTATGACTTTGTTTAATCCAACCAAACTCTCTGAGAGAATATGGCCCTGATGTTAGATATGGAGGATGAAAGCTCAGACACTAATTTAGATGATTTCCTGTTATAATGAAAAAGGGACAATTTTAACTGGCCAGCATCCCTTTAAAATAAGCATATACTATGGTGGGGGCCAGGTGGAGTGAAGTCAAATTTTACATTTATTGACTAGGGATAAAAGACTTCCTTCAAGCTTCCTTGAAGCAAAAATTCAAATGGTTCCAGGAGCCCTCTGATTAATTGACTCAGCTTCTTACCTAGTCCCTTTTTACTAGCTGGAACTCTCATGACCTTAGACCAATTGATAGTGATCTCTGCCTGGTCTCTTATTGCTACTACTGACCCTACTGACTTTAACACAGCTCATACTGATCTATTATGCAAATCTAAACTTGCCTGGCAATTTAGATCTCTTACTGCACCACCACAGAAGAACAGTACAGAAACACAAGGATGGTATGTTTCATGGAGTCTATCTCTGTGGATTTTTAAAGAAAAAGACAGCTGTATGAGTGGATGATGGAAAACTTTAAGGGTACTTGTGTTTGAACGATTTCTCTGTGTGAAATCCTGGGAACTCTTGATCAGACAAAGGCCTTACCTCACCAAAGCTATAGTTTGTCATCAGATTATCACACAACTGACTCAACGTCCCTGGGTATTTGAAGTCTATGCTTCAGGGATTCTTAAAGGGAAACATCCCCTTTAACTCACTGTGGGAATGAAAAGACTTAAACTATTCCCCATTGAAGAATATCCAGTTCTTTACCCATGGCATTGCTGTTCATCAGAAAAACTCCAAAGGATAGTCCACTTGTATTTTCAAGGCACAAGAAAAATGTCTGAGCTCCATACAAGTTAGTCATGCCCTGGGGAAAAAAATACAAAACAGCAAAAAAGTTAAAATGCACCAGACTGTATACTAGGAAGAGTGAAAGTGTCTGCCTTAATCTGTCTTGGACATTTGCATGACAAACACAGCTGCCTGATGGATGAGCTAAAGCCAAAGGAAACTCCAAATGGATTCAATAAATGTTTAGGGTCAAAATTAAGGTTTCATTTATATGAGAAAGAAGCAGCATGGTAAAGTTGATGGCAAGTTGGCCTTGGAATCAGAAAGAGGCAGGTTCAAGTCCTACCCCTGAAATATAATAACAACAATAACAACAATAATAACAACAACATTTATATCATATTTTAAGGTTTACAAAGTGCTTTACAAGTTATCTCATTTGAACTCCACAAAAACCCTGGAATGCAAGTGCTGTCATTATCCCCATTTTACTGTTGAGAAAACTGAGGCTCAGGGAGGATAAATGACTAGCCCAAGGTCACACAGCTCATAAGTATGTGAAGCAGAATTCATCTCATTGATCTTCCTGATAAGCTGTGCCAGCTATTTACCTCTACAAATGAACAAACGTTTCATTTAAAACTCAGCAGACTCAGAAGATGCCATGTTGGAAAGGAATATGTGTATATACACACACATACACACACACACATATACATTTATACATATATACACATATATGTATATATACATGCACATATATGTATATACACATACATATATTATACATGTATGCATAATATATCTGTATGTGTGTATATGCATAATATATCTGTATGTGTGTGTTTGTGTGTATATATAGTATATATTATACACATACACACACACACAGTTGGCACCACTGCTGACTTTAAGCAAGCCACCCCACTTCTCAGTAGCCCACGCAAATCTCTAAGACTACATTTTCTAATAAATTCTGTTGATCTGTATCAGTAGAAGGAGTTTCCTTTACTGATGAAATACCAAGTGAAGGCCAAAAGAAAAAAAAATAAAATGTGTCATCCCAATAATTTTGAATTTTCATTTAGGAATGAGCCAACTATAACAATAATGAGAAGCAGTGTGGCATAATGGCTAGAGAGCTGACCTCAAAGCCAGGAAGAGCAGGGTTCATGTCTCTCTTTTGACATACATTTGACTGTGTGACCCTGGGCAAGTCATTAACTTTATTGAGCTCTAGACAACTCCTGATGCTTATCAGTTGCAGAAGTACCAATTGGCACTGATAAAGTGAGCTTCCATATCTAGGAATTATTTATACAAATGAAATCCAGTCCCTACCCTACCTGTTGGGATATACTTCACCTCACTCTAGAGGTGCTAACTGGCTCTACTAACTCACTACATCTTCAAGATGGTTCATATAATTCTGAACACCTTTCTTACTGAAGAAGACAATTCCTATACTTAATTACTCATTCCCCATTAAAATGACAGGTTCCAGTTCTCATGGTTGATTATACCAAATCTAAGACCTCAAAACACACACACACACACACACACACACACACACACACACACACTGAAGGATTCTTTCACCATGCCAAACAATACAGGGCATGTGGGAGATAGCCTTTGGCTCATAGGGGTGGGTTTCCTCGCTGTTTTTCGAACTAAACATTGTCTTCAGTTCCTGGTGAGGTCAAACACAAGATTAACTAATGAACTCCCTGTTTATATACCACTAGTCTTAGAAATTAAGAGGAGCAGAGAGAAATAGACAAAGCCAGTGTTCATAAGGGAATGCATTGTAGTCACAGGACAAGTTTATGTCCCTCATTTATTTACTAATTATGTGACCCTGGGCAAGTCCTTTAATCTCTTGGTGTCTCAGTTTCCTCATTTGTAAAATGGGGATAATAATATCACCTCCCTCCCGGGGTTGTTACGAAGATAATATATTTCTAAAGTGCTTTGTAAACCTTAAGTATTATATAAATGTTAGTTATTATTCTTATAAATCTAGACATTCTAGGGACTAGTCTGTATAAGTTCTGCTATATTTTTACTATCTTCCATCCTTACATCTCAGAGGAAATATATTTTTGCAACCAATGTTTGGGCTAGTAGCCTTTTAACTGACAGAATGAGTGAGTGGTAATCTTATATATTATAAGTAATACAATATATGTAACTGCCACATTTTGAATAGTCCAACATTCCAAATATGTTAATCCCATTTCACTCAAAATTGATAAAGGCAAAGGAAAAACAAGGTAAACGCTAAAGGCTGATTTGGGGGTTTGGTGGGGTGGGGCTAACAACTCGTCCAAGATATGCTAGAAAGGAGCCTTATTCACTTATAAGTTAGACAAGACGAATTCTGGACAAAGAGGAAGATTTTCTGAAGTCTTACATCATTAGGAGTATTGTCCCGAGAAAAGATGGGCCAGGTCTTCCAGTTCATATCATGGCGGTACTGCTGGTGCACGTGCTCCCCTAGGCCATATACATTATCACTAGGTAGCTGGATGGAGAGCTGTAGGTATTGCTGAGCAAACTGGAGGGGCCCAATACCAGTGTCAAATCTGGACGCAAATGAAGAAGAGAGAAAAAGAGATTATACTGGACCAAATAACAAACAGTTATTAACTGCCTAATAGATCTGAGGGTGATATAGAGAGATAAGGGGCAAAGGCCATTGCTGCATGAGGAAACTTTTATATATATCTCAGTGACTAAAGAGTCCCTATTTTGTCCTCTTTGCCAAGCTAACTTATTGCTCCTCTAGGCAATTAATTCCCAGGACATGGACATTGTTCTTCTCCATCTACCCATGGTCCTTCAGTCCCATTCAATCATTATCATATTCTAAATGTATAGCTGTTTCATCCCCGAAAATTGCTTCCTGTCTCTGCTCACTCCAAACAAGAATTAACATTTTTTTCCCTAAACATCATTCAGACTGGTTAGCCCCTGATTAAGAAGACACAGTGGCTCCCCATTCCCTACCATTTAAAATTCTTATTTCTTACCCTAGCCTTCAAGTTCTCTCCAATAATTCTCTTCCTCATTCTCCAGTCACTATCTCACCAACCATATTTCTCATTCCTCTCTGATCATCCATTCTTTAGGAATACAATACTTGGTTTCCACTTACATTTGAATCTTTTCTTAAAATTTATTTTATTGATTATAATTTTATTGCTTGGGATCAGTAAGAAATGCACTTAATATTTCTGCCTTTCTGCAAGGGCAATTTTCACAGAAGTGCCATACCAGGATGAAAATGTGTATACTCCTCACAATTCCCATTTAGTAATCTCCATAGGTCTAGCATACATAATTTTTCTAATATTCTATTCAGATCTTTAATTATTTTTATACATGTGTCTAGGTCTGAAGGGAGCATATTGAAATCTCTCATTACTCTCCACTTAGCTCCTCTATTCTTGAAAAGCCAATCTCTTTACCCATTTCTCCCTCCCCATTCCCACCTTCATGCCCTTGCTTTTTTCTTTGCCTAAAATGTGCTAATCCTCTTTGCCCTACAAAAATCCATATTTTCCCCTTCTTTCAAATCCCAGCTAATCAGGAAGTTCTTTCTGAAAGGATGGGACCTATTTCCCTTTCTTTCTATCCAGAGCTTTCTGAAAATACAAATTATAACCAGGAAGGTCCACAGTGCAGGGTCTATCTCTTTCTTCTTCTGTCTCTGTCTCAAGACCCCAATGTAGTGTTTTGCAATATATAAGGCACAAAGTCAATGTTGGTGAGTGACATGTAAATCAGTGTAAGGGAGATATGTTATACCAGCCTAGCTCCCTCTCTTGAGAATGCATCCTATCCTCCAATTAACAAATCATCTCTGAGATATGGTAATATAACCCATCTCACACTCAGATTCCTAAAGGGCAAAGAATAACTATAATAATGATAACCAAAATAATAACCAAATAAATCTATAATAAATAAATACATATTTATAAGATATATATATATATATATTAACCAAAGAATAATCAGACACTGTCTTCTCAATCCCAAAATCAGTGTCTGTATCTCTGTTTTCTGATCAAAACAAAGGTTCAGGCCCTACCCAGTAACTAAATGAGAGAGTGGTGGGGAAGAAAAAAGGGAAAAGAGAAGAGGGACAAAAACTAAAAACCCAATATTCAGGAACCCTGACACAAAGATGCTACAGTGCATATTCCTAAGCTAAAAATTAATCAGGTCATTCTCAAGTTTTTAGAGTCCTCTACTCATACTCTCCCATGTCTCAGTCATCACATAAGCTTACAGAACTTACAAAACACGGTTGTTGTTTTTCCGGATAACTTTGATGCTAAATGGCTCTTTTTCAATGTCCACACTATAGTTCAAATTATCAGCTGCATTTCCAGTAAATGGCTGGACGTGTTCATGAGGGACTTCATATCTGGGATCACTGGGGTCACTGATCTGTCCAAAGGAAGGAACAAACAGAAAACTAAAATGAAATACATTCAGAAAATCCAACAACTTTAGGCGGAGGGCTTTTTGTTTTTGACTTTTTAGAAAGAGGCAAATGTAAGCTTATTTCAGATACAAACATCCTAATATTTAAAGTCATAAAAATGGAATGGGCTGTCTCAGGAGAACTTCACCAGAGGTCTTCAAGGAAAGATATGTTAGATTTAGATGATATGCCTTTCAGACACAATTTGAACTAGATGGCCTTTTAAAATTCTGTAACCATTTTTGGTTTTTTAAAGTAAATATCTCTCATGAAAATGAAAATCATTTCTCATTTACAAATCAACACTATGATTCTATAGAGACAGCTTTTCAATGAAATTCAATGAATTCAACATGTATCAATAGTATATAAGAGGCAGCATGAACAGTGGTTGGAGAGCCAGGTTCAGTAAGGAAAACCTGGGTTCAAGTTCTGAATTTAGCACAATGAAGCTAAGTAATTTTAAAATTATCATTTGCATAAGAACTGTTGAGCTTCATTGGTAGAGACATTTTCCCCACTGGATGTTCTCTATCCTAATAAAATCATAGATACAGACCGACTATGTGAAAAGTACCAATTCACACTTTTAAAACTCTCAACTTCTCAATGGTTTTCTCCCTATAACACTTCACTTGGCACATGTTTGCTGACACTGTTAATTTAAACAAATTCCCATTATCTTGTCTGTAATTTATAGAATAATAATATCATGATAGCTAGATTGTGAGTCATAGTTCCTCCTCTACTTCTCAATAGCTGTGTGAGCTAGGACAAGTCATTTAATCTCTGTGGGCCTCAGTTCTCTTATTTCTAAATTGAAGGCTAGGATTAGATGATTTCAAAGGTCTCATCCAGCCCTAAGATCTTTTGATCTTATTGCTACTACTAATCCCTAAGTTTCCCAAGGACATCTTCACTTTCAATTAGATGAACAAAAAAATCAAAAACCTTGAAGTGGAAACGATTGGATGTCTGGTATTCTGCTTCAAGGATGACATTGGCAATATCACTTCCAAACATTGAGCGGGTAGGCAGTCTGCTCAATTGGGCTGTGAACCCTGATGGGGAAGAAAACAGAAAGAGTTGTCATGCCCTGGACAGACCTCATTAGCATTACCCACAAACACCCAAAATGTGAAGGGGGAACAATAAGAAAGAAAGGAAGGAAGGAAGGAAGGAAGGAAGGAAGGAAGGAAGGAAGGAAGGAAGGAAGGAAGGAAGGAAGGAAGGAAGGAAGGAAGGAGAGAGAGAGAAAAAGAAAAGCTTTCTGCTTTTCAAAAGAAGTGGGAAAGAGATGGACAAACACTGTCATATATGCATACTACTACTAAGTCATAACTTGTGGGGGCAAATGGTACTGAATCTTCTGTACCCAACCCATGCTCCTCTCCTTAAAAACATGAATAAAGACTTCCTGTGGAAAGTGTTCCTCTTACTCAATTAAATTCAGTCCAATAAACAATTAATTAAAGCCTGCTATTATAAGCAAGGCAAAAAAAATTGTATGTTTTATTGATGACTTTTGTTTGTTCCACTATTATCTCCCAGTCAATGTATGGAGCCCCCACTGGACTCTCCCTTGTAACAAGGAAAAACATTTAAGCAGCACCATCCAACAAAGCCACCATATATGAAAGGACATGTGACACTATGCACCTATAGTTACTACCACCACACACACACACACACACACACACACACACACACACACACACACTCTCCTCTCTAAAGAGAAGAGGAGAAAGAGATGTGCTTCATTATCCAGAGTTAGAGGCAGTGAGATTGTACAGTGGTTAGAGTGCTGGGCACAGGGTCAGGAAGACCTGAGTTCAAATCCAACCACAGACATTTACTAGCTGTGTGTTAGGCAAGTCAACTCTACCTAGCTCAGATTTTCCATTTTTAAAATGGGAATGATAATAGCGCTTGCCTCCCAAAATGGTTGTAAAGATCAAGTGAGACAATATTTGTATAATACCAAGCACATAGTAAGTATTTAAACAACACTTGTTTTCTTCCTTCTCTAGTACCAAGACTGGTTCATACAATTAATCTGAGTACAACTACCTTTTAGTGTTAGTTCTATTTATACTACTATAATTACTGCTCTGGTTCTGAATATTTTCACTCATACTTCATGTGAGCCTCCCTATGTTTTCCCAAATTCCTTGCATTCATCATTTCTCACAGAAGTCTACTCTAATAACTTCCATATGATAATATCCATTCAGTCATTTTCCAATCCATATCATGCAAAGTCAATCGGTCAACAAGTGTTTATCATATTATGTGCTAGGGATACAAAGAAAGGCAAAACCACCATTCCTGGCCTCCAAGACCTCACATTCTAATGGGGGACATAGCATGTAAGTAACTACAACAAGTGACAGAGAAAGAGAGAAGATAGATGGCAAACTTGGAGAGCAGACACTGGGAAAAGCCATTTGCAGAAAGTGCATTAAATGCACTGGGAAGTCACTTTACCCTCACTGATTTCCTTTAATGCATATTCTCTCAGCATTTATGAATTCACTTTGAATTTTCCTCCCTTTCCTCTGCTTGTATGCTTTGTTGCTAGGATGTGTATGGGAGGCAGTTTGCTATAGTGGAAAATGAACTAGATTTGGAAATGAAGGACTCCAATTCTAATTTGGACTCTTTCACCTTCTGCTTATGGAATCTTAGGAAAATTACTTCACATCTCTGGACCTCAGTTTCCTCAACTGTAAAATGATGGGGGGGAGGGATTAGACTACTTTCTAATGTCCCTTCCATATCTATGATCCAAAGTCTTTCGTGTATGTTGGTCTTATCACCCCAACTAGATTGTAAGTTGATTTCAAGACTAGGAACTCCTTGAGAACAGGAATTACACTAAGTATTTCCAGAGGTCAGGATCCATTTATGTTCTTTCTTCTGTCTCTTCCATCCTGCCTTGCTTTAGGAGTCGGGTGGTTCTGCTTAGTCTTTGCCATTATCGATAATAAAGAAATGACCTTGCATTTGTTTAATGCTTCATAGTTCACAAAAGCCCTTGCCTGACTTATAAGTTAGGTTTTTCTTTAAAGTTGAAATTATGCCTCCAATATTATTGCCCTTCTGCATCCTGAACCTTATCCATGAGAAGTTCTATCTACCTTACATGGTGAATATGACAATGCAGGGAGACACACCACACGCTTGCAGTTCTATCTATTGGGTGGTTTTTGAGTCTAACCCCTGGGTTATTACATATACTTCTCTCCTGTGCTGGGAACTGGCTTACTTACCTGCTCCGGTGATTGCACCACCTTCTATCCGATAGCCATACTGCTTTGAGAAGTAGCACCAGGTCATATTTACTGGTCCCTCAGGGCTCCAGCAGCAACCACGCTGGTCACATGTGGCCTGGAACAAGAAGAATTTTGTCAGACTAATGGTGTCAACAGCGGCCTCCTAATATTACTCATCTCCTATCGTAGGTACCTTTCATAGAGAGTCTTGGATGAATTATAATTATGAGCATTCTTAAGAAATATGGTCACCAATTCACAGGAGTAATGAAACAAATAACACAAAATGTCATATCATCCATCATTTTACATTTCCCTTTGCCTCACATGATTCTCTGACCTGTTTTTTTCCTAGGAAAAGAATTATATTGCTAATGATATCTGGCTCAGGCTGACATTAAAATAAATGGATTTCTTTGACCATATGCTATGACAGATACTATATCGGAGCAACCCAGAACTGGGCTAAGAGATCGTACTTGAGAAGTGTTCTATCAATTCAAAATATCTTTAAAGGTTCAAAAGGAAAGAGGGGGTAAAGTCTACTTAGAAATTAATGTATACATACATGCATATGTGTATATATGTGTTTTCATGCACATATGCATATAGACACATAGACATATACACACATAACAGCTAAAGGATTCTTTACTATAGTATTATATATATATATATTTCAAAGAACAGTGAGTATATGTTCGACTATTAGATTCAAGTTTATATAGAAAATAAGGAAAGAGGCACAGTGAAATTTCTTGTCCGATCTTTCTCTTCTAGATGTAGAAGATGAAAAAGTGCAAGTACTGAGACATTTTGGAAAGATTAAGCCACATTTAAATTCCAAAGCAGTATTAGAAGAGATGAGTAGAGGTATTAATAGTCCCAATAAACAGGTAAAATAGAAATTAAACCTCATATTAATTTAAGAACATATTTCATACATTTGAGATGAGAGAAAACATCAATCTAAGCCTAAGTGAAATATTTTTTAATCTTGCTTCAATAAGAATTTTCATTGAAGTTGAATAAATAATTTTTATTTAATTAAACTGTTGTTTTAATAAAAAATTATACTTGTCTACCAAAAGAAGTACTGAATTGTTTGTGCAAAATTCTCTAAGTCATCAGCCAGTCATACCTGGGAGAACAGCTTCCTTTCTAGTGGCTGCTATACATATAGTAAGCATAGTGCTTATGAAAAGCTAGGGGGTTGTCCTATAAACTGAACTCTTTTAAATTAAGGCAGAACTAATATTAACTAGTGAATATTATGGGTAAACAGATTTCAGCTCAGGATAAGGAAAAACTTGCTAAGACTTGACTCACATAATTATAAGTACTTTCATTACACATATTCACCATGTTTTATTTTCTGTCATGGTTCTGTATTGCATGGCCAATGTGTTATAGTGGTAAAGGGCTGTCATAAGGACTAGTCAGGCCTGGGCAAGAACTAACTCAGTCATGAGAATTTAAAGTTAATAGTGCACCTGGTGGCTTAAGGAAACCTGGGAGAGTCAACCTTTGCTTGTAGGTAATGAAGCAAAAAATTAAAATCTAATTACTGATTATCTAGGAACTTAGATAGACTTAAGAAAGGAATAGAAAGAAAAGAATGTTTTTAAAGTTACCAAAAAGACAAAAAGAACTATAGCTATTGCTATTAAGTAAAAGGAAATTAGAATCCCAAGAGAAGGGGGGCTATATATAACATAGTACCTCAAAAGGTTCAGTGGACATATGTGAATTCCTCTCCCCACTCAACCCCCGGTCATATTATGACAAGATCTGCAATCAGTGGGCTTTGCAGAGGAAGTCAAATTGAAGGGAAGTCACGGGCCACATTGGGATGATGTCTATATGTATCACATGGGAGAGGAGGGTCTAAGAAATTGTATGTTGCCTCTGCTGAGTTGAGTTGGGTAGTGAACACTCATTAATACCATAACTAAGTGCAGTAATATGTACAATAACATATTTAATATATACCTATGAAAATCTTCATCTCTCCAGGTCCCTGTAGCACTAATCCTCTAATAGATGTGATAAACAGAGGCTATTGAATGGAACACAGACTCTACTAGGGCTAACATCGTAGGTGTGTTATATCCACCAAAGAGTAAACTGCAACGAAAAGCACTATGTATTATATAAATTTTCGTCTCCATCAGCACCTAACACATTGTTCTCTAATCAGTCAGTCAAAAAACTTTCATCAAGCACTTACTATATGTGCTAGACACTGCACTAACCACTTGAAATACAAAGAAATGGCAAGCAGCACTAATAAGTGATTCTTACATTAAGTTCAAGCTGTACAAAAATCAAATACAATGCCTTAGGAAGTGGTGAGCTCCCCATCACTAGAGGTCTTCAAAGAAACTAGATGACCAAGGATAAAATGAGGAAGTTGGACCAGATGATCTCTAAGATCATCTTTTCCAGATCTAAATCCTTACCCCTCCATGGTATAAAAGGAATTCATGTTTCAAATGGGAAACTTCTGTGGTTTCTTGCAAACTCTTAGATTCACGATTTTGTGTGTTGGAAGGACCACTCCTATAATCCAGATTTCACCTTCAAGCACCCCAACTTACAGCATTCTGCCTTCCTTTACAGAAAAGCACCTAACTGCCAGTTCTAACCTGCCTATTCACCCAGCTCTGTCCTAACATCAGGAGAAATACAAAGGTTTTACTGTTGGGCTACCCAACCACCTATTCTGCATCCTTCAATGCAATTCCTAGCCTCCTCTTCCAAACTCCAGTCTCCCACACTGTACTTTTGTGTGTGGCTGGAATCTTGACTTTCCTTATATTCTCTGATCATAATTAAAGTCCTCTAATGGTGATGTTCATATCAAAGGTAATAATAAATTATGCATCCAGACTTTCACACTCCGATTAAGGAAAACACCAATGGTATGTGTGCATGAATGTCAATGCTATGTACTAATTAATTTGTAGCTAAGACGATTAAAAAAAGCAAAGTTCATTTAAAGAATAATAAAGATGATCAAGTATTAACAGAATATTACTTTATTGTCCCCATATGATAGCAATAAAACAAAAAAGAAAAAGGAAGTGTTATTCAAGTAATTAGATTGATATCTGAAGTTCAGCAAGTTTTAATGTTAAAATTGGTTGGGGGTGGAGTCTTAGACTTCCTAAAGAGAAAGCGGTGACAGAAGAGACAATTTCTTTTGAAATACATTGAACTGATGGCTTTTGTCTTCACATCAGTAATTTCTGGTGAAAAAAACAAAAAACAAAAAACTCCACCCTGCCCCAATTCATTAAATCCTCCTTTGTAACAAAGAATTAAAATTAAGCAACAAATTGTGCCATAGGAATTAACTGTTATCTGATAATGTATACAACATTATGCTCCAATATTCCCCAATCTCTCTGCTTAGAAGAGAGAGACATGCTTTATTATTTGTTAATCATTCTTGGCTTTTCAACCACCCAAACTTCACCTGCTTTTTAGTAGTCTTTTCATTTTCATTGTTATCATCATTTGGATTCTACTTATTTCACTGCATAAGTTCATTTTTTAAATTTCCCATGTTTTTCTGAATGCCTCATATTCAATATTTCTTACTTCACTATAACATTATATTACATCTATATACCACAGATTTTGCAGCCATGACCCAACTGATGGGCATCTACTTTATCTCCACTTGTTTGCTACCATAAAGTTTCCAGCTATGATTATTTTGGTATAGAGAGAAAATTTGTTTTTATATAACTTCCTTTGGGTCCAATGGTGAGTTGCTGGGTCAAAGAGTATTTCCTGGGTCAAAGGGTATCCTCTTAACTTTTTAAGGAAGTTTAGGAGTTTTCACAACCTTGTTATAAACATTGGCAAGCACCCTTCTTTGCCTATAAGACTTATTACTACTATTATCATTACTACCATCAACAAACACACTACCAAATTGACTCATTTTACATAACTGTTCTTCGCGGTCTCCAATGCTCTTTTCCTTCCCAAATCTAATGGTCTTTTCTTGATCCTCACCCTTCTTAAATTCTCTATAGCCTCTGACCCTATTAATCACCTCTCCTCCCAAATGTTCTCTCCTCTCTGGGTTTTTGTAACAATTTTCTCTCTTAGCTCTCCTCTGTCTGACTGTTCCTTCTCAGTCTGCTTTGCTGGATCATCATCATCCATGTCACAGCCCCTAAAAGAGGGTGCACTCCAATACTCAGTCCAGGGCCTTCTCTCTCAACTAGACTTATTTACTTGCTAACCTTATCAGCTCCCAAGAACTTCAGTATCATCTCTACGCAGAGAAGTGATTCCTAGATCTCTCAATCCAACCCTAGTCTATCTCTCAAGCTGTAATCCCTTACCACCTAGTAGATATTTCAACCTGGATAGAGGCTCAAATGGAATCTCAAATTTAGTCTGATTAAAATGGGATTTATTGTTGTTCCCAAACTCATTTAAGTGACTCAGTGGATATGGTGCTGGTCCTGGAGTCAGGAAAACCTGAGCTCAAATCCAGCTTCAGACACTTCCTAGCTGTGTGACCCTGGGCAAGTCACTTAATCTCTGCTAGCCTAACAAAAAGATTCCATCAGATCCCCTGGAGAAGGGAATGGCAAACTACTCCAATATCTTTGCCAAGAAAACCCCATGGAAGTTGGTCCACGGGGTCACAAAAAGCTGGACACTGATCAACTGAATAACAGCGACCTCGCAGGGACGTTGGGAAGATCAAATGAATTCATACTTGTAAAGCGCTTACACACAGGGTCTGGCAGAGAGGAGATGCTCTAGAAATACTTAACTCTTTCTCTTCCCTCTTCTTCCAAATCTCCTTGTTTCTATCGAGGACAGTATTATCCTTCTTAGTCACCCAGTTTACAACCTGGGTATTGCTACAGAGTCTTCATTCTTCCTCACCCCTAGATATCCCAGCAAATCTTGTTCCTAGTACCACATCATCTCTCCCCTCCGTCTTCTCTTCTCTATTCACACTGCCCCCACCTTACTTCAGGCTCTTACGAGATCTCATCTAGACTATCACAACAGCCTCCTGATTGGTCTCCTTTACAAGCATTCATTAAGTGACTACTATGTGACTGGCACCGGGCTAAGTGCTTTACAAATATTATTTCATTTGATCCTCACAACAACCTTGAGGTTGGTGCTATTATAATCCCCATTTTACAGTTAAGGAAACTGACGAAAACAAGCTAAATGACTTGGCCAGGATCACACAGCTAGCAAATGTCTGAAGATAAATTTAAACTCAGGTCTTCCTTATTCCAGGGCCAGCACGTTGGCCATTGCATCACCTAGCTGCCTTAAAGAAGAGTCTGGAGGCAACTAGATTGTGCAGCAGATAGAGCCTTGGAGTCAGGAGGACCTGAGTTCAAATCCAGTGTCAGACACATGACACTTACTAGTTGTGTGACCCCGGGCAAGTCACTTAACCCCAATTGCCTCACCAAAAAAAAAAAAAAAGGTCTGTATTTTATCTTAGAGATGATTGGGAGTCACTGAAGCTTCTTCTTGAGCAGGGGAGTAACAGTTGAACCTGCGCTTTAGGAATATCAATTTGGTGACAATGTGGAAAACAGACTGGAGAAGGGAGAGGCTGAAAGACAGGAAACCAATTAGGAAGCTATTATGATAGTATAGACAAGACATAATGAGTACTAGAACTACAGTGGTAGTGATATGAAGGGGAAAAGGCTGTGAGGTTGAATCAAGCCAATTTGGCAACTGTTTGGCTATGGAGACTGGGCAGGGGGAATGAGGGGAAATGAGGAAGAAAGAAGAGTTGAGGAAACCTCCAAGGCTGTAAACCTGGTTTACTATGAGGATCATGGTGTCTGACAAAAATAGAGACATTAGGAAGAAGAATAGGTTTAGAGGGAGAGATAATGAGTTCCATTTTAGATGTCTTGAGTTCGAGATGCCTATGGGACATGCAGGTGAGATGCCCAATTGGCAATTAGTTGAGCTTAGGAAAGAAATGGACACTGGATATGTAAATTTAGGAGTTATTTGCATATAATAATATCTGCAGATAATAATTTATGACAAAGTTTGAAATTGACTCTTCTCACTCAGATGGTAGGCTTACTCAGAAAAAAGCATTGTGACAGTGTTACTGTGGAATTCATGTTTCACCTGCCCAAACTCAGCCTGACTTTAGTTGCTGGTCAGCCTCGTGAATCAGGGCACACTCCTTCCCACTCATCTAACCAACTTAATTATCCTGGAACCAAAGACAGAAAATTAAGCCACAAGACCAACAACCAGTATGCTGACAAAACTCTCTGAAAACTTAAGAAGAACTCTAATGCCTCCCCACCTCTTAACTTTAGAATCAGTAAAATGAGATGATCTCTAAGGTCCCTTCCACCTCTACCATCCTGTTTGCAAGAAATAAGTCTAAAAAACAAATAGTCTGAATAGTCTAAAGGATGAAATCATATATTAAAACAGACCTGTGTTGGTGTTTGATCAGGGATGCAGTTGATCCTTTCCGGCAGGTTTACCATATGGCATACTGGAGCTAAAGTTGTCTCAGGACTTGAAGTACTGTTAGCTTCTGAATCTTAAGATTTGTAAGATTGTACATGACAAATGCCAAAAGAAAGAAAACATGAAATATATGTCAAAACACTTTCAGTTCCACTCTGTTCTTAGTACTTAACCATTTTTTCAGTGGATTAATTCTGTCGATGATTTTTACTTTTACTCTGTGGTTCTCAGTACTTACACATTCCATAAATTTAAAATATCTTAGACTCAGCCTTGTGTAGTGGAATCAGGAATGTTGTTGTTTTCAGTTTTGTCTGATTCTTCATGACCCCATTTGGGGTCTTCTTGGCAAAAATACTGAAGTGGTTTTGCCATTCCTTTCTCCAGCTCAGTTTACAAAATGAGAAAGCTGAGGCAAACAGGATGAAGTGACTTGCCCAGGGTCACACTGCTGGTAAGTGTCTGAGGCCAGATTTGATGAGACTTCCTAACTTCAGTCTGGGCACTCTATTCACTGCACCATCTAACTGCCCAATCAGGTCCTGGGTTCCAATTCCAGATCTAGCATGTATCAGCTTAATATCTCTAAACCTCAGCTTCCTCAACTATGAAATGTGAATATTAAAAGCATCACTACCTTAGTCATAGGGCTAAGTATGTTCTAAACCTTAGAGTGCTAAATAAAATGTGAGGTTCTAGGATCACAGATTTAGAGCTCAAAGGAAGTTTAAAGGCTATAGAGGAGGAAATTGAAGCTGAGGGACCCTTTAAGTGACTTGCTCAAAGTCCCAGCATTAGCTAGAAGGGGACCAGACTTGTGCTTTGTTGGCAACAACATTCTCATCCTGCACAATTCTACCAGCTTTGGTACTCCACCTTGGTACTCCAACTCTATCCTTCTGGAGGTTGTAGCTCTGGACTCCAAAACCTCCATTAAAGGGGGGGATCATCTCAGAACACCTCATTTCTCTCCTAGCTGCCCTACTTTGGAATTTCTCTGACTTTTCCACCACACCCCCAAGAAGCTCATTATTGGGAAAACTATTCTAAAAACACTGACAAATCGAATCTAAACAAGGGGAACATGAATTGTGTTTGAAAAGATCCAAAAAGTGTTTCTTCTCTGGGAATCTGGTGAACATTTTTACTTACATTTTTACACGAAGTTTACACGTCACTCTAACAATATATTTATTTAATATTTCAAAAAGAAAAAGCGAGGAAAACTTCATCATTCTGAAAGAGCCCATCAGCCTTGGTGTTCCATCTCATTCTGAATCTCTAACTGGAGTGTCTCCCTCTCTGCTTTTCAGCTTCCCTTTGTGTGTTGTCCTCTCAAAAGAGACTGTAAGCTGCTTGAGGGCAAGGCCTGTCTTCCTCTTTTCTTATTTGTATACCCAGCATGGTGCCTGACTGACTGATTTTATTAATATAGAATACTTAGAATGAGGAAATTCTCTCTACCAATGCAGGTTGCCACTTCTTCGGCAATTCTTATGTACCCAGGGTCACACAGGTAGTAAATGTCTGAGGCAGGACATGATCTCAAGTATTCCTGACTAGAAGACCAACACTTCATTCACTATGCCACTTTCCACAAATTTTCATTTTCAGGTAACATCTTCTGTGTGTGTGTCTGTCTGTCTCTGTCTCCACTTATGAGTGGGCACCCTTAGGTGTCATCCCCCTCCTTGTATACCCCATCACACCAGGAGCAAGTAATTTGTCTCCCCTATTAAATTGAGAGCTTCTTGAAAATAAGAACTAAGTGAGATTATTCTCATTACTTCTCCTGCCCTTCACTGCCTAAATGATTCTGTTCTCAAGGAATGCTCAATACACGGTACCATAAATTTGGAACTGGAAAGACCTTAGAGGACATCTTATCTAGTTCCTTATTTCACATAAAAGGAAACTGAGGCCCAGAAAGGTTGTTGTTTTGCCTAAAGTCACAGAGGTAGATATATTACCTTAATTTTAACAATATAAATGATAACTCCACTCTGGCCCCTCCATAATGATTGCATAAATATATAAATGATAAGGTCCACATGCTCTGAAAATGGGTTTGTCAATCTGATGATAGAGAGACAGTATTAAACCAGGTAAAGGAAAAAGTGTGGCTTAGAAGTTAAAAACAAATTGTTGTTTAGTCATTTTTCAGACACATCTGACTCTTTGTGACTACATTTGGAGTTTTCTTGGCAAAGATGTTGGAGTGGTTTGCCATGTCCTTCTCCAGCTCATTTTACAGATGAAGAAACTGAGGCAAGTAGGGTTAAGTGACCTGTCCAGGGTCACACAGATAGTAAGTGTCTGAGGCCAGATTTGAATTCAGGAAGTTATCCTGATTCCAGGCACCCTATTCACTGCCCCACCTAGCTGCCCAAAACAAGAAAACAAACTAAATGAGTTGTAAAACAATTTTGTTAAGTTAAAAAAAAGAAATTAAAATTTTCAACTCTTTATTAGCTAAAGACAATAACTGTATACAGAATAATATTAATAAAAACAGTGAGATTTCTAAACTTGATTTTGAACTTTTCCCAACTCAAAAGTGATTGGCTTTTTAAAAAATTGATTTCAGCCACAATTATAAAGGTTTTCTCCTCAATTGTGCTGGCTTCTATATAGGTCCTTCAATTGCTGTTTTTAAATTTATAGAATCTTAGTACGTGGGAAAGACCTTAGAGGTCATTTAGTTCACATAGCACTTTGTTTTAAAGCCTATAATGTGGCATAGTGGACAGAGAGCCAGCTGATGCCTGGAGTCAGGAACACCTGGATTCAAGTCCCAGCTCTGCTGCACACTGGCTTAACATCTCAGGATCCCAGGAAACTCTAAGTATATGAGATACAGAACCAGTGCTATCTAGACTGGTGAAGGGAGATGCCTCACTGGGAGGCATTGTAGGGAACTACAATCAACGACATCACAGGCCAAGATCCCATACCACCCCAAAATGCATTTATGCAACACTGTATTAATATAACTCTTACTATAACACCATAATGTTGTATAAGTGTTGTTCCTTACTGTCACTCTTGAAGCACCTAGCACATACAAACCACACCCCATTCCCCAACCTATATTTTCAGCTCTTTGAGGGCAGATAATTTTGTCTAACCCTTACATCTCTGACACTACCTAGATCAGTGCTCTGCATACAGCAGGTATCCACTAAATGTATCTGATTTTGAATTTTATCTTCTGCCCATTGTTGTATTCTGGGGAAATCCCTTCCTAGCCACCAACTATCCCCTTTGTCCCATTCAACTATTTCACAAATACATGCCACTCGTCATAAGGGCACAGTCTGAGAGAATGTGAATAACTTAGCATAATCAACCCCAGTATTAGAAAAGTAATGCAGACCACTATTGATGGTAAATGAGTAAAATCATTTTTCTCACATATACATATATCCAAAACACAAAATATTTAGATAATTAAGGGACTCCTATTTTGTAAGTGTAAATTTTGGTTAAATATATTTATTATTTACATGATCATTTATCTTATCTTTCCTATGAAAAGTATTAATTACTATTGTCATTAATGCTATTCAATGAAATTTAACAAACAATCAACAAGCCAAAATGCCATTTTAAGTGAAGGATAGAAAAGAAATGTGATATGGAACCCCTGAGTCTGCAATGTCAAAATCTATACAATATTAATAGCAGCACTTCACAAACTAATTTAGCCATGGGACACTTTGAGGCATGTAATATGCTACCATTCAAAACGATGTATGGGGAAAGTCTGGGAACACTAAATACCCAATGGATAATAGGGAGGAAGAAAACTTTTAGTGCTAGAAAAATGAAATTAAGCCTTTTTTCATATCTCCAAAATGCCACATAAAATGTTTTTGACACATAGTTTTGTATTTAGTAAATTAGAAGAGAAAATATTTCTTAGCAATGATATTTTCACACCTGTCTTGCATTCATATTTCATGGAAGACCAAGATTCTGTGGAGCACAGTCTGGGGATCACTACCCTAGAGAATATAGGAAAGACACCTCCCCTCTAGAAAACATTGGGCCATGACAGGTGACCACAGTGCAAGAACACCATAATTCTTTGTCTTGTTACCTTTTGCACCCGAACTATTCGTAGATAAAAGCACGATCAGGACAACAGAGATGATGAAAAGTCCCAGAAGCAGAACACTAAGGATTATCTCCAATTTGCTGAAAGTTTTCTTTGCCATCTAAATAGGAAGGAGAAAGAGATTAGAGTTTTTGATGCTATAAGGATATGTAACAGATGGAGGCTAAAGAATCTTTTGTCAGGCATACGGTAGAAAGTGTTCTTGCGTAAGATATGGGATAGATTAAGTGACTTGGGAGGCCTTTTCCAATTCTGAGATTCAGCGCATCCCTATTACATGTGGGAGATAGTCAATAAAAATCTAATCACTACTTATTTGTTCTATGTTTTAAGTGTTTCTCTTTTAAAAGACAATAGACATTACCTAAAATATACAGTTATGTTTTAACTACAGCGATCAAAGTACACATTCTCATACTGAAGTATTTCTACCAAGGGCTTAGCCTAGAAGTAATGAGAAAAAGCCCCCCAAAGATCTGGCAATTAGAATAAGATCTAAATGACAGAGAAAAGATATCAGAAGTATTCGGAACACAAGAACCATCAACTTCATGGTCCTCATTGTTTCAAAATTCTAAATTCTCATTTATGATATTTTTCCAGCCAAGATTAAGGCACTTAGAAAAGATCAAGGGAGGCCTTGGTTATGTAAATATATTGTCCTTTGCATAAAAGGATGACCCCCAAAGACCAGGGCTTTGAATCATTTTCTTCAATAGTCAGGAAGAATTGTACTATTATCTGCCCACATTCTTACATTGATCTATGGCCCACATTTGTGAAGCAGCCAAATGGGCTTAAAGGGAATGTCAGTGGCTGGAGAAAAGTTTTTCCCTGGGAGAAGACAATTGACTCCCTGGAGATTGGTTCCTGCCACCTTGCCCTGAGTTATAAGCACTGAGTAGCAACCCAGAAATGGAAAACAAAAATATAGTAAATGATCAAATAAGGACATGACAAAAATATTCCAAACTGAAAAAGGCTGAGGTTGTGGCCAAAACTAACAACCTATCACATCTCGCAGTGGCACCCAAGATTATGCTATGTGTCTAGCTATGTTATACTAAAACAAGTATTTATTCTTCCTTCTTGCCCCTTACCACTCACACACACACACAAACACACACACACACACACACACACACACACACATACACACACATATACACACATTGGCTGTCCAGGAAGTCACACCCATCCATACTCTTTTTTGTTGTTCAGTCTTTTTTTTTTTGTTCAGTCATTTTGGTTGTGCTCGATTTTGTGACCCCTAATCAGGCCATTTCCTTCACCATCTCATTTCACATATGAGAAAACTGAAACAAACAGGGTTAAATGACTTGCCCAGGGTCTCACAGCTAATAAGTGTCTGAAGCCAGATTTGAATTAAGGTCTTCCTGACTCTAGGCCCAAAGTTCTATCTATTGTGACACCTACTGTCACTTACTAATCAACACAGCCTGAAAATGAGGATCATTCTCACAAGGAACCCTTTTCATTGACCATAACTCTGAAGACTATCCTTTGTTCTTCCCTAAAGAGACTCTAGACAGCTAAGTGGCTCAGTGGACAGAGCACCAGGCTTGAAGTCAGGGACCCCTGAGTTCAAATCCAGTCTCAGACACTTACTAGCTGTGTGACCCTGGGCAAGTCACTTAACCCTGTTTGCTTCAGTTTCCTTAGTGGAAATGACAAACCACTCCAATATCTTTGCCAAGAAAACCTCAAATGGGGTGACAATGAGTTAGACATATCTGAATGACAACAACAAAGAGACCTGAAGTCACTACCCATCAGCCTGCCATAGTGTCCAAGACACATTGACCTCAAGCCACTCAAAGACAGTTCTCTCCTGCCTAAGGTCTGCCCAAGTTGCTAGCACATTTAGTCAATGCTTCCCCGTTCTTGATTTTCTTCTTTTGTTCCTAGTTCTTTAAAAATGAAAAAAAAAAAAGAGTATTCTCAAGAAAGCATACTCCCGGACAATGTTTCCATGTCTTTGTCAAATATTAGCTAAAAATGTATCCTTTGGCTATTGCAGTTAAAAGATAACTATACTTTTAAGGTAATATTTGCTATCTTTTAAAAAGGAAACACTTAGAATATGAAAACTCATTATGACTTGGCTTAACCTTACTATTTTAATAGCAGCTTTCACTTCCATAATCTCATTCCATCCTCACAACAAAACTGAAAGGTCAGGAAGTATGTGCCCCACTTAGTCACAGAGAAACTGATCAAATGAGCTTTGAACTTCTGATCTCCCCAAATTCACAACAGAAACTTAATAAGAAGTTTAACAACCAGGGGCAGCTAGGTGACACAGTGCATAGAGCTCCCGCCTTGGAGTAAGGAGGAGTTCAAATCTGCCCTCAGATACTTGACACTTACTAGTTGTGTGACCCTGGCAAGTCACTTAACCTCAACTGCCTCACCAAAAAAAAAAAAAAAAAAAAAAAAGTTTAACAACCAGGTTTCTTATCTGCCAGCTCCAGGCTTAGCTCTGTTAGACCACTTTTTGCTTCTCATCTAAGCATATCTTTTTTTTTCCCCATACAAATTAGTACATGTCATTGAGCATTTCTGCAGCAATCTTTTTCACTGTATCAGTTGAGAAAAAAAAAACTCTAACAAGTCAGGAAATATGGGGAAATATTTTGAGTAAGATGAAAGTACAACAATATCCCACTTTCTCAACAATCAAACCTCCAGCAATCACAGTCTCCTCTAACAGGAACAACTCAGAAGCAATGAGAAAAAGCCTCAAAAGTAAAGAGTTGACACAAAGTCAGAGTTCTTCTTGCTCTCCAGGCCTCTAGAGAAACTGAGACCTAAACACACAATGACGTTTATTGATTTCACTGTATCTCCAGCCTCAAGCACTGATTTCTCTTACAGACTCTGGTCTTGCATCTCCAAGTGTCTATAAGGTTTGATGCTTGGGTGCTTATGTTTGGGTGCTCGTACTTGGACTCCAATTTCTCCCTAGCCTCAGAAACACTGTCCCTGACAGTTTCTCCCCAGCCCAAGGTCCCTGTGCCTAGCAATTACTCATGAGTGGGCCCCAGCAAGACCCTTATCTCTCTCCCTGGTGCAGTTCCAAACAGCACCTGAAGGATTTATTAGTTTAAACTGGCTTTGCACTGGGTCATAAAGACATTCTTACCCACTGGACTATCTCCTACCGCCCTACCTCATTATCTCCATCCTGGGCTCCTCATTAACTGTATTCTAGACTTAAGACATATGACATTGATTGGTGGCAGACTGGACAACTTTCAGTTACCCTGAACTCTGGTTGATTAGTGATGTAGCAGGCCTAAAACCACACCTCCATGTGGCCCCCGTTGTGGGCTTTTCCCAGTGAACTCTGGGTAAACCGCCTGCCCAGTAGGTACAAGAAGTGCATGTTCTTTTAAGAACTGACCACTCCTTAACCACTCCCTAATCCCACACTGAATCCCCTAGTTAGCATTTTTGGCACATGTTTTATTGTATTTTATCCTATATACACTTTAACTGTGCCTCTCTAAGGTTGCAGGATCCTTGCCCGCTTTTCAGCGTAACAATAAACTTTGCCACCTTGGCTTAAAGAATGCTTGCGTCAGTGAATTCATTCCAGACAACCAGTCCTTCCCTGCCTCCTTTGCTGGCTCCTCCTCCAGATCGTGCCCTCTCAGTAGGAGTGCCCCACAAGCTTCTGTTCTGGCCCTCTTCTTTTCCCTCTCTGTACTACTTCACTTGGCTCTAACAGCTTATAGCATAGGCCAATTAACAAGATTTTCCCTAGGAACATACATGAAACAGGAAGGCACAAAATTCGAATACCAAGGTTACGGCAGCCAAGGAATCACTGTGCTGCCTCGACCTCTTTCTCTCTTTCCTATCAATACACTCATCTTGATGGTATAAGGGCCAGTGTTATAAATAACACCCAGAAATCTGCGCTATTTTTTTTTTATTTTATAAGCTCTCCACAGCTGCAAGCGCTCCGCGACGTTAGCTCGGTGAGTAGCTGGGGAGGCGGGACTTCTTGTCCCTCCCTTTCTTCTCTTCCGCCTGGAACCGGAAGGACCCGCCCCTCCTGGACAGAGTCAGAAATTCCCTAACCGGAAGGTGACGCTATCGGGACTGTCTTGGGGAAATAGGGAGGTGAGGTCGCCTTGCTTCTGCGCCATGTTGAGCATTAGTTTTGATCTGACAAGTTGTTCTAAGGGGACGCGAGGATCGCTGAGGTAGAATGACTCCCATAGCAACCATTTCGTGTCTTTTAGAATGTGATCAGTTAATCCCAACGGATAAATCATCAGTGAATATAAATGAACAGTCCTCAAAAAGAAGATTGAAACCTTTTGTCAAACATGAAAAATTGGTCCGAATCACTGGTGATAATAGAAATACAAATTGAAACAACTCTGAGGTTTTATCTCACACCTTTGCAAATTGACAAAGATGACAGAATATAGCCGTTAGTCAATGGTTGGAGGAGTTGTGAGATGACAGGTATACTGATACATCTTTGGAGAAGTTGTGAAATGGCACAACCATTTTGGAAAGTAATTAAGCAAAGTGGAATTATGCAAGTAAAATGAATAAAATGTCCTTGCCCTCTGAAGAGACTCCAATTGCGGGCTTTTACCCCCCAAGGAAGCCACTGATAAGAAGAAAGTCCCTATATATACCAAAATATTTATAGAAACACTTTTTGTCATAGCAAAGAATTGGAAACAAAGTAGATGTCCATCATGGGGAATGACTAAACAAATTGTATGTGAATTTAATGGAATATTACTGTGCTCTAAAAAATGTAGTATGTGATTAATACAGAGAAACATGGAAAGATCTATGTGAACTGATGCAGAGTAAAGTAAGCAGAGCTAAAAAAAAAAAAAGCATGACTACAACAATGTAAATGGAAAGAACAACCAGAAACACAAAAATTAAAAGTCAATAACAAAATTTTAAAGATCAAGCATGATTCAAATGAAGAGATGTGAGAAGACACACCCAACCCAAACCTTTGTGGAGATGGAAGGGACAATGGTATTGTATATTACACATTTTTAGACTTTGTCATTGTGTTGACTGGTTAAGCTTATT